GGAGAAGGAGGCCGACCAGCTCCTGAACAATGACGCCATTGCCGAGTGGGAAGCCAAGCTACGCGGCAAGTTTGGCATGGACAAGGCCATCGATGGTGCCCCCAACGGATTCCAAGCGACCGGCAACCAGGTCGACGACGAAGTGCCGGCATGGGAGTGGTTCATGGAGCCAACCGCCTACCCGGCCGTCGACCGTCGCTGGGTTCTCTACGGCATCACCAGAGTCTTCACAGTGGACGTGGGCGAGGGCTCGGAAGATGATCGGCTTCGTCTCCGGCTCCTCCAGCCCGACAGCAATGTGATGGCCTACCTCGCCGTAGCGGGCCACCTCACCATGACCAATATGCACGCCGCCTTTAGAGAGGAGATGGAGAGTGCGACAAGGAAACGATCCTTTGCCAGCGATCTGATCCAGTGCCTCACCGAGGCGGACCCATCCCTGACGCTCCTCCTAAACTACCTGCGCGCGACCAAGCTCGGCGAAGTCGAGGTTCTCCTCGCCATCCGCGCCATCATGTCGAGCATGGATCTCATCCCCACCGCGGGCAACGCACCCAAGAAGCTGCTCACCGCCAGCGCGCACGCCGACGGCCAAGACGACATGGAACTCGACGACCTGGAGCGCGAGATTGCCGTGACGGAGCATTATCTGGGCGACGAGAGCAGCACGCGGTCGAGGGGTCTCACCCTGGCCTTTACCAAACTATGGCGCCTGCCCTCGCGCACGACCGTCAAGGCCCTCGCCACGGCCCTCCAGACCGAGGAGATCCTCGCCCTCATCCACCTCCTGCGCATAGAACTGGTACGCGGCGCTTGGACATCCCTCTACATCGACCCCACGTCCTTGGACGCCGAGGGGAACGAGCCGCCCCCGGACGGTGTCATTGCGCTCATCTCCGACCTACTCGGCCGCTGTCTCGACGCCATCGGCTCCGGGGGCTGGCTGCTCAACGACGCCCTCGACACGGCCACGGAGACGGGGGACATTCTCGCCGCGCTCAAGCTCGAGGTCGCCGCCGCCCTCGACGGCATGGAGGAAGCCGTCTTTCTAAACGGCGCCCTCGGGGAGGTTGTCCGTTACGGGCGCGCCGCCGGCGCCGCCGCGTCGGGCTCAAGAACGATGAACGCTAACAAGCCCATCACCGTCACCGTCGAGAGCAAGGAGGGCAGGATGCTGCCGCTGGGGCTCAAGGCCAAGACGCTGCCCAAGAGGGAGAAGGTGGTCAGTGGCGGGGAGGTGGTGATGAGGAGCAGCCGCGAGACGGGTCATCTCATCAGTCAGAAGGTGGAGGCATACTCGCTGGAAAAGCTAGCCATCTAGATATGTTTGTCTATGCATAATACGTTGCAAATACCCAGCACGACGGCCACCGTACACCGGCAGCATGAGTTCGATCTTGTAGTAGGCGTCGCGGCACTGTGCGTGATGCCATATTTTGATAGTTGCTGACTACATAAACGCAGCCTTGGCTTCCCATGTCGATCGAAGCGTGCGTGGTAGACGGGGTGATGGTTCTTCTGACAGGCAGATAAGAGGGGACACATGGTGAGAGTCTCGCTCATCTATCCCCACACACCGTCCCCATTGCCGGTGTGTGACATGTTTATTGCCAGGCGCCTCTCCTCACAAACCTGCGACGCCATATGGATCAGTGGATTGTCACCACCACCCCTCACCAACATCCTCGTCCATGTCGTGTCATTGTCGAGGCCACCCCACCACCAACCGGCCGTGTGCGTCGAATGCGATTAAGAAAAACTAAAAAAAAAATTATTTCATGACATGCCTGATGAAGCAGCATTTCCGCGGATACGGAACATTGTGTCCGTCACCGTCCTCGAAAGAGGCTCCACCGTTGTCGAGAGCGGCGATGGTCTCGATGGGCGACAACGAGACGGGTCCTGCGGCCGGTCCGAGGGTGCCGGGGCCGAGAATGCATCCAGTCGAGACTCGACGCAGCTCCGAGGACCGAAAAGACATGATGGAGCGTCACGAATATGTATGAGCTCTTCCCGTCGAATGCGATCTTGACTCGGGAAGCTCCAGCTGGCTACGAGGCTACAGAGCGCCGCGCACCCGCGAGAGGGAAACTTTGTTTCTTACGCAAAAAGGTATTCCACAGCCCCAGTCTCTCACAGTACCTATAGCGGCCAGTGGCAGGACTGAAATGGGCGTCTGAGTTCAGTGAGTTGCTTGCATGTGCCGCGCTGTCGATGAATAATAAAAGAAATGAACAAAGTGATGGTGAGACAATGGCAGTACTTGTTGGTACGTAGTACGCCCCAAGTCAGACACGGCTGTCGCTGAAGGCTTGCCGGCTTGGTCTGGCTCGGAAGCCTGCGTATCACCGATTATCCCTCTGTGATAATTAGCAAACGCCTAATAAAACAAGGAACACGAATCTGTCTCAGGCTGGAAAGGCGAGCTGGCTGGTCTGGAGGGTGGATGGTCGAGGCAGATCCCGGTCTCGCATGGCGCAAAGTGTGACTCTAGTGCACAGCCTGATGAGCAATTGCGCTGTGCCAAGCGTGTTGAAGGCGAAATCGATGGTCAACAAACGGATATACGCACACGCTGACTGCAGATAGCACAGCTGACCAGCTACGTTCAGCACAACGGGTGCCTCCGTCTGCCCAGCTGTGGGACTAGTGCCCGTACACCCTCTGTCCGCGGTAGGATGTAGCCTGCCATAGATACTTTTGCTTGCGTTGATTGTACGTGCGTTGGTCGGAATGTGACGAGGCGCTACCGGGAAGCCGCGAGGCCAAGAGAACGACAGTATCCGTAGAGTCCACGACCTTGCTGTCTATCTGTCCGTGACTCTGTGTCCGTCGCGAGCATGTGGACATGAGCAAGCATAAGAGTGGCGGCCGGCCGCATTGCGTACTACGTATGAGTGAGTTCATCACCAGTTGACTTTTATAATTATGAACTGCAGCTGACCTGAAAGGGAGGCGTAGATCCGTCCAAGCCCAGCCCCCACCACGGCTGGTCCGAGTCCGTCGCGGTTGTGGCTCGACAGTTGAGGCCAGCGTCAACATCGTCAAGGTTCAAGGTTGCCTTTGTCGTTATTAGTGCCAGCCATCAAGGCCTGCCGCTGCTGGATGCTGCTGCAGTCTGCGCCATGCCAGAGGATACGTAGTACTTTTGATTAAGCAGTCGGCGGTGCAGCGGACAGAGTGCATCGTTGCCTGTGACATTGTATCAAATTTAGCACGCCATACTACGGCCTGTGAATCGACGAATGGGACCGCGGGAAGATGGTACAAGTATAATCATGGATAGCTTGCTGATTGAACCGGCTGAAAGGTAGCTAGGTAATACTACGTACACTGGTCGTGATTGCGGTGCATTAGTATCGAGTCATGTGGGGCCAGAAGAAGCGGTACGAATTGTACTACGTACTCGGTATCATACATGTATTAGTTGTAATATTATGGCACAGATCCTATGCTTCACAAAAGGAGCATTTGCAAGGCGTTTGAATTACAGGGCTGGAGCCTGCCAGCAATACCGGTGGTGAGTGATAATTATTAGCTGCAAGCCAGCAGATGGAAAGGGGCACAGGAGCACCTGCCGATTATTGCCTGCACGTACGTACTTGAAAAGGAAAGTCCAACCTTCAGCTAGCGAATGACCCGCCCGCCTGCACTCTCCCCGCCCAGGCAGCGTGATACGACGATGAATCCGAAAAGTAATATCACTACCCTCAGTTACGTGTTACTGACCAGCATCAGAGGCTAAACACACCCAATTTCACCCGTGGCTTCAGTCTCCCTGATGCTATATCTCGTGTGTCTGGCACAGCAAACCTGGTTTCTCGCTCAAGTGACAGAGACGCCCGAATAATAATACGCACCTAAGATACACGTAGCTTGTTGGTCCACCCTTTGCCTCAGTTTCAGAGAGACATGAAGCGAACATGTACGCACGCACGCACGGCATCAATCGGTACCGTACTTATTATTATGCAGCCTGCGTCAGACACCCGGTCCATTGCTATCCTTTTGCCATCCATGTCCTTTGTCACGTACGGTGCACAGCCTGAGATCCACCCTGGACTTGCGAATACGTACTCACGCATCCGTACTCCCACTATTAATTATTAGTTAATAGCACCACGCGCGGCGCCAGTTGTCCGCTGGCAACTAGTCAACTTGTTGGCGGAGCAGTCGTAGCCCAAGAGACTTTGAAGTTTGGATCACCTCCGTTTCAGTCGCCAAGGACAGGGACTGCTGCTGTCCCATCGGCCAGCCGCTCCAACAAATCTTGACGGCACGCCTCTTGGATCCTGACCAGAAGCAGGCGCACCGGAATGCGGCATGTGTGCCAACAGCAAGCCGCGCACTGCGATGGAAGCCAAAACAGGTAGCCCACCGCCTACAATGATTCGTACGACCCTGCAAATATGCAACCACTTTAGCTCGGGCTCCTGGGGCTGGACCAGGGGGGAAGCGGGCCCGACGTTCACGCCAGCCGCCGTTTCTCTTGTGCGCCAGCCAGGCTCCGCTTCCTCTGTTCGAGACGTCTTCTCATCACGAGCTGGGTTTGCATATCGCCCCTTCATCGACATGCGGCGAGGCGCAAAGGTCGTCGCTCGCAGTGGTCAGCATCGTCTCAAACCCCCCTCAGGCCAGGCCAGGCCAAGTCAGCAGCAGCGGGCCAACGAGCAAGACACGGCACGCACAATTCAACGACCGTACGCGGCATCTTGGGCATTGGCGACTGCCTATTATTTCTCACTATTAGAAGGCTTGCGGATGCGGACATACACGCTGATCTGATCGCCTTTGGTGATTAATTTGCTAGCCTGACACTGTACCCGCGGGGGCTTGTTCGACGTGGGTTCCTCATATGGCGCATGCAGGGGTCATTGATTCATTGATGGATGAGAATGAGGGCGGACTCCTTTCTACTCTTCATGCGCGATAATACCATGCAATTTTTGACGAATTGTTACGGGGTAATTACGGATACTACGACTCCGTACTCCGTACTCACGGACTAGTAACAGAACTTGGTACGTAGTTGGATCGCCCCCAGATGACGAAAGGTCAGGGAATCTCATCCTCTGTTGATAGACAAGCACCAATTTCCTTTCACCTGCCCTTCTTGAGAGCAGCCGGAGGTAGGTGAGTCCCTGGTATTTGGTGACTTGTGTTTCAGTAAGTTCTCCCGTGTTGTTCAGACAACAGGCGACTCGCTATTTGCTCCTCACCAATGGCCTAGGATTCGATGCAAGCCACTGCCCACTGGCCATGCGCGCCCAGCGCAAACAAGGGGTAGTAAGCGAGGGGAAAAGCGAGAAAAAAAGCATCCTGTGGAGCCCGCCTCAGTCTGTGACTCTGTGCAACTGCATATACGTATTTGCCTTTCAATGGGGCCATGCCGTTTCTGCAGGGAATTAGACGGTTTCATGCCTCCATCAAACCGCATGCCTATCAACAACAGGACAGCTAAAAACCAGGACGATCTCTGTTCCAGCAGCAACAGGCGGCGGCAAGGTTCCAACAAGCCCCCGCCCAACAACAAGCAAGCCTCGCCTTGGACAAAGGGAGGGCGAGACGCGAGGCTTGGCTTGGCTTCCTGTGATTGCCAACAGACAACCGCCATCCATTGCGCAGCGCAACGCAACAAATCAGTAACTGTTTTCTGCTCAACATCACATCGGACCAGACCTACCATGTGAAAAGACAAGCTGCTGCTCGTGATGGATTTGGGTCTAACCCGCATGAACCCTAGGCTGTGCTGTTGTTGGAACCCCCCGGTATGGTAAGGTAGACACTGGCCAGTGGCACGGTTTAGTAGCGCTGGATGTCTTTCTGGGCCACCGGCCCCATAGATCCCACAGTGCTCCGTAGCGGGCTTGCAGCCACTACGTACGACATGGATAACAGTGCAAATTCCAGTGGGACAGATTTCTGCACCGTCTTTAATGTTTTACGCATCCCCGTCGCTGCTTTCAGTTGCTTGTTAATGTGAGGAGTATAGATAGTACCAGCATTTCATGACGAAGAACCTCAAGACTACTAGTAATGACAGCACGTACCCTACCAAATCGTATCCCGTTTGCCAGCCGGCGAGCCCGTAAGCCGACTGGAGGGTGAACGGAGGGCGAGGTCACAGTGAGCCAAATGTGCCGGGGTAATTATTATGTACTCACGTTAGTGCAGCGTGACTTCCCCCCCCCGGCCCACTGCTCCAGTCGTCAGCCACTATTGTCATCGGCTTGAGACCGGACGGGCTGGACTGGGTGCCAGGCGGCCAGGCCTACCTGGCACTTTGCACTGCGCTACGGGCCAGGGCAACCACCAGCCAGCAGCCTGGCACGATTGACCACCACTACCACCGCTGGCCGGCGGCTCCATCCATTCATTGACTGACCAGGCAGGCTCCATGTCTGTCCGTCACTCTTCATTCAGTGGTTCCAAATCTTGTCCCCATGGCATGCACGGCTGGGCTGGGCTGGGCTGGGCTGGATTGGATTGGAGACTGGGACGCAGCCCCAGCGAGACCCCCCCCCATCCTACTTCTCCATCCCGGACCGCCCAGTCGTCTACGTCTACGCCTGCGCCTACGCCTTCCAGTCCACCACGCCAGGACCACCTCGGGCCACGACACGACATGGAACAGACTCGGCCGGCCGGTCTCCCTTTTCCATTTGGCCAGTCTTTGTCCTTTCCTTCATTCTTCACTTTGACCCTGTTCCAATCTTCGTTCATAACACATTCACTGTATCCCGATTCACTTGGTGGTCACCGCCGTCACACGCTCCTGCTGCTTTGATATCACATCTACAGCAGCCTCGGAATCACGAGCTCGACCTTCAAACCTTCGGACTCTTAGCCATCTATCCTTCTTAACTCGTTGGGTCGTTGCTGAACCTTGATCATGAATGCACGAAGCTCAGTCTGAATTAAGGAAAGAAGCAGTCAAGATTGCGGATGGGAGGTTAATTTGGCCGTACAACTCGACTCAACACCAGTTCCCAAGGCCATTGAGCCCCCCAGTCCCTTGCGAGTTGCCAGAGCCTTCAGCGTGGGCTCTCAGGCCATCAACACCACCAATCGACAAGCGTAGCACCTATCGAGCTTCCTTGGAGTTCTGGTCCGCTTCAGTCGTGACCGCTATTCGACGACGACGACACCAAGATCACCATCGACAACGACGAGCGACGAGGAGAAGCGAACCTACCAGAGACCAATGTCTTATCACACCTGCGCGAACCCGAGATTACCATTGTCACCTTCGAACGGGCCACAGCCAGCGATAGATAAACGAGTTCACCTGCGAGCAAACCACCGCTTCCACCACGGGCTACACACGCCCCCGGTGGAGGACATGTCCACTGCGTACCAGCCACCAATGGCTGCCTACGAGAACAATGCCATGCGTGGATTTCCCCAAGCACACCCATACAATGCCAGGTCACGAGCTGCCATGAGCGAGGCTCATCAGGGGCAGATACATCGGTCGACAGTACCTCCACAAGTCCAGTTGCAACAACCTCAACCGGTCCATTCTCAATCCCTGGCTTCGAATTGGATGCAAAAAGATGCATATCAACCAGTGAGCCAGGCAGCACCACCGCTGGTGGCTCAGCAAACACTACCGCCATCACCGAATGCCATTGTTGTTCCATTGGAACACCGAGGACACCCTACAGATCTCGACTCGGATGCGCTGAAGTTCCACAGTCTGGGCCTGCCTCGCTGGATCAACCCGAATGGCGGAGATTTGGCTGCGTTTACGGCAAAGGTGAGCATGGTAATTCCAGCTTCACACCTGGTCCATCACTAATCCAAGGCAGATGACATGCTTATTCTGGTTCACCACGTCCGACGAGCTCCGACAAGCCGAGTCGGTCCGAACAAGACCTGCGAACGCACCGATACCTCGATTACCCAAGCTAGCGCGACCCCACGACGCCTTCAGGAAATGGACCCAGAGTGTCTTGTCTACTACGCAAGTCACCCAGAATGTTATTCTTCTTGCCCTCTTCTTTATCTACCGCCTCAAGATGGCGTCACCCGAGGTCAAGGGGAGAGCCGGGAGCGAATACAGACTGCTGGTCGTGGCCCTGATGCTGGGGAACAAGTGTGCGTTAAAATCCGTCACACGCAGAGAGCGGGCACTAACATGTGGCAGTTTTGGACGATAATACGTACACCAACAAGACATGGGCAGAAGTCTCGGCGTTCGACGTGAAGGAGATTCACGTCATGGAGGTCGAATTCCTGAGCAACATGCGGTATAATCTACTGGCCTCCAAGTCAGAATGGGTGGCATGGCTGGAGAAGCTGTCCTGCTTCCACGAGTACTACGAAAGGGCCTTGCACATCCCCGACTCTCCTCTCGACGTTGCCTCGCCAGCTCACCAGCTTGTCCACTCGCCCTTGCACTCGCCCACGAACATGTCTGTACCCGACTTTGGCCCTGTCACACCAACAGCCGTGAACAACTTCTCACCGACGTCCAGCCGCTCGCAGCAGAACTGGGCGGCTTATCAGACCAACAACGTCTCGCCCCTGGCGTCCAAGCCGGTCGTCAGCCTCGTACCCTCACGGAAAAGAAGCATGGACGAAGACATGTTGGAGCATCCGGCGAAGCGTGCGGTGCCCTCGTCCCGCTTGGTCCAACAAGGACTGGCCTCAAACGTACCACAGCCTGCCGGTAGACTCACAGCGCCGAACCTGGCCCTGCATACCAATCAACAACGCAACCTGCCGGCGCTGACGATGCAGACACAGACGTCAGCATATCCGCAACAGCAACAGCAACAGCACCCGCACCAGCAAGCGTACATGACACCAACGAACGGCAGCTCAGCCGCCGGTCACGTGTCGCTGCCGCCGTTGCAACCTGGTCTCCGAGCCATGTCTACCGTTTATCCGTCAGGACAGTCCGGCATGGCGACCCAGAACATGGGGCCCACGACGGCGCCAATGCAACAAGCTGTGTTTGCTCCGACGCTGCCCAGTCATACTCCAATGGGATACGGGGCGGCCCCCAAGCACCACAGCCCGGGCAGCCTCGCGCCGTACTCAACGGCATCGCCGCTACCCGACCACTTTGGCCCTGGCTCTGTGATGAGCACACCGATGGCACACACTCCCAATTCCAACTCGCCCAGCTTCTATCTGCAGCAGAGGCACAGCCCTTACAAGCCCATCAGGCACGTCAACACTCTCCTGTACCCACCACCCTCAGCGTCTCTGGATCAGTACCATATGCAAGTCCCACATCCTCCCGCGCAGATGCATTATCAGCCCATCGGCCGCAGGAATGAGGTGCGGACAGGCGTGGTCCCTGAGTACATGATGTACAGTCAGCGACTTCCGTCACAGATGACGGCCCAGCACCACATTGCTTCCTAGTGAAGTCAAAAGAGACGCTTGAGTGGGCCAAACCCAACAGCTGACGGGTCCGTCACAGCGTTCAAGTATATAATTGTTTTTGTTTCTGTGCATTTATTGAATTCGGCATGGCATAGAGGACAGGAAGGCTGCATGGCTTGGAGTTTGGTCCTTTGACGTTACGAACATGGCACGCACTATTGAGCGTGTACACTGCATTTTATGGCATTGGCGTTTTCCGACCCTGTTGTGCTATGGACGGCCAAGCGCATCTTCAGTCTTGACTGACGGGTCATGTCCACTTGCTAGACATACATGACTACGTACATAGAAGGGGACTTGAGAGAAGACACGACCGTTTGCGGGAGCAAACATGGCAAAGATGGTAGCGTATGGAGTTTGTGGATTAGCAATCAATCTTTCTGTCGAAGTAAAGCGACTACTTCAGCTTGCCTCCTCATAGTCATTGCCAAGATTGTGATGAGCAACGAGCATCTTTCGTATTTGAGTAGCGGGGCTTGGCATTCCAGACTCAGAACCCGCCCAGGTTGAAGTTTGCCAGCCTCGTATCGGCCGCAACTCACTCCAAGCCAAGTGCGTGTGGCCCAGCCTGAGCGAAAGAGCCGGTTATCATCGTCATGCTGGCGACGCAAGCTTGCTCGAATTAATCGATACAAACACCGGGCAACAAGACGCCGCGTGACAGTATTACAGCGAGCATGTCACACTAGAATAGGGTCGCGACCTGACTGCATTATACTGGCTGCTGGCTGACAGGGGGTTGTAGTCTTTTCGCCCTTTTCAATGTGGCAGCCCCGCTCTTCTTCCCCTTTGCCTTGCGCCTTCCCTCTCCCTTTTCCACGGCAACGCCCTGCTTCCCAGCCCCAGGCGCAGTTGAGCATCTCAATCAACCACCTCCACCACCAACAGCCATCTCTCCCGCCGACCGACGACGTCCACTCATCAGTGGGGCGCTCTCTTCCCTTCGTTTCTTCCATACTCCGGTGGCTGGACGCTCGTTTAGTTCAAGATATCATTGACCTTTCCCATCGACGACCTCCTCGACGCGCGACGACACCAATCAAGAACAGCGACTCGACTCGACTCGAGAAACGCCTGGCAGTGGTGGAGCGCGCCATACCTCGAAGTTACCTCGAAGCCGACAGCGAGACGGATCCTCGTTTGCGTAAAAAACAACAAGTCTCCCAAGCATCGGCACCATGTCAGGCTTTGGAAGCTTCGTCTCCATCTGCGAGAATGCGCCTCTCCCCATGTGCGCCTCGCTCGGGCCTGTTCTCGCTTCCTCCGGCCGCAACGGCATCGACGCCGACTGCTTCTCTCGCAACATTGAACTCGCCAACACGATTATCTTTGAGGGGGCCGCCTCGGTCCTACACATTGTGGCCCTCATCATGACCATCATTATGATCCTACACGTTCGATCCAAGTTCACGGCCGTGGGGCGAAAGGAGATTCTCACCTTCTTCTACCTCTACATGATCCTGACAGCCATCTCCCTCGTGATGGACGCTGGTGTGGTGCCACCTGGCAGCGCGCCCTTTCCATACTTTGCGGCGATTCAGAATGGACTGAGCAGCGCGGTTGTCACGGCCCTGCTGATCAATGGATTCGTGGGGTTTCAGCTCTACGAAGATGGCACACCTCTGTCTGTCTGGATGCTTAGGGTGTGCTCCGCCATCGCGTTCGCCATCACGTTCCTCGTCTCGCTGGGAACCTTCAAGTCGATTGCCGGGATGAGCCCAACGAACACCGTTGGTCTGTTCGTGGTCCTGTATCTTTTGAACGCGATCCAGTTGGCTGTGTACGTGGGTATGCAAATCCTGCTGGTCACGCAGACCTTGCAGGATCGCTGGCCTCTGGGTGACATTGTCTTCGGCGTTTTCTTCTTCATTGTGGGCCAGGTTGTTCTCTACGCCTTCAGCGCCAAGATCTGCACGGCTGTGAGCCACTATTTTGATGGCCTCCTTATCGCGACGGGCTGCAATCTGCTGGCCATCATGATGGTGTACAAGGTGAGTCGATACTCGATCGGGCTTTGCGGTGGAAAATTGCTAACACCAGCAGTACTGGGACTCAATCACCAAAGAGGATCTCGAGTTTTCCGTCGGCACACGTATGAACAACTGGGAAGTGAAGGATCTCCTGCCCGAGGAGGACCGTCGGGCCACAGTCTACACAGACGACCCCTATGGCCACACGAGCGCGTACGATATGCCTTACTCGCCCACGACAGCGCGATACTCGACAAAGTATTGAGCAAAGACCGAGCAGGTTCTGTCGATATGGATTGGGAGACACAGGCGTATGGTTGCTTCATGACAAAGCTCAAAAAGAACATCAGCATGGAAGGAATGGCTGGATTACGGCTTGGCGTTTATTCTTTTGTAATATCCCAGTCTACATTGGCACTGGGTTGATACGGTTATTCGAGCGTGGGGACAGCGCGAGCGAGATGATGCGACACACACTAGCTACCCTTTCGCAGCCTCCCATTAATAGCTTGCTTAGCGCGCAAAGTATATATATAACATGCATACATACAGTCATGTTCTCGACTCTCTGACAGTGAAGCAAGCAGTGCCTACTGTTGGTGGCCAACGCGGCACAGCGCGGCCTGGCTAAATATGGGATCATCCACGCCATCCAGCGCGTAATAAGCCAAGCTGATATGAATGTGACTGCGGTGCTGCAGCCTGATGGATCCAGGTTGTATGTACGCATGTATGTGCGTGGGTAGTGATGACGGGTGACGAGACAGATAGTTACCTGTAGTACAAGGTCTAGCAGCAGCAAACAAACTGCCGCGTATTAATTGGGCATAATTGACCAGAATCGGCCTCGGTTACGGACATGATCATAGCGGACTAAAAATGGCAGGGATAATCACATAACTAAGGTGAACCAACGTGTGAGACCACTGTCACCCCTAGGGCGGGCTCGCCCTGTGACATTATGCGAAACAGGCGGACTATTCATACCGACATATGTCTGTGCTTGCCTGCCTGCCTGACCGACCGACCAACAGACCGTGCGGCGTGCGCACTTCAAAGTCCTAAACAAGGGAGCTTCATGCGCGTCGGCGGCGTGGAGCGGAGTCGTGAACCCGTGATTCCCCAGTGGTTCACTGGTTCAAGAGTCCGATGATTAACTACGTACGTCCAATGACAGGGTCCATGTAGTTCACGGCCCATGACCCCCCAATATACATGTATGAGCAAGACGAAGAGACAAGGGCAGATTATCGTCAGGCTGCTAAGCAAGCAAGGGACAAAGGGCGTTCCTCGACTGATGTCGATGAGAACTTTGGGAGTCGCACTGGTTGGCCTCAGCTGGCGTCGTGTGGCTGGCTCCCACGCCTCGTACCGTATGCCGAATCAGAAACCCCATGTGGACGTGTTGGTCGGTGACTCGGTGGTGCCGTGGTGGGGAGGGGAGCAGGCGAAAGGGGGGTGGGTGAGAGAACAAGGACAGCTGCCGCTGTTGTGAGCGATCATTACGAGATTCGACGTGTGAGATCAAGAAGCCGCGCTGGGGCTCTCTCGCATGCGCTACATGATGTATGCAGGCAAGCAGTGCGGTTGGCTCGTCGTACCAAGTTAGACTGTGTGGTCGAGATGGTATCTGGGCACCGATGGGAAAGGAGCTTCTTAGCTCCAGTCGCCAGGAAATAGAGTTTCTTGTGACAAATCCGTAGAAGGATCGTACGGCTGGCCTGAGTCAGGTGCTAGGTCGGCATGCGCATCGGCCAGGAGTGTGTAAGACTAGCGAGGAGGATTGCCCCGGCTATCTTACGAGTCGCGTGCCTATAGCGGAAGTAGATGGCGAGCCGGGTGGGGACATGACCTTGGTTGATGCAGACAGGGGCGCCGTGGACGATATACTACTTGACAATTAATATCAAAGGTACCTTATTAGCTCATCTCAGCTATGTCGTCGCTCATAATGATGGCCAGCTGTCGTATGTTCTTTTGCTGGCGGCAGCAGAGCGTCGCCTTGTCCGGAAATGAGCGTCTTGTCTTTGAGGGGGCGCGCGCAAGCAGGCAAGCGATGCTCGGATGTCGGTGATGGCAAGGGCTAAAATGATCGGCTCACTTCACTCATGCTGCCCATCTAGCCAAGTGCATTCCTGAAGTTGTTCGGGCACTTGTTGGGTCTCGTTAGCAGGAGAAGGATTTATGCTCGCAGAATGACCAACCAACAGTCAAAGGGCAAAATCGGCGACCCAGGCGACCCAAAGTACCCGTCTGTGCGGCATGCACATTATTAGTTAGTCTAGACTCACGTGTGGTGAATGCATGCATAAGGTAGCGGATACAGTATGGGTCCTGCCTTTATTGCACGTACTATGTGCCTTGTCACAGAGTGGCAGGCTATCGGTGCATATACAGGGCGAGCGGCGCACTATCTGGCAGTAGTGGCTTGTTAGCGACATGGACCCCATTCAAGCTTGGTTTAATCGCCGGCGATAATCAGAGAACCGTCTGTCTGCCTTGCGAACCACGAATACAACACTACTAAATGTAGTGATGCAAAGACTAGAACTCATAATTCTGCACATGGATATTGATGCTTGCCGATAGATGATCCGCGACTAGTGGAGACTGCGCGTAGCTTTTTTTCGGGACTAATGGGCGCAGGGATCCTATTTTCTTCTACGGGCCCGAGTACAGAGCCCTGACCGACCGACCATCTATGCAGCGTGATGAGTGACTAATGTGCGAATCGACGTTGCGACGACATGGTCCTAAGCTGTGAGCATGGATGGAGTCGGAAACAGGCACTGAAAACTGATAGTATATCCGGTCAAGCATACATCCCTCCTACTACGTACTCCGTACCGGCTGAGAGGTAAGAAACGTTGTGCAGGTGCGGCTGGACCTACCCACTAGCTGCACTATATCCACCAAGCCTAAACTTAGCGACTTGGCCAGCCGCAGTGCCTAGGTAATTATTGCTAATTAGGTACTCTCGTACTGTACGCAGCTCCAGTCGTGCTGAGTCTAGTCTCCTGATATTATTGCCCACGGTACTTTTTAGAAGCCTCCGTGAATGGACTGTCGTCGGCTGCACCGAATGGGAGAAGGTCCCGCTGGTACGTACCTGGCCTTGCCCACCTAATAGGGGAGGCGCATGAAGCAGCCGCCTGCCTGCCTTATTTCTGACTGGCCAGGCAGCCTATTCCATCCCCCGTATTCTACAGTATTATGCGTCGCACTTTCCCTCTGCTCATTCTTGGTTAGCCTTCTCGAGAGGACAGACCCACATGGCAGGTAGCCTAAGGTAGGTAATCTACGTACCTATCTCAGCTTAATCTCACTCACTCACTCACTCACTCGCTGGCTCCAGTCGCTCGCTCCCTGCCCTTCCTTTGACATCGTGCCTGAGCTACAACTGGACCAAGGACTGGACTAAGCAAGTGATCGTCAAGCGTAGGACGTCTCCGCCGCTACATCGCTCTTTTTCGCCTTGCCCACCCATCATTGCAATTTCCCCTTCCCTCACGCACCCTTCCTGGTCCGCCTATCTATCTAATACTTACTACCGATCTGTCTACGTATCAGCAGCATAGGCGTTTTGCTCAGCAAAGCATCCGGACGTCACATCTTTCTGGCAACTTTTGACCACCCGCGCTCTCCACCCCCTGGCTGCCTGAGCCGACCTCGCATCCCTCCACAACACGCGCGCTTTGACTTCGCGGGACTTTGCATCAGTCTGTCTGTATCTGTGAACCCGTCAATGCTCACTCAGTCTTGCCCACATCCTTGCCGCCTGATCACATAGCCAAGCGGCGCTACTGGCCAGCATTTCTCTCCGTCCTTCGGATCCTCAACAACAAAGTTCGCGCACCTGCGATTCAGATCGATTGGCTTTGGCGCCTTGCAACACCCGGCCAGGACACAAAGCTTACCAGGTACACGACTAGATTCGGCTCTAAACTTTGTTGGACACAGCAGCACAGGTGCTAGGTACTTTTCCATCAATATTTTCGCTGTCTGATCGCGATCCTCTTATTGTTCGAGCGGGTTACAGAACGCGCCACACAACTCTTGTGTCACGTCTCTAGGTCACGTCTCATTGATTGAGCACGGCTACGTGTCATCCATTGACCTTGTATCTGAGGACTTACGACGACACCAGGGCCGCTGGGCTACTACCAAAGTCTGCATCGACCCCACCATGGCCGTGGAGGAGGAGAGTTTCGAGGGCATACCGCCCGACGAGAATCGTGAGATTTGGGACGATGCCGAGTACAAATTCTGGACAAACTTCCAGACCGAGTGCAAGGAGTGGCGCGACGCGCGCGAGGCCAAATACAGCCATGAGACAACCGATCTGCGCGTTCAATTGAGCGAGCTGAGCGGCAAGCGCAATGCGATATATGAGACCTACACGCGCCTCCGAGCACAGCTGGCCCAGACGGAAGACGAGTTGAGCGACGTCTCGCAGCGCCTGGCAGCCAAGGAGTCCGAGTTCGGCAGCTTGAATGATGTTCATCGCATCGATGTGGAAACGAAGCACAAGGAATGGGAACATCAAATGAGGGTCATGACCAACTTTTTCCGCGAGAAGCGAGGCGACCAGCCTTTACCCGACGATGCGACCATTGAGCCCCCTGAGTTTATGGCGCCGCCTAAGCTCCTACCAGAGTACCGCGCTCGCCCTCTCCCGATCGTGCCATCACCACCTCGTGGACAATCTTTTGAACCACCACCGCCAGCGTCCACGACACCACCTGCAGCAGCACCCCCAACCGCACCCAAGTCAGCGCCCCCCAGTGAGCCGTCGCACGAGGAAATCCTGGCCAGGGAAGCACTCGCTCAGTCCGCGCTTGTCCCATCACCTGCAAAGCCGTCTCCACCCAAGGCCCCTACTCATCCTACACCAAACGGACACTGGGATATCGTTCGTCGGGAAGGGCGCCCCCAGTCCCCGCCGAGGGCGTACCCTGTACCGCAACCACAGCCACAACACCAAGAGCAACGGCGCCCTGATGCCTCGACGAGCTGGCCGACAGTGGAGGATGCACAAAGTCGCGCTGCCCATGATCACGAGGTGCGACAGCGGGAAGAGCGCGAGAAGCGAGAGTGGGAACGACGCGAGCAGGAATTACGCGAAAGAGATATCCAGGAGCAAGTGCGCGAGCGTGAGCGTCGTGACAGGGAGGCCGTGCGCGAACGGGAGATTGCTCGTGAGCGAGAATCCCGTGAATGGGACCGCTGGGAGAGGGACAAGCGTGCGCTGGAAATTCTCGAAAGGAAACGCCTCGAAAGAGATATCCGCGAACAAGTCCTTCCACCACCAAGGTCATTAAGTCACGCGCCTACAATCCAGACGCATTCTCTCCCACCTCCGTCAGGGGTTGGTTCTCACGAGTGGGCCGACACTCTACACGCCGACCGTGATCGCCTGAGCCGCTATGCCTCCCACAACGGAGATCGTCCGATTGCTGGGACGCCAGTTGAGGCCTCACAGTCTCTCCCCAGCGCTGGTCACACGCCACAACCGTCGACATCATTGCACAACACGCCTCAGCATCGCTCCATCTCGGCAAGCCAGACTCCTCGGGGCCTTACCCCACAGGAACCATCGCCGGCGCTGCCATCGACGCAGACTCTACCCTCGCTATCGCAGCAGAGACTGCCACCGCCGTCCGTGTTGGATAGCCGACCCCCTCACTCCCATGCTCATGCTCATGCTCATGCTCATGCCCATGTCCACCCGCATTTCCATGCCCCAGAACCCGCGCATCCTCATCATCTGGGTCATCCCCAAGCCATCGCCCCTCAGCGTCCCGAGCACCAGCGTCAGCAACATGCGCCGCCTCCGCATCGTCAACCCCCGATGCCCGCGGCTCAGGCTCTTCCCTCTATGAGGCATTCTCTACCTACGACGGGGGGCTTTAGACCAGCCAACGGCGGGTTCACTCCGGCGAATCAGCCTGTGACCAGCAGACCTCAATCACCATTGGTAGCCACGCCGGTGGCGTCGGCACGCAACTCCCCCTCGGCCCCGGAAAGGCCAAGCGAACCTCTGGTGGAGATCAACCGAGATAACCTTGTGTTGCGACACGATGGGACTGTCTACACGTGGCCTGAGTGCATGGCAGGCGTCCCGAGGCGCAAGATCCACCCCGGCGACCCATACTGGGAACCCGACTGGAAGGACGTACGGTCAGAAGTCGTTGAGGCAAAAGAGCGATGGCATCAGAAGCACCAGCGCGCTATTGAGCTCGAGGCAAAGAAGGAGAAGTCGGGGTCCAGCAAGTACCAGATTGGGAGACAAGTCAACCGCGGCACCAAGATCCTCGAGTTTCTGGATGACGAGGACCAGATCAGCCCTTACCAGCTCCTCGCGAAGCCATTTATGCACGCCTCCAAGGGCGGCATCACGTCTTATGATACCCTTTTCCGTCTCTGCGAAACTCTGTCCGAGCTCTCCAAATTCCACCTGGATATCTCGCCCGTGGACTGGATGCGCCATCGCCTATACGAGATTATGCTCGAGAGCCCAGACGGCTCTTTCAATCTGCCCAAGATCGTGCACGATTTCTACCATGATCCCAAGCTGACCGACCTTCGCCATAAGCATGGTTATAAGAATATCGGACGGCCCTCTGGTCAGACAAGGGGTGGTCGCCAAAGCACTGGTCCCGGCGCATCAGAAACAACGCCCAAGCAACCACGCAAGCGCAAGAGCGCTGCCTCTACACTGGGGACCCCCCATGATGAGAGTGAACCCGTGCCGTCTAATCCCATGGTCATTCACGATGAAGGCCCCTTTCTCCAAGCACGATCGGCTATAGCCAAAAAGCCGCGCACCGAGGACTGGGAGCGCCTCGAGGTCAGCGAACCGGAAACAGCACACCAAGTAGAGGTGCAGCCAGCAGCCACGCCCCAAAACGCGGGTGATACACCCAAAGGAGAGCACGCCATGAATGGTTCACATGAGATGTCGCGAGACATTGCATTGAAAGTGTAGATCACGCATTTCTGGAGGCACGCATGAGCCAGCAGGGTTACTCTTTGTCCTGGACATCTGGCACTGCGAGGTGTCACTGACTCAAGTTTTTCCTTTTTTGTTTCTCATCCACTGTTTCTTATCGATTCGACTCTCCCGAGGAGAGGCAGCCCTTTTCCCTTTCTTTTCTTTGTTTTTGCGCAGCTTTGATTTCACCTTTGCTGAGCCATCACGGGAACCAACTTCCTCGCCATCCAGCCTTAGTTTCTTTTTCTTCTAATTCTCGATACCCGAAGACTGCTATGGGGAGGAGGGCACACACGGCGTGAGGCGTTACGATATTCGGGTCGGATCTATTTCTGCGTGGCATATTTGGTGCGCTCGCCTGTTTGTACGGAAATGTCCCGAGCGCTACGTACTAGCGAGACCTACACCACTGGAGAGAAAAAGAAGCATCGAGCAGTAATTTAATCATTTCATCATCCTAGATCCGTACATTTGAACGCCGGTATGCTATGCTAAATCTGTCCTGTCATCGTTTGCGCAACGATCGCGCACCAACAACAGCTCCCTTGGCTGTCTTGTTCGTCTTGTCCAAATCGCCCGTCCCTCCCATCATCCGATCCATCAACGCCGCCTTGTGATCCATAGCGTCAGGGTCGGCGTATCCAATCTGTGTCCTGGGCGGCGTTTTGTTGCCCTCGTCTTCCAGGGCCGCAGTGGCGGGCGCCGACGTCGCGCTACTCCCTGCCGACACGTTGCTCACAGCCCGGCCGAGGATTTGACGCTTTCGCGGTCGTGCCGTCGGCTCCTCCGTCTCTGGACTTGCGGCCGACGTGGATGCAGAGAGCAAGGTGGTTAGCTTGGAGGAAAGTGCCTGGCGCTCGGCGGCTTTAGCGGCCTTGCGCCGTGAGGCTTCTGCCTGCTCGCTGTCATCACCGCCTTCGCCTCCTGCAGCCGCGTCGTCCTTCGTCGGAGGTGGTTCGTCATTCTTCGCGGGTTCGGATTTGCTGCGTGTCGGCTTGGGGGGTGAAGGCGATTTGTTGAGGGATGCTGCGGAGAGCTCAGTCAACGGCGGGTCGAAAGCGGCAGTTGCTGGATGTGTATTGGCCGTGGCGAAGTCAGCGGATATCGTCGAGTCCTGTGCCATAGGCCTTTTCGCGGTCTTCTGTTCCTCACTCTGGAAAGCCGTAGGGTCAGGTTTGCTTTGTTGCTCTTGTGGGCGTTGCCGCGATGATTTCGCCGCGGATTCTGAATACACCCTCTGGACAGGACGAGACTGGTCGAGCCGTGGTTTGGTGGTCGACGTTTCTTCCGGCGGCGATGGTCGACCCCGGAGGTGTGACCTTATCTCGGGGTAGATGAAGGCGTCGAATGGGACGTTGTAGCCCGTAGCAATACATTCCCATAGCCAGTTCGCCGACACAACCGGTACACCCCATGCCATGGCAGCCTTGAGTTTGTCTTTCCTCATGGCACCGAGAGACTTGCAGATCAGGACACTTGTTGACCTTCGGAACTGCTCCTCGAAACTAGCTCCGAGCTGCTTGATGGCTCTGGAAACCTGGCTCAGTTCGATACCCGTGAAAGCTGCGCTGCAAATCCTTAGGTCGGAGAATCCGGGAATTGGGAAGGCGGGGAATGGCCGCCCTAGAGGATCCTCGTCATCCGGCGGAAAGAACTTTTTGTTCTGAAGGCATTTCTCAATGTAGAATTCAGTGATGAAGTGTACTTGATCGGACGGTGCGCGCGGATGTGATTCGGGTTGAGACGTCTGTGGTACCACGAGGAATCGATATGATGCGTTTTTCGTGGTTGCAACCTCGGAGATTGTTGGTGTAATCACACCATCGATCCCTTGAATAGTCTGCGCCAACACAGCAGTCCGCTGCTCATTGAAACCGTGGATGTAGAACACACAATCTGAGAATGTGGACTTCGGTCGAGGGGGCGCCAAGGGCACCTGCTTTGGTGTCTGCTGCGCTTCCGTGTCCGTCGCCGGCTTCGCAAAGGAGTATTCCCTCGAGTCTGATCGTCCTAGAATATCGCCCAAGAGGTTGCTCCGTTCCGAGTTGAGCCTCATGCTGGCCGTCTTACGCAGCTTCCGCTTCCCCTCTTCAGCCGGACCAGCGCTAGTTCTCGATCTCTTGCCCAACGACGGGCGCCGGACGTCTCTTTTGATCCATGCGCCAACGCCTTGCTCTTCGGGAGGTAGAAGCGGGTCGTACTTTGACTCGTCCAAGATCATGCCTCGTGCGATAGTCGCATCCAGCCAGTTGAGGGTCACTGTCCTGATATTCCACGATCTGGCCGCTGTGAACTTCTTTCCCTCGGGCTTGCTGACAATCAAATGTGTGCAGCGCCTCGTTAGATCATCTGTATGCTTCCCTCCATAGAGAACAATCTTTTCGGCGATAGCGTCCCGATCATGCCCAAAGCCTGTCAAGCATACGAGCAGCGACTGTCTCTCAGGCGCAGCATCGGGCGTAGGCGGTATCGACCCTCGCGTTTCCAGTGGCTTCAGCTGATGAAGCCTCTCCAAAGCCAGAAAGTCGATCGGTTCGTCGTTCTTCCATAGGTCGGACAAGGCGTCGATCCATGTGGCGTCCATGGCCAGGATGTCGGTTCGCTCGCGTGCGACATGGCGGTACTTGGGTGTGTCGTAGTCGCCAACAATGAGGTGCGTGACGTCTGGCGTTAGATCGTACTTGTGCACGCCGCCGAGGTCGACAACCTTCTGGTCTATCTCTTGCTGCATATCGTCAGCATTCGGGTTCCTGGGGCAGGCAGAGAACGCACCCTGTGTTCAGGCGGAATGCTGGTGCAGCAGACGAAAACACCTTTCAATGGTGCAGCTGGATCCACGGTGAACTGGCCATCTTCTGAATATGCGGAAGACTCCATTACGCCATGGCAAGGACGTCTAGCTGCCAGTCAAAGAAACCAGGAAGACGACGACAAGCGGATGGCTGGGGGTGTTGAGGTCGGATGCGAGACGCGTCGCGGGACAAAAAGCGCGTAAATAGGCCAGCCTGCAGCCTGACGACTCGCACTGTGCATACACTGTATGTGAGTCGTGGACTTTGCATCATGAGCCTGAGCGATTCTTCTCGGATCAGATGCGCACATTCTTTTGAATCATCTTGACCAAAGATTGGGTGAGAATCTTAGGCTGATCTCACCTTTTCTTTGGCTTGCAAATCTGTTATCATTTGAAGCTCATGCGCAGAGCATTGAATTTATCATACAGTGTTCTATAGTTTCATGCACTGTATAAATCAAATGGTAAATCAAGGTGTTCGCACCAAGGGACCACGCAGCTCAGCCTTCAAACACCTTCACACGAAAAGACCACAACTCTATACGCAGCGACCATGGCACCCTCAGCGGCAACCGTCCGCAACATGCTCTCCATGTTCCAAGACAGCACAGGCTCCACGGAGCGCACTGCAAACAAGGTCGGTGCTTATTCTTCGTCGTGCCCCACCCCCGCCATGATTCAGTGGTGACGGCTTCGAACGTGGTCAGATATTGACATGATGATGCGCAGTTCCTGAAGTCGACGGGGTACAATCTGAACCAAGCTGTCGATCTGTATGTTGTTTCTTCCTGGGTTGGCTATCAAGTGTCTGACCACTGCAGCTATTTCCAGACAACGAACACTGAGCCCAGGCAGAATCCAGTCGTACCCAAATTAGAGAAGTTGTTTGATTCTTTACGAGGTCAGTCACCTTCTATGTCGGAATAGCTCAATAGCTGACGGTTCAGCAGATGCCCAAGATGCTCAAAATGAGATGGGCTTGGACGCGGTCATGAAGTATCTCAGTGAGGACCTCAGCCTGAGCATTGAGAATGCCGAGCTGCTGGTGGCTATGGAGCTCGTGCAAGCACCGAGCGTCGGGGAAATCACACGAACCGGGTTTGTAAACGGCTGGAAAGATACCGGGTATGCACACATTGTGAAAACCAGTGGAACAATGGCACTAACTACTCCAGCTGCGAGCCGAATCTCAAGGCGCAGTCCAAACATGTCAGCAATCTTGCCAAGTCGCTGTCGACAAACTCGGACCTGTTTAAGAACGTCTACAAACACACATTCGTATGCGCGCGCGAAAAGGACCAGAAAGCTCTGAGTCTCGAAAACGCGCTCACGTACTGGGAAGTCTTGTTCTCGCCGCCCGGCTGGGAATGGAAGGGGGCGAAGCACGACTGGTTCCAGCTGTGGAAACAGTTCCTCGCTGAGAAGTGGACGCGGTCCGTCAACAAGGATATGTGGAATATGACGCTCAACTTTGCGACCAAGTCTGTTGAGGATGAGACCTTGTCGTTCTGGAGCGAAGACGGCGCGTGGCCTAGCGTGATCGACGATTTCGTGGCATGGTGCAAGGAGAAGGGTGTCGTGAAAGCCAATGAAGCAATGGAAGTGGATGACTCCTAGCTGGTACAGGCTGGAGACCCTTGACGCTTATGAGCCCTCACCGCGATACCAACCATAGATCACGCGTATAGACATCATGACTGGAGGCATCATGACAATCATACCAAGCACTCGCACAGCCTGCCAGCGACTCCCCCCCGTGATAAAGCAGTAAATTGTATAATTCATGCCATGCTCATAAAGCAGACCCCCGACGCCGTTGAGACCATATGATACACGTCTATGTTCCTCTTGATATCTTACAGGCTCCCGCCACTTTCGAATTTTAGACCTCGTTGACCTTCATGGACCCGGCGGCTTCTTTCCAATCAGGCTTGCCGAACTTGGCCATGCTCTCCAACCGCCCGTCGCCCAACCTGACGTGTGTCGCGCGGATCATGCGAGGTTCCAGTCTCATGTTGCTTCGAATGTCCTCGTGGACTTTGGTACTCGAGTCGTAGCGCATGACGAAGTAGTGGCCGTGTGTGTGCTTCATTTGGTGGACGGAGATCGGACGGGGGAGGCTGAAGACGCCCCAATTGGAGATGCCACGAACGACACCGCCATTGCGCAGAATGAGGGATCCGACGCTTGTGGCGATTCTATGATTCAGTCAGTCCATGTGCGCCGGTGATACTGCGTGTTTGATGTCGTTTGGGAGGATTCGAGGTTCGGGGGGTCACGCACTCCTTGACTTCGGCCACTTTGCCTGGGCGGACCTATCTATGTTAGCTGTCAGGTAAGACTAGCAGTGCAGTGCACTCACGATTCCGATGAGTTCGTAAAGCATTTTTGCGACGGGTTGTGACTTTGTCGCGTGCAATGTTGGACAATCGCGAGTTGCTGTCGAGATCCGGCGGTCGCACTCTGAAATTTGGAGCCAGGGTCCACTTCCGATATTTTACCGAGAGGCTACCTTGAGTCTTCACAACCAACGTAACCAGGCATATGAGGAATCAGGCAATGTATAAATACAATTCATTTGTACAGTAGTCTACAGCTTTCTCTTGGAAAGTGACTGCCATATTCTCCACGGCAGTTTCCAGCCCCCTGTCTTGACCGTGTACGGGTCAAAGTTGGCTTTCTGGAGGTTTTCCAGATACTGGCTGGCCGGCGCAGCCTCTAGCAAAACACTGAATCCCGCCCGTATCTCTCTCTGTGTGTCACTCTGGCCCATCTCGTAGACGTGCTCCCCCTCGCCCTGGTGCTCAAAGTCGTGACCCGGGTCCTCGCCTTGCTCCAGCCTCTTAAGCATCTCACGTGCGGTGATGAGATGATCATTCGCTCGGGTCGCAACCTTGAAGACGGCATCCTGTAGCCCCGGCGCATTGGGTCCTTGGCGAAAGACCTCCTCCTCCTTCACGCCTTCTTCAGCCATGACATCAAGCGGCAAAAGGAGCGTTGGCTTGTGTGTGCTCGGCGCATCTGCTCCAGAGGGCGTCTTGACGGGCCTCGCCGGCGAAGCTAGAACGGGAATGCCTCTGAGGACCGCCACGATGCCGCACGCTTTGCCAATGTGGCTTGCCAAGTGATCCATGTGCATGGACTTCATCGGCATCGCGCCCAGCGTCGCATACATCATGGTCGAGTAGGTGTTCTCCGCATAGTCCTCCAAGGCAGTTATGCTTGTGTAAGGTCGGTTGTCCATGTGCTTCTCCCTCGTTTTGACCAATCGAGACACCCAGAAGCGAAGTGACTTCCTCATGCTACTGCCCGCGCGCTTCTCCACGTCTTGCAAGCTCTTGTCCAGCAGGATGCATATAGGCTCGCGGGGTGGCTGTCCGGCGAATGTCTTGTCTATAGATTCTTGCCAGAACTTCATGCGCATGATTCCAATCGTCGGGTTGGAGACGAGCTCCGGCAGCCGCACGAGTTCGAGGTTCAGGGTACGAAGAGCGGCGTACATGTCCTGACATGGCGGAGGGACGAATCGGCGGATGAGGTGGGCATCGTAGTCACTGGCTCTGGGTTTGTGAGTGAAGCTCGATCTGTTGTTTTCGGCGAACGTACTGGAGCTGCTTGAGACAGTAATTCCTCGCTGAAGCTACATCTGCATCCGTGACATAGCCACGGCAGGTTCTTTGAGCCCGTGCAAGCCTATGGAGGCCATTGCACAAGACGCGAGATCGATTCATCCAGACGACCAGGACGGTTGCCGATCAAGTGAGAAGGTCAGGGCTATTCGCCGCAAAGTGTCGAGTTCATGCTTTCATTTCGCGACGAAATCATTGGAGCATGACGTCGGGATGGTCGAGCTTCGCGGATCTTCAAGTCCTTTAAAGTGGATAGGCAGGAGCGTGATCACGTGCTGACGTTCCTCGCGTTTTGCGCGTCGCCACTGTTCAACCGCGTCTCCCCCACGCCTGTTTGCCTCAAGATGCTTGCGCTCATGTTGCACGTAATAACATCCTCAGGTTTCCTGAGAACCCAATGATTACCCAGCGCAATGGACTTTCGATCATCACAGGAGCCTCCTGTGAAGAAACGTCGCTTCTTCCATGAGCAAGGCGAGCAGGCTTCGTCTGATCCTATTGCGTTCAGCCCTCGAGATGACAGCCCCCAAGTCCACAAGGAGCGCCCTCTGGGAGAAGAGATTGACGGCGAACCCGAAAATAGGCAAGTGTTGGTCGAAAGATCAGCAAACGAGACGCCAACACGCGTCCGGACACAGCCGCCCGCTCAGCTCCAACACGAGTCCTCGTCTGTAACTTTCGATAAGGATACCTTCGAGGCCTTTGTTGGTGCCAACGTCAGCAGCGATGTTATCTCGATTATCCAGGCTCACTGCGGTGGAAACCTCGAGCGAGCTGTCAACATGTACTTTGACGGCACATACAAGAAGCTTCAGAAACCACCATCACTAGGTACTCTCATCCGGCCGCAACCCTCGAGCCAAAACTCTCCAACGACTACACCGAACAGCGAGACACCGCCGCCTACTCGGCAAGATGTTCCCAGAGAGCGATATCTTGGTGCTTTCGGAGCTGAAGGTTGGGCTACATGCAGCGGCACGAATCTACTAAAGCATGGCGATATCGTGAGGATTGAGCGGCAGGTCGCACAGACATCCGCAGCGAAATCAAAGAGCCGGCAAATCCAAGCGAGAAAGACCGACGTTCTTGTGCGGTTCACGACGCAACAAGGCCGTGAAATAGGGCGCCTCCAAAGAGATACGTCCGCATGGGTGTCCGTGTTGATCGACCAGAAGCTATGCAGATTCGATGCTGTTTGCGTTTACGCCCCAGAGAGACTGCGAACCAACGAGACAGTCTTTCTGCAACTCAAGTGCCATTTTCTGAACTCTGCTTTTCAGAGGCGAGGCTTCAAGTTGGCCGACGACAGGTCTACCAGGCCTTTCGAACAAGAGGAGACGACAGACGAAAAGAACCTCAGGTTGCGACAGACAGCCATGGTGCGACTGTTTCAGGAGGTCAATCTGCAGCCTACAGTCGCCAATGAGAAAGCCAGTGAAGGTCGAAAAGGCCTGTTGAAGGCAGCCGAGATGGACGAGAAGAAGCAGAAGGAGGCCCAGAAGGCGGAAAAGCCCAGCGATTCTACACCTCCGTCCGAAGAGGAGGGACAGGAGCTAGAGCAGGATCAGCTCGATGCTTTGTACAAGAAGGCGCAGTCCTTTGACTTCAACACTCCGGAAGCTGAGCCAGCGGACACTTTTGCCATGACTCTTCGAACATACCAGAAGCAAGCGCTGCACTGGATGATGGCCAAAGAGAAAGACGAGAGAAGTAGCCGCGAACCATCGATGCATCCACTGTGGGAAGAGTACGTCTGGCCCACCAAGGACGTAGATGACAATGATCTACCCTTGTTCAGCGGAAAGGAGAAGTTCTACGTCAATCCGTACTCTGGGGATCTCACCCTCGACTTCCCCGAACAAGAGCAACACTGTCTCGGCGGCATACTGGCTGATGAGATGGGACTTGGAAAGACGATCCAGATGTTGAGTCTGATTCACTCTCATCGCTCCGAGGTAGCCCGACAAGCCAGTCTTACAGGCATATCAGATGTGAATCAACTCCCGAGGCTCGGAGCCAATGCGTCGGGTGTGCTTGATGCACCTTGCACCACGCTCGTCATCGCGCCAATGTCGCTTCTGGCGCAGTGGCAGAGCGAGTCGGAGAAAGCCTCCAAGGAGGGGACCATGAAGATTGAGCTATACTACGGCGCCGAGAAGAGCAACAACCTGCAATCACTCTGCGCAGGGGGCAATGTATCGCGGGCGCCTGACATTGTCATCACCAGTTATGGCATCGTTCTGTCCGAGTTCAGCGCCATTGCTGCTCGTGATGGCGACAAGTCCTGGCACAAGGGCATCTTCTCATTGAAGTTTTTCCGTGTCATTCTGGACGAGGCCCATCACATCAAGAACCGAGCTTCGAAGACTGCCAAAGCTTGCTACGATATTTCGGCGTCTCATCGCTGGGTCCTGACCGGTACGCCCATTGTCAACAGGCTGGAAGACCTCTTCAGTCTGGTGCGCTTCTTGGGCGTCGAGCCGTGGAACAACTTCTCCTTCTGGCGTACATTCATCACGGTGCCATTCGAGTCGGGCGAGTTTGTTAGGGCGCTAGATGTGGTGCAGACCGTGCTAGAGCCTCTAGTCATGCGTCGCACAAAGGACATGAGAACTCCGACTGGTGAACCCTTGGTACCCCTTCCGCCGAAGCAGATTGACGTTGTAGAGATTGAGCTGTCTGAAACAGAGCGAGGCGTCTACGACCACATATTCACCCGAGCGAAGCGGACGTTCTCTCAGAACCTCGAAGCCGGTACGGTGTTCAAGGCATACACGACCATCTTTGCTCAGCTGCTGCGATTGAGGCAGTCGTGCTGTCACCCCATGCTGGTTCGCAACCGCGAGATTGCGGCTGAGGAGGAGGACGTCAATGCGGCGGCTGATGCTGCCACCGGTCTGGCCGACGATATGGACCTGGACGCCTTGCTGAGTCACTTTACGGTCGCCGTTGAGGAGGCCTCCAAGGATAGCAACCAAACCTTTGGCGCGCATGCGCTGAAGGAGATTCGCGACGAATCGGAAAAGGAGTGCCCCCTGTGCTTCGAAGAGCCGATGAACGACCAACTCGTGACCGGGTGTTGGCATTCGGCCTGCAAGAAATGCATCCTGGACTACATGCGGCATGAGACAGATCGAGGCGAGGTCCCCAAGTGCTTCAACTGCCGAGAGCCCCTCGACAAGCGGGATCTATTCGAGGTTGTGCGCAACGAGGATGATGTCGACCCCGAGACGAACAAACCTCGGATCAGTCTGCAGCGTCTCGGGGCCAACACGTCTTCCGCCAAGATTGTCGCTCTCCTGAGCCATCTTCGTGCCCTACGCAAGGAGCATCCGCAGATGAAGTCGGTCATCTTCTCGCAATTCACGTCCTTCCTGTCGCTGATCGAGCCCGTTCTCACGCGCGCCAACATCAAGTTTCTCCGTTTGGACGGTTCGATGGCGCAAAAGGCCCGGGCGGCCGTGCTGCGCGAGTTCGCCGAGGGTCAGGGCTTCACAGTGCTCCTCATTAGTCTGCGCGCTGGCGGCGTAGGCCTCAATCTCACGAGCGCCGGTCGTGTTTTCATGATGGACCCGTGGTGGAGCTTTGCGGTCGAGGCGCAAGCGATTGACCGCGTGCACCGCATGGGGCAAGAGAGCGAAGTGTTTGTCAAGCGGTTTGTGGTCAAGGGCAGCGTGGAGGAGAGGATGCTCCGAGTCCAAGAACGGAAGAAGTTTATGTGAGTTTGCTGTGTGAGACGCTTGGAGACCTGTGGCTAACGTTGTGCAGTGCAACATCTCTTGGCATGATGAGCGACGAGGAGAAGAAGATGCAGCGCATCGAGGATATCAAGGAATTGTTGAGCTAATGTGGTGATATGTGGCATGGCGTGTTTTCATACGCCGTACGGGCGTAGCATGGACCGGCGTTTTGTTGGACGGACTCGTACGCATATACATTGACTGCAATAGACCGGGACCACGGGGCCAAGTGCTGGCTTTTGCTTGTCTCGCATGTTTTCATGGCTTGCGCTCTGCTCCTTTCCCTCGTCATGCATGGAATCGCGAACCGGGAGACACGTGTATTGGGAGGTTGCGCACAGAGTTGTGCCTCCACTGAATGTCAACATCGGCCCTGTCGGAGAGATAATGAAGGCAGGGCAATCTGGGAAACTTCAATGACCGATTATGAATTTGGTTGGCTCGGCAGTGAGGATGGTGCCGATTGATCTCGCCATCGCGACGGAGAATGACATGACCGGGTCTCAGCCAATGGTGGGCCAGGGACAAGTTGCGTCTTGAACATGGTGGATGAGGTATGATAATGCAATTACAATTCGAGGGTATTATTCAAGTATGTGCTCTTTTCCCCCTTTTGGCTATTCTATCCAGAGCTGCTCGACACCTTGCAGACTGACAACGCTGAACAATGACTCTCCAGGAAGACAAGGCCGTACTCGAAGCTCCCATGGGCGAGGGCGATAGCATTTCACTGGGAATTTCAACGCCACCGAACGAGGCATCCGATCTTGAGATCAAGAATGTCAACGAGAAGGCTCTCTTGAGGAAGCTGGACTGGCAATTGCTGCCGGCTGTTGGGATACTGTACCTGCTCTCCTTCCTGGACAGGTCCAATGGTTCGTTAACATGTCTTGTTGCTGAAACATACATGTACTAATTACTGACAGTCGGCAACGCGCGCATCGAAGGATTGCTCGACGACGTTGGCATGAGTACGCGAAATCCCGAGCACCACACGGACGAGCTGCGCAGCTAATTAGTGACTACAGCCGGCAACCAGTATCTCACAGGTCTCACCTTGTACTTTATCGGTTACGTTCTCTTCGAGATCCCGTGCAATGTCATCCTCAAGCGAACCTCGCCCCGAATGTGGCTACCAACGCTGGGTATAGTATGGGGTGTCGTGGCCACACTGATGGGGCTAGTGCACAACCTGCCTGGTTTCTTCGCCTCGAGGTTCTTTCTGGGAGTTGCAGAATCAGGTCTGTTTCCCGGCGTTGTGTTTTACTTCAGTATGTGGTACAGACGTCGCGAGAGACAGTTTCGAATCTCCCTGTTCTTCAGCGCGACGAGTCTGGCCGGTGCCTTTGGCGGGATACTTGCCTGGGGCATTGGGCACATGAGAGGAATCGAGTGGGAGAACGGTTGGCGCTGGGTCTTTATTCTTGTGGGTCTTATTAAGTTGAAGCTGCATTGAGTGTTGCTAATACCCGGCGAACAGGAGGGTATCGCCACGGTGGTCGTTGCTTTCGGCGCATACTGGTTTGTTCAGAATTATCCTGACACAGCCAAGTTCATCACCCCAGCGGAACGTAAATTTATTCATGCGCGTCTCGCTGCTGACAGCGACGCCACCATCGACGAGAGGTTCACGTGGGGGAACGCCCTTGAGGCCATCAAGGACCCCAAGTGCTGGCTGTACGGGTTGGGCTTTCACACCATGAGTCTGCCGCTGTACACCTTCTCCCTATTTCTGGTATGATTGGTATACAACCATATGTCTATTCTGTGGTTAATGTGAACAACAGCCTACCATTATCCGCAACTTGGGCTATACAGCAGCCATCGCCCAGCTCCTGACGATACCTCCATACGCCTTTGCGTTCGTCACCACGTTGACCGTCGCAGTGTTGTCGGAGCGTCTGGTCCAACACGCCATATTCATCGGCGGCTCTGCCATTTTTGCGTCTTTGGGGTACATTATCCTGCTCGCTAACACAGATCCTGTCCACCGGCCTGGCCTGTCCTATGCAGGTACTTTCCTCACTGCCGGGGGTATCTATCCTGCCACGGCCCTCGTGCTGTCCTGGCCGGCCATCAACGTCTCCGGGCAGACGAAGCGTGCCGTCGGCAACACAATGCAAATCACAATCGGCAATTGTGGTGCCGTGCTGGGCACGCAGCTCTACAGGTCCGGTGACGGACCCAGGTTCATTGTAGGCCACAGCTTTGCACTGGGCTATCTCTGGGCCAACGTCGTCGTCTGCACGAGCCTCTGGTGGGTCCTTCGAAAGGAGAACAAGAGGAGGGAGGCCATTTGTGAGGAAGTCAAGGCCGTGGGCGAGCTTGGAGACTGGCCAGGTGACAAGGACCCCAGGTGGCGCTTCGAGTATTAGCTTTTGTGACTGCCGGGGGGCCAGTGCCACGCGCCTATGACGTGTATATATGAATCAGGGTCATCAGACAGATTCAGTTGATAGCAAATGCCGCTGGTGGAAACTGATGTTCTGTCGCGCAGGATTGTCACGCTTATACCAGGCACAACTCGCTAGACCAGGGCAATGCCTTGGTCGCTTAACCACCCCTTGGATTCATGTGTCATTGTAATTAAGCCCTTGATAAGAGAGGGTCAGTCTTTGATTGAGGGAAACAGAGGACCATTTGGCGAGATTTCTCCCTAACAGGGCGTATCGAAGCGAGGACAAGCATAACTCATGACAAGACGTCACGCAATCCGCCGCCTGACGCATTCCTACGGAAACTGTTTCCTCTCCGTACAAAACAAACTTCGAGTGTCATCGCGATGCGCAGTTATCAAGCACTTTATTCCCCCGAATCGGCCAGTGATATTCCTCGGGCAAGCTTGTGCCGCCGAGTCACGAAACCCCCGAGCTGGTCATGATTCATGTTCTCCACGCAATCCTGTAAGATGCGAAAGAAAAGAAAAGGGGGGGAAACTGCCAAATGTGCAGGAAAACAGACCTATTTGAGGAACGAAGTCGAGAAAACGAGGGTCCGCGGACGTGGTCCGGTGGCACGTGCCACGGTAGAATGTCAAACATGCCTATGGTCGGGCGAACGATGAAGGTTTGATGCTTCTATTGATTTGATCTATGGCACAGATTTAACCGAGTTTGCTGCTTCGATGATGAGTCAAGCAAGCAAGACCTGGCGCTTGATGATGCCTGCCCATACAATGAGTCCTCGGCCATCCATGTTGCAGGCTCAACTCATATATGAAGCGATTGACGGCTTTTCTGGCGCTTCAGAATTTCTATAAAAACCTCGAGAATCAGCTCTCTTTTGTAAATCAGTCAAAATCTCTAGAAACCTTGGCCTTGAAGCCCAACCTCGCAAGATGGCGCCTCTCCCCTATTGCCACGGACGCCTTTCGTCACTACGTCTCAACGAACACCTTCTGTCACGCTCCAACATTGTACGCCGCTCAGAAGATTCCGGTGCCATCATTGGCGGTATATTTGGCGCTGTTGTGTTTGTCGTGATGCTCGGCTTCATCATCCACCTCCTCACTCGCAGACCCTCACCCCCCAAGAAATGCAAGAAGGGGAAAGATGGAAAAGGAAGCAAGAAGAAGAAGAAGCCCAAGAAGCCCCAGAGTAATGAACGCCCCGAGAACTGCGAGGATGACGAGAGCCCCTCTGGGTCCCCGTTCGCCTATTGGGCTGGATTCAACCCCCAGCCTGGTGCGGGCGGACCGCGGCCTCCTGGCCGTGGATACAACGGGGGAGATGGCCCAATGGACGCGCCGCCGATGGAATGCTCCTATGATGAGCCTGATTATGGCTTCGACAGGCGTGCACCGAACATGTACGGTGGGTTGTGGACTCCTCGGCAGTGGAGGGAATACTGCGATCAGATGGACGGAGGGAGGACAAGGAGGAGAAGGTCGGTTGGTTGAATATGGGCTGGTTCCTATTGCGGTGGGGAGATTCGACATGAGAAGCAAACGAAAGGGAGAGGTCCGCACAAGGGTGTAGAGCAGTAATAAGATCACAAAGTGTTTTGAGACGTTGACCATCATCTTCGCTAGCATCGACGAAATGTGCGCAGCCAGAAGTCATAAGCACCCAGTCCTACTCATAAACGACAGCAAGGGTTGAAATACATAATCAAGGTACAGGAGACGAAATGAATTCCTGAATATTGGGTCAGAGTTGCTGTTGCTCAGCTCGAACGACACCAATGACTTACAAACAACAGTGACAGCGTCATTCTTTGCCTTCCTCAGCTGGTGGTGCTTCATCAGCCGCTGCATCAGCTGGCGGGCCAGCAACTCCCTTGCTTGAGGCGGAGCTCCCCGAGCTTCTTGAACTCCTCGAGCTCGTGCTGCTCCCATAACGATGCTTCCGCCGGTGCTTCTTCTTCTTCCTTTCTCTAAAACGCACCGAGCCACGATAGCACCAGAAGAAGACGGCAAAGCCAACCAAGGCGACGCCCAGAACAATGCCCACTATGAGGCCGGTGCGTATGTTGGCATTACGCGTGCCATTGTCGGAGAACTGCCTGGAGAGGACGATGTGGGCATGCTGTGAAGGGTCTGCCCCATCAGCGGTGGGCGGTGCGTTCCAAGGGATATACATCCCACCTGTTACTGGAGGTTATGTGCGCTTGCGCATATGCGCATATGGTGGCACAAATGCACAATGAACATAGTTGTGCGCAAGAGCGCCAGCAAAAACGGGGGATCCTGCGTCGACTATGTACTCGGTCCCTCGTGGGGACCTTGCGGGCAGCGAGCGGGCGGATGCATGCGCGATGCAATGCACGCACTGGCACATGAGGGACGTGAGGCGATCAAGTGCTCGAAGCAGAAGGCGTGGGGTGCGAGCATATTCCAATCATCCGGACGCGAGGCTGGGTGGGAGGGGAGGATGTGGTCAGACGGGCGGCGTGAGGTGCTCTTGTTGTCCATGGCGATGTGCGATTGAGAAGCTGAGGCGTCCGGTTTGCATCGTCGACTTGGCTTTAGATGATGTCTGCTTTGAAGTCGACAGTGTAGCGAGACGAGAGAACAGTCATCTTGGCATGCTTCTCCTGCTCTGCTCACAGTGGTGCTTCTGTTCGACGACGGCCGCTGCTTTGATAAGCCAGGTTCGTTGACCAACAGTCTACATGTTGATACATGGGACATTCGTACAAGGAGGGAGTCCAGATGGTGCCGCTGGCGGGAGGGGGCCGTCGTGCATGCAGCTGTTCGTCCATTGAATGAATTAGTACAGTGGTTCGCCAGTGAACATGAGGGCGCCGTGCATCGAGCACACGGCGATTGGTGTGATTATCATCCAAGGAGGGGGTGCATTGGGTAGGAATTGGGCTCGTATGCAAGCCGAAGAAGAAGTGAAGTCAAACGAGGTGATTCGGGAGGGCGAGGTACTCAAGTGCTCATTGGCTACCCTGTAGTTGCTACCTGCAGCAGGACATCCCCATTGCAATATCAATGTCCAACATAATTCGTTGAATCCATTACAAGACTGTCGTTGTTACGGAGTAAGGGGTCTTTGTGCCGCTGAATCAATGGTCAATATTGAAGCGGACCCAGGGTAGATACAGTTTATGAGAAACTGGATGAGTCGTTGTTCATGACACCTCTGGAGTTGTGACATTCGCCCTACCCTAGACCTTGCCCCCTTCCAACCCCCGAGCTGAAAGAGAAATGATCGTTTGATGAGCTCGCCTCGGTCGGCAGTTACATGGCAAGACGGTAGACCCGACAATTGATCTCTCTTCATCAGGAGAACGGTAACCGCTGGCCAGCCGCCGGCATCAAGACCGATCCCCCTCTCTCACACACCTTGCCCTATTCGGACGCCCGAGCGACTACCGGAGGGTCCCGTCTAAGCCTCGGACTCGTCGGTCACGGCATGACCAAATTATCACCAGGGCCTCTTCAGCCCCAAGCAACTAGCCAAAGAGATGATTCGCCATAGTGCAGAATATAGACGTGACCCCATGGGGACCAAGTGCGTGGGCAATGATGGGGTTCGCTCCCACCGCGTCGGTTCGTCCTCCAAGGGCCGGACGAGTGCCATGTGGTCGGTACGTAGACGCAGGGCGACGGTATAAGTAGCCGCAACGTGGTGTAAGAAACCGTAGAGTGAGGATTCACTACCATCACACTGCCGTCGCTCTCCACACCACACAACATGTATTGCTGGTTCCTGGCAGCTAGTCTTCTTGGTGCGGCCTCAGCCCGGGTAGCCACGCCTGGAAACGAGACCCTTCCATACCTCGATGCAGCTCTACCTGCCCATGAGCGTGCTCGAGATCTCCTGGGTCGAATGACCTGGGAGGATAAGGTCGGCCAGCTAGGTGGCATCCGCCGTGCGGTCAGTCGAGTCAATGGGGAGCCATCGTTCAACCGAACTGCATTTGAGCAGACCCGAAAAACCCAGAATGGCCAGGTAGGTAAGGTCACCCTCCTTGTAATCCGCTTACTGCGAGACGCATCGCTGACGGACGGAAGGCCTTGGCTTCCAAATGAACTGGGCGGACGAGGTGCTGCCCATTGTCAATGAGCTTCGCCAGGAGCAGATTGACGACTCCCGACTGCACATCCCCTACATCACCATAGCGGACTCTGTCAACGGCATCTGGGTGTCTGGCGGCACCCTGTTCCCTGGCACCAACGCCATGGCCTCCTCGTGGAATGTCAATCTCTACGCCCAAGCCGTCGAGGTCATCCGCGACGAGAACCTCGCCATTGGCGTCCAGTGGGTTCTCTCCCCCGAGGTAGACCTGGCCAAGGACCCACGCAACGGGAGAAATGGAGAGATGTACGGCGAGGACGCCTATCTGGCATCCGAGTTCGCGACGCAGTACATCAAGACCATGCAGGAGCAGGACGACGACGGCTGGGTCAAGGTGGCCACCACCATCAAGCACTGGGTCTACGGCCAGGGCAGCGGCGGCGTCAACCGCGCCAGCATGCACGGTGGCATCAACCACGTCCTCAACGACCTTGGCGCGCCTTACATCAAGCCCATCCGCGAGGCCAAGCCGCTCTCCCTTATGGCGTCGTACGCAAGTGTCGACCACGTGCCCCTGTCGGTGAACCGCCATCTGCTGCAGGATGTGCTGCGCGACATTGTTGGCTTTCAGGGCCTCATCATGTCGGACGCCAACGCCATCGAGTACCTGTACACCGAGTCCAAGGTGGCCCGCTCGCCCATGGATGCGGCCAAAAAGGCCATCAAGGCAGGTCTGGAGCACGAGCTGCACCCCGGCGGCCATGGTGTCTTCACCACTCTGATCGATGCCGAGGACGACGAAGAGATCGTTTCCCTCCTCGACGAGTCTGTGCTGGCCCTCCTGCAGATCAAGTTTCTCACCGGCCAATTTGACAAACCGTTGCCGACGATAGGCGATATGAAGGCCACGCTCCGCAAAAAGGAGCACCTTGAGGTCAACAAGAACATGTCGAGGGAGTCCATTGTCATGCTACAAAACGACGGTCTCCTACCCCTGACCAAGGGCCATCTCGGCAAGGTTGCTGTCATCGGGCCCTACGCCGACATTATCAACGCAGGCATGTACGCCGCATGCAACTCGACCGACCCAGCCTACGGGTCATCCTTCCGTCGCTCTATGGAGCGTGAACTGGGCGCCGACGCTGTCCTCTATGCCCAGGGCACCAACTCCATCCTCCCTTCCAACGACACCGACGACGCGTCCATCCAGGAGGCTGTCTCGGCCGCCAAGGACGCTGGCCTCGCCGTACTCGTTCTCGGCTCCGGCCTGGGCACATTTGACCCGAGCACGGTCAACAACGAGCGCACAGATCAGGAGGGCTTCGCGCACGCTGACCTATCCTTCCCCGGCCAGCAGCAGCAACTTCTCGAGGCGGTTCTCGATACCGGTATCCCTACCATTCTGATCATGAGCTCCGGACAGAATTTCCTCCTCCCAGACTCTATCCTCGCTCGCACCTCAGCAGTGTTCCACTCATTCCTAAGCGGAGAGTTTACCGGCGATGTCCTGGTGGAGATCCTCCTCGGCGAGACCAACCCCAGTGGCAAGCTGACGGTCACGATCCCCGAGGCCAACGGCGCATTCCCCGTGGCATATGACTTTTTGCCGTCCGACGATCGCGGTGGCTTTGGCGCCGCGACAAAGTACGACTGGCACTGGCCGCAGCTCACACGGTCGCCTGCACTACGGTTCGGGTACGGCCTTTCGTACACGTCGTTTGAGATTGGCAATGTCACCGCCACCGCAGCAAGGGGTGCCTGCAACACGACTGCGGTGCACGTCTCCGCGTCTGTCACCAACACGGGTGAACGCGCGGGCCAGGAAGTGGTGCAGGTGTACTATCGTCCAGACGTCAGTGTCATTGAGATGCCTGTTATGAAGCTCATCCGCTTCAGCAAGGTGGAGGTGGAGGCTGGCGACACGGTCCAGGTCGAGTTCGTTGTGCCCGGACGTGATCTTGGCTACTTTGTGAACGGGGACTGGGTGGCGGACGGCGGGGACTATGCGTTTTGGGTGGGAAGCAGTTCGAGGCTGGAGGATCTGACGCAGGTCAACGTGACCCTGTCACACTGAGGATACGCTGTGATTAGTACCTAAGTTAGATTCCACCTAGTTCAGACTCATGAAGGCAGACCCTGCTCAAACAACCAGTCCCAGTCCTGCGGTCCTCCCCAGGAGAACAGTGGCTGCTCGACTTGGCCAAAACTGTTCAGACCCTGACCGTCGCCAACCGGGAAGAAACCCCCCATTGGCCATGCGCTCTGTCCGGAGCCCTGGAACGCGCCCATAGTCGTTGACATGGGCATCGCTTGTAGTCCATTGCTCGGCGACGGCCCCGTCGCGTTTGACCCCCGTTGCTCGGGTGAGACGGAATCCAGACTCTGGCAGAGCTCCTCTGCAGACGCCACTTCCCCAGGATTGACCTTCTCCTCGTCCCCGTCTTCCCCAAAGTCGGCTTGTCTGAGGAGACTGTGAACAGCCAGCCTCTGGTCTTGCCTCGTTACCGGCTTTGTGCTTCCCGAAGGCGGGTCCACGGACTGCTCGACAGAGGATGCGGCAGTGCCCGTGGTTGTCGTAGACGTTGTAGTGTTGACTGCGTGTTGGCGTTGCCTAAAGACGCCAATGGAATGCTCGAGCTCCTTGATTATGGGCGCCACGAGCACTGACGAGGGGAAGAACCGGCGTAGCGCGGCAACGGTCAAGTCAGCTCTGCTCGCTGCGTACTCTCCACTAGGTCTCGTCTCCGCATAGCGTCCGAATCTCGAAATGTAGAGAAACAATCGGGCGGCGTGGTACGCGCAGATTGCGGTGTCAAACTCGAGCGGCGTCGCGGCAGAGCTCTCTTGGTTCAGGGATGTCAGTATTTGTACGGTGGAGGCGGCGTGCTCCAGGCACAATGACTCTGCCTCGCGCAAATGGGCCGCCTGTACCCCCGAAAGCACCACGGGCGGCGCCGCCTCTGGGTATCCGGGGAGGAGGATGCGGTACAGGTCGCAATGGGCTTGGTGGAAGGACACCTGCATCGGTAGCCGCCTCGAAAGCCAGGGGCTCGACACACCGAGCTTGTCTGGCGGCATGGAGATTCTGATCTCCTCCAGGGATGCGACATGGTGCTGGATGAGCTCCATGAGATTCGGCAGTGGCTTCTCGAGCCCCTCGAGACTCCGCGTCAACTTCATAATGTCCCGCCTCACGACCTCGAGACGGACATGCAGGCTGTAGGCGCCGTATTCCCCTTGGACGTCTGTACCAAATTCATCTTCCGACGACGGGTAGTCGATATATATAGCTTCCATCGGACATAGCTCGAACTCTAGCAGGCCAACACAAAAGTACCGCTCTACAATCTTCAGGGACCAGAGAATCCTGCGACGGACCTCCCTCGCCACGGGATCCAGGTCGGGTCGTTCGTGGTTGAGACGCATTGCCGAGGCAAACCGCGCAGCCGTGGCGGCCAGCATGAAAGCGCGCTGGAACCTTCCCATCTCCATCCGGTGGTAGATGACGAGCAACAATGTCTGCAGTCTTGGGATAGTAGGGTGTTCAAGGTGCAGCCACACGCTATGCTCTGCTGCGCTGATCCACGCCTCGTGATCGACGTCGAGCCTCGTGTGCAACGAAGTCATGGCGGCAATGGCCGATGCCAGCGCACGGTGCATCTGTCCATTCCTGCACCGCCGCTTCGTGCTCTCCGGGTGGAGGAAAGCGTACGAAGGCAGGGGGCACAGAGTCGAGAAGAAGGAGTCGACGAGCGCCAGGATGCTGTTCGTGACCGGGTGGCTGGGGCTGAACGGCGAGGGAGCGTTGCCAGGCGGTGTCTCGAGGGGCGAAGGCTGGACGACGGGACGCAGTTCCTCGTCATCCATCTCTTCAGTAGCCTCTGGTGCCTGTGGAGGCGGTCCCCTCCTCGAGACGGGGTATACACATCGTATGCCCTTTTTGCTGCAGCCAGCGCATTCTGGGAGACTGCCCGAGCATCGCGTCTTCTTCTCTCGGCACGCCACGCATGCTTTGGGTCCACGCAGCCTCCCGGGCTTGGCAGTCTCAGCAGCATTCCTCCTGGTGGACAGGGAGCATGGCAGACTCAGCCGCTCGCAGCTCGAGCAGCCGCCTCGCCTCTTGTCGCAACGCACCTTGCGAGCCCGGCACTGGGTACATGGCTCCAAGGGCGCACTGAGATGGTTTGAGCGAAACGTAGTGAGATGCTGTTCCATGCTGCCTGGTCTGGTAGGAGGGGTTCGGGTCGCCGTTGGTGCAGTTTCCGTCTTATGAGGCCATGTCAAGCAACATCAGGCGGGTTCAGATGGCAGACGAGGCGAATCGAAAAATGCCATGAGCTTGGACAATGCTTCAGGAGCGGATAGCCTGGCAATTGAGTCGGCAGGTCACAGTGAATTTGTGTGAGGAGAACGAAGATGCTGTTGCGAGAGGAAGGAAAGGAAAGAGCGCGAGTATCCGCAGCAGCAGCAGCTACCCTAGAGGTCCAATTCGACCACGTGATCTCCAGAGGTCTAAGCTAAGTCCAAGAACATAATTCATTCAAAATGGCACAATGTATTATTATATATGGTCATGTCTACTAGGAGACAGTCTCTTGAACGCAACCATGCGCGCCTTTGTGCGCCACACCGACCATAGCTAGGCTAGTCCTTCCTGTCCGGTACAACAGTCTCCTGGCCCACCCCGTCTACGTGCTGGGCACCCTGATCACTAACCTTGAAGCTCTCCGGGTCTCTGTCAGGCAGCGCGTTGCCGCCAAAGACTGTATAGATCGGTCAGCAAACCTCCACAACGCCAAAAAAGAGGGACACCACGTACGCTCGTCCATCTGCTCGAGCGACTTGCCCTTTGTCTCCTTGATGAAGAACCAGACAAAGACGACGAGGGCAAAGTTGAAGACGGAGAACATGACAAACGTCTTCCAGCCGAGATTCTCGACCGCGTGCGGCGTCGCCTGCGAAAAGACAAAGTTGAAGAGCCACTGCGTCGCCGTCGCGAGGGCCACGCCCGCCTCCCGGATGCGATTCGGGAAGATCTCGCCCGTGTAGACCCAGGGCACGGGACCCCAGGAGATGTTGTAGCTCATGGCCTCGAGGTAGATCATGGTGAGCGAGGCGATGGAGGCCGGTGTGAGGCCGGCGTCCGGGTCGGGCGGGAAGACGGCCGTCAGCACCGCCACGATCAGCATGTACATGCCCATGAGGAGGGCGCCGGCGAGGAGAGACCCGCGACGCCCGAGACGCTCTACGAGGAAAAGGAGGAAGAACAGGCAGGCGATGACCTTGACGAGGCCAAAGAAGCCGGTCAGGAGGAGCTTGTTATCCCCCGCGCCCACGAGGGAAAAGATCTGGGGGGCGTCTGTGTCTGGTTAGCGACCTGCTTGCACGGTGGAAAAAGAGAGGGGGCGACTCACAGTAGGCCATGGATGTGTTGCCCGTCAGCTGCACGCCGATCTGGAGGCAGACGATGAGGATGAGACGGTGCCTGTTGCTGGGCACCTGGACCAGCTCGCGCCAGGTGACGCCCGACTTGTCCCTCGCCTCCTCCTCGATGCCGACGAGAATCTCGGCAAACTCAGCCCTGACCTCGTCGTCCTCGCCGCCGCGGACCCAGGCGAGCGACTTCATGGCCTCCTCGTGGCGCCCCTGCTTGGCCAGCCACCGGACGCTCTCCGTGGTCAGGAGCATGCCCAGCCCCAAGATGGCGCCGGGGACGAGCTGCATCCCCACGGGGATCTGCCACTGGGCGGTGGAGTCGGGGACGTGCTCGCTGACGGCGTAGTCGATCCAGTAGCTGGTCATGACGCCGAGGGTGAAGAAGAACTGGAACATGGAGCCGAGCATGCCGCGGATGTTCTTGGGCGCCATCTCGGCCGAGTAGGCGGGGATGATGACGGTGGCCATGCCGACGCCGACGCCCGAGATGACGCGGGCGACGTAAAAGGCGGCCAGGGAGTGGGTGTTGATGGTCTGGATGACGGCGCCGACGTTGAAGATGGTCGACGCGAGGACAATGGACCAGCGTCGGCCGTACCTGGCCATAAAGGGCCAGATGAAGAAGCAGGCGAAGAAGGCTGCTCAATGTTAGTCGAGACTGTCGAGTACCAGGGGGTCAGAGACGGCCTACCGCCTGCCTGGAGCAGACTGGTCGAGTTGGACCCGACGGACGCTCGCTGGGCATCGCTGTAGCGAAAGTCGCGCTGGAACGACTTGAAGGTGAGGATGCCGCCGACGATGCCCGTGTCGTAGGCAAAGAGGAACGAGCCCACGCAGCACAGCGCCACGAGGTAGACGGCACGAAACGTGCCCAGCGCTTTGCCCATTGTTGTTGGATCGAGCTTGGCGTATGAAGAGATAGAAGTTGACCCGTTGGCTGAGATGGGCCGTGGAAGATCGAAACCAAGGAGTGAGCGTGGCCTCATATACTCGCCCATCCAGCCTCGCCCCCCTAAAGAGTCACCACCGTCGTGTACAAAGGTCAGTGTGCCACCATCCAGGGTCGCGAGCACGTCAATTCGGTAGAGGGTCACGATCGACCAATGGTAGCAGTCCCGGCAGGGTCTGGGGAAGATGGCTGGCCTCGTGGCGCGCCCCGGCTGCCCCAGAAAGTCTGCGATGCGGAGGAGGAGGTGAAGAAGGGTGCGCTGGATCCGGGAGCATGGCCGACTACCGAGTTAAAATCGGAGTCGGCAATCACCCTTTGAACGGGCGAACCGATAGCCGAAGGGTGATTTTGCTCCGTGAAATGTCCAAAGGCTTGGCGGCCCTAGTTCACCGACATGTCCGAGGTCGCATTCTTTCCCGGAGCAACCAGACGCCTTCACCTCCTCCGTCCTCGCGCATCGTATCCGTACTCTTTGGGACGATTGCACGACTACCGAAGCTGATGGAGACGCGAAGGATGCCTCCTCCGCCCAGCAAGTCGCATGTGATGGCCCTCGTCATGAGCGCGCCCAAATGTTGGAGTCCTAGATGATGTCTTTTTCTCTCTTGACCCTTTCTTCTGAATGATCTCTTCCTTCAATCACTCCTTGAAACTGGCAGCAGCAGATCACTCATCATGGCGCCCAACATCATCTTCATCATGGCGGACGACCACGCGTCCAAGGCGATCAGCGCCTACGGGGCGGGCATCAACCACACGCCCAACATTGACCGCCTGGCGGCCGAGGGCGTGCTGCTGAACCACTGCTACGTGACCAACTCGATCTGCACGCCGTCGCGGGCGACGATCCTGACGGGCACGCACAACCACGTCAACGGGGTCAAGACGCTCGACGACCACATTGACACGCATGGGCCCAACGTCGCCAAGCACCTGCGGCAGGGAGGCTACCGGACGGCCATGGTGGGCAAGTGGCACATGGGCGAGGGTCCCGCGCACGAGCCGTCCGGCTTCGACTACTGGAGCGTGCTGCCGGGCCAGGGCGACTACTGGGACCCGACGTTCCTCAACTCGGACGGCAACGACACGGTCGAGGAGGGCTACGTGACGGACATAATCACCGACAAGTGCCTGTCGTGGCTGGAGGCGACAAAGGACACGGGCAAGCCCTTCTTCCTCATGTGCCACCACAAGGCGCCGCATCGGTCGTGGGAGTGCGACGACAAGCACAAGGACCTGTACACGGCGCCGGTGCGCGTGCCGGAGACGTTCAGCGACGACTACAAGAACCGGGCCAAGGCGGCCAAGGTGGCCAAGATGCGGGTGGCGGACGACTTAACGTATCAGGACCTGGGGCTCGTGCAGCCGGACGGGGGCCGGCGCGTGGGCGAGCGGGTGCAGCAGGAAGCCGGGGACGCGCAGCGCAAGATCCCCAACGACGCGCGGCGTCTGATCGACAAGGACGACGGGACGGTCTTCACCTTTACGGACGCGGCGGCGCTGGCGGCGTTCAAGTTCCAGCGGTACATGCAGCGGTATCTGCGTGTGATCCAGTCGGTGGACGACAACGTTGGACGGATGCTGCGGTACCTGGACGCGGACGCGGAGCTGGCGCGCAACACGCTGGTCGTCTACACGTCGGACCAGGGCTTCTTCCTGGGCGAGCATGGCTGGTTCGACAAGCGGTTCATGTACGAGGAGAGCTTCCAGATGCCGTTTGTGGCGCGGTACCCGGCGGGGATTGCGGCGGGAGGCGTCTGCGACGCGATTGTGCAAAACGTCGACTTTGCGCCGCTGTTCCTGGAGCTGGCGGGTCTGCGGCAGCCGAGCTACATGCAGGGCCGGTCGTTCCTCTCGCTGCTCCGGGGCGATGCAAGCCAGCAGCAACCTGAGGGCACGGTGGCGTACCACCGGTACTGGATGCACAACGACGTGATTCACAACGCGTACGCGCACTACGGGGTGCGCGACCAGCGGTACAAGCTCATCTACTGGTACAACGAGGCGCTGGGGGTCAAGGGGGCGCGGCCGGGGGCCGAGGAGGAGAAGGAGTGGGAGCTGTTTGACTGCCAGGAGGATCCGCTCGAGCTGTTCAACGTGTACGGGGAGGCGAGGTACGGGGATGTCGTGCGGAGGATGACGAGGGCCCTCGAGGAGAAGATGGAGGAGATTGGCGACGAGGCGGTGCACCTGCGGATCGGGCCATGCCGGCTGTGAGGTGATTGAGTGTTCGAATATGATGGCAAGGACTTGGCGGGCTGGTGAGGGGGGAAGAGTGAAGTCAGGAGAGGGTGAGGACTGAGGACTGAGGAGGTCGATGGACGTGGAGCGTGATGGACGGCGACCAAGTCCAATCTAGGGTCTACGTACCCGGTAACGAGTACATAGTACAGCAGTTAAAATGTCCACGCACCATGTTTCCAACGTCTTAAACCCCGATAGGCACGGTCCTGGTCAATTGATCAGTGCGGTCAATGAGACGCCAACCACGACAGGACAAATCTCCAGTCATTAGCTCCCAATCACCATCTTTGTCGTTCATCCTCTCTTGAGAATTGAATCTTGCTCGCACTGATACCCACTGTTTAAAGCATCTGGAGAGCGCACTACTGCGCATCGGTGGCCCCAGCGTTTCAGCCATGCAACCGCCAAAAAGCCGGCGCCAGGAGAGCAGCGCGACACGCGGTGCGCTCACACGCTCATTCTGTCCACACCAGCAAGGTTGACTGGGGCCTCTCCTTTTAACGTTGCGTGCGCCGTGCCGATTGGGCAGGTGACGGTGGGCACCGTTGCGCGTACATCCCGGTTCGGCTGTGATCTGTCGGTGGCTTCATGGTTCAAGGTTCCCTGCTTTTCGAGATCAGTGAACGTGTTGGTGTGGATAGATGCACGTCCTTTTGGTGGTGGCGGTGATGGAAAGGGGAGAGACAAACCTAAACGTTAGATAGACGCTGACGATCTTGTTCGTCCTCTCCATCCTCATTCCAGCCAGTGCCTTTTCTCTTTGCAGGTGCGCAGATTGTCATTTATTCGCTCGTTCGTTGCTGGAGAGAATCATTTCTGAAGGACAGACATTGAACGTCATTCGTCATTCCTTGGACTGGACTCACTTCCCACTCACTCGTTCTTGGGTGGACATTCACTCGCTTGACTGATCTCTGGACTGGCCTTGACGACCTTCTTTCGCTTCGCTGGTCGAAGAAGCATCACTGGCCTTGACGGTCAATCCTGTATACTTGCCCTACTATGTATCTTTCCTTACGAGGCACGGCACTCTCATTACATGCACTCGCAGCGACAGTAGCCGCCTGGCCAGAGATCGGACCGCACGACCGCAAGCTCAACTACCGATTCTTGCCCTCCCTCGACGACGAGGACCTCTCCTCCGGCCATGGAGCATCCTACAGCACACTGCACATCCCCACAGCCAACCGTCGACACCTCCCCACCCTCGACGACGACGACGACGCCACTGTCTTCACCCTGCCCATCGTCCACGCCCCCAAGCCCGCCCTCGTCTCACGGGACCTCGAGATCCAGCTAGAGAACCGCTCCGACGTGGCCTACTATGCGCCGCTGTACATTGGCGCCCCCGCGCAGCAGGTCTACGCCCAGCTCGACACGGGCTCCTTTGAGCTCTGGATCAACCCGGACTGCGCAGGCCTCACGTCCAAGACGGACCGCACCTTTTGCGCCGCCGTCGGCCACTATGACCCGGACGACTCCAAGACCGCCAAGGACACGGGCGACAGCAAGACGATGAACTATGGCGTCGGCAAGGCCGAGGTCGACTACTACACGGACGACGTGGCCTTCTCGGACGACAAGGGCGCCAAGACCATCAAGGCCGTGCAGTTTGGCGTTGCGTGCAAGAGCGAGGACCAGTTTGCTGGCGTCCTCGGCCTTGGTCACGGCAAGGGCGTCAACACGGACTACCCCAACCTCGTCGACGAGCTCTACGAACAGGGCGTCATGAAGCGCAAGGCCTTTAGCGTCGCCCTCGGCAGCAAGGCTGAAGGCACCGGCGTCGTCGCCTTTGGGGGCGTCGACACGGCCAAGTTCACCGGCCCCCTCGTCGCGCTGCCCATCCTCCCCGCCAAGGACAGCCCGGACGGCGTGGCGCGGTACTGGGTCGAGCTCGAGGGCATCTCCCACGGGGGCAGTACCGTCCAGGGCTCCGGCATGCCCGTCTTCCTCGACACGGGCGCGACGCTGACGCTCTTCCCATCGAGCGTCGTCAAGCGTATTGCCGATGGCCTGGGCTCGTCCGGCCAGGACAGCGCGGGCCACTACGACGTCGACTGCGCGCTGCTGGACGAGGACGAGACCATTGACTTTGATTTTGGTGGGGGTCTGACGGTCAAGGTGCCCTACAAGGAGGCCATCCGGCATTTCCACAACGGCGGCGATCCAAGGTGTTACCTGGGTATTGCGCCGAGCGAGGACTACGCTCTGCTGGGGGATACGTTCCTGCGGTCCGCCTATGGTATGTGCTGGCGAGAGTTCTGACAGGGAAGAGTAGTGTACTAACAGTGGCAGTCGTCTTTGACCTCGAGTCGGACATCGTCTTCATGGCGCAGTATGAGAACTGCGGCCGCCAGGTGAAGGCTATCAGTGGCGATCTCGAGGGGATGAAGGGGTCTTGCGGCGGCAGCACCAAGTCTGATGAGGAAAAGAACGAGAAAGCGGACAAGGTGGCTCCCAAGACGACCACTCAACAGGCCATGGCTTCGTCTACGGCAGAAGTGTCCTCTACTGAGGTTTCTACCGCGGCATCTACCGAGGCGTCTACCGAGGCGTCCACCGAGATGTCTACCAAGGCGGCGTCAGCCACAACGACCGTCTCCAAGCCCAAGGAGACGTCCTCTGACGAGAGTGGCGGAGACTCAGCGGAGGAGGAGGAGAAGCCGCAAGAGGAAGAAGAAAACGCAGAGTCAGACTCGGTCACGAGCAACAAGGACAGCGAGAATGCCAACAACGACGAGCCCGACAGTGCAGCCGGTAAGGTCGATGGCCTCCTCGGTCTGAGCGTGGTCATTGTCGTAGCCCTGGCGATGTTGTAATCGGGTGTAGGCAGGTAACATAATGGTAATAGATATTTCCACGCACTATATATGTCCATGCGATGGATTGAGCACGTCTAACAATGGCAACTATGTCCTCATGCAGTATATACTATAGCTCCCCCTCCCCTCTGTAGTCACCACTAGATCGGTCCCCAAGCAGACTACAGAGGACGAATCTGCTTGACGCAGGCAGGCCCCTTGCCCTGCACCCCGCCAAAGTCCGCCAGGGACAGCGTGGCCGCCGGCGTGGCAGCCAGGCTACCGTCCGCCGCCCTCTTGAATGCAGCAACCGCGACAGGGCCATTCTGGTTACCGACAAAGAGCTCGGTCCCCGCCGGCGAGAGGGAGAACATGCGTGGAAGGACACCACCCGTCTCAGTCTCATCGAGGATCTTGAGAGTCCCCTCGGCGGGGCAGACGGCGTAGATGGCAATGTTGTCCGAGGGCGCCCCCGTGAGACGGTTGGACACGTAGAGGTGGGCACTGTCAGGGGACAGGGCGATGCCGCCGGCCGCGGCGCCCTCGGGGCCTGTCCCGTCGACAAAGGTACTGATCTCCTGGGTGAGCGTGAGCTCGAGGGCGGCATCAGTGTAGGTGACGGTGTACGCGAGGACCTGGTTGCTCAGCTCGCAGGTGACAAAGTAGTGCGTTGCCTCGTCGACGGCTGCACCGTGGGGGTAGAAGGTACCGTGACGGGGACCGCAGCCAGCTGGGGTGGCGGTGGTGCTTGTGAGTGTCCAGGCGTCGTCCTTGGAGTCGATGAGGAGGATCCCATCGGTGCCGAGGTCGTTGACGACGAACCAGCGACCAGAGGGGTCGTTGACGGACTGGTGAGGGTGGGCGACGTCCTGGTTTGGTGAGACGGGGCCTGTCTTGCCGGTCGAGTTGATGGTGGTGATGAGGCGGAGCTGGTCGTCGGTCGTGTCCCAGACATTGACGGCGCCGCCGCCGTAGGCTGCTGATACCATGCGGGTGTTGTCCTTGTTGAGGGCCAGGTGGACGGAGGCGAGCGAGCCGGATGCCTTGGCCACGGGCTCGCTGAGAGAGACGCGGGTGCTGTTGGCGGCCGACAGGTCGAGGTGGTACAGGTAGATGTCGCTGGACCACTCGTCCACGGCGTAGAGCTTGTTGGGCTCGACGAACTCGACCCAGGTGGGCGCGCCGGGGACAGAGGCGTTGAGCACGGGGGTGAAGGCGGAGCCCGTGTACGAGGCGACAGTGATCTGGCCAGTCGTCGACATGACGATGGTGGATGGCGCCGAGTTGTTGCTGTAGGTGCCCTTGGGCAGGGGCACGGAGGCGACCGCCCCGAGGGCAATGGGCTTGAAGGGGATTCTCATGATGGCGGTATCTCTGCCTGCTTGATGCTTGCTAATGATGGAATGTCGGGTCGTTCTGTGAGCGGAAGAGAGCGATTGAGCTGCTGAGTAAAGTTGATCTAGACTGGTATATAGAAGAAGGTGATGATCGACGCGCACAGCACGGTGATGAGAGTACAAGAGTAGACAGACAGCCTTGTCAAAAGGTCAAAAGGTCAAAAGGTCAAAAGGTCTAATGATGAAACGAAACAAAGACGGCCGTCAGACAGACAGAAACAAAAGATGGGACGGATATAGGAGCAAAGAAATCATGAAGCAAGCACAAAGGCGAAGGCGGACGATATATGTGTCAAGGGAGATAGATGGACCACACGGAGGAACGTATGGAGGTGGTTCGTGCCATCATCCTTCGAAAAGGTACCGTGGCAGGCAGGCAGGCAGGCGGCCATGCTGGGGTCCAGGAGCAACGATGGATGGTTTGGGATCGTCGGTGCCCACGGCATCTGGTCTTTGTTCGCGCGTTTCGACACCATGCGCGAGCGAGGAATGCAGCAGGTGAGACGAGGCTGCCAACACTATATCCATCCATGGGAGTGGTGTTGCGCAAACGGCAGGCTCCATTGGCTGTGCGTCGCCGAGTGACCAGGCTCGCCTTTCATTCTTCTGAGGCCTGCCAGTGTAGCGCGTGAAGCCAGTGAACTGGGATTGAGTCGAGTCGATGGTTGGTGGGTGAAGGATGGCGGTTGAAACGAACGCGGTAAGCATTGCAACGATCATACGTAGCGGCACCTTCTGCGCAGTGATTGGCTGGGGGGCGCTAGAAACGCCGCAGGGGGGGCGGCAGTGCCGATCAGGGGGCGCACAGTGTCAAAATGCACTGGAAGTACCCGCACTGTCGCGCCGCACGGTACGCAGCTATTAACAGCTTCTCTTCTCGGCAGCCAGACAAGCCTCAGCCTCCAGTCGTCGTGACATGACCTTCTCTATTGCTCCTAGACTACTCCGTACTCCGTACTACGTAGCATATGCTGCAATTATCGAAGAGACACCACACGTGCGCCTCACTATTTCCAGAGAGCATGCCGCAGATCCTCGCACCTCGTCTGGCGGCTGAAACGCGAACAAACAACCCTCTCCCCTGCCTTTCCTTGAACAATCTCAAACCGCTCAGGTTCAAATCCTATAATAACTCACGATGCCTCTACTGATTACTTTCTGTGAAACTCATCAAAGGTTATTTCCGTCTGCCCGCTCCGTGACAAAGTGCAGATAGCAACTGCCAACAGCTAATTAATCTGTGTAGACAAGAAACATCATTGATGAAGACAGAAGTCTGATCATTGACGATCTTCATCTCCGGATGCTTTTCCTCAGATTGATTGACACATTCTACAATGAGCTACGATCAGCGATAGTTCTTCGGGGCCAGAAATGTGTTTTGTCGATCCAGCATTGGCACGTACCTATGCTGTGTCTTTGTATCTTTGCCGCAGAGTAGCCAACATCGTGATCACTGACAATGGCTTGGGTTGGGTTGGCCTGTATCCCTTGACAACGTCTTAACGACCAGGTTCCCATAATTCAGCTGTCTTGATATTATTATAAACGACATTAGACCGCAGCGTACTGAACAAAAACTAAACAGGTATCTATTCCAAACAACCCCATCACCACGTCAGAGCAAGAGCCTTGCCCTCATAGCTCTTCCCATCCTTCTCCAGCACCCTCGTGGTGATAAACCGCCCCACGGCGCCCCTCGAGATGGTATATCCAACCTCCATCTTCTCATACTCCGCCGTCTTGGCATCGTCAATGCCCATGCGCACCTTGTCGTCGTTCTCTGGCCGGTCCGTGTCCACCAGCAGACTCGGCCGCACAATGACGAACCGCTCCCCAGAATCGGCCAGCGTCTGCTCCATGTTCCGCTTATCAGCGTGCGCCTCGGCCAAGCCCCAGTGATACAGAGGATACAGAAGAACGGGATAGTCGCGGACACCCGACCTGGAGATACCCGTGGTGCTGAGTGCGCAGATGAGGGGGCGGCCCTGGATGCCCTGTGTTCTGACTTCCTTGAGCGCAGCGATGAGCGTCCGCATGCCCTTGGCGCAGACTTCGGGGTCGGCCAGCCTAAGAGACATGCCCGTGGGTCGTAGACCGATGGAGGTACTGACGCGGTCGACGAGGCGGCCTTGGTGGACGAGGGCTCCCTTTACGTCCTCGAGGTTGTGGGCGTTGCCCTCGCGGACAATGAGGGTACTGGGGTACCGTTTCGAGAGGTCGTCGACCTTGGAGGGATAGCGCAGTAGGGCGATGCAGGTGTGTCCATCCTGCAAAGCCGTCACGAGCGCAGAGTGGCCACAGCCAAGGGAGGCGCCGATGATGAGGATGGTGAGGGACATGACGCGGCAGTAGAGGTGATACTGGATATGATATGCTGTCTGGTATACGATTTTCTCTCAAAAGTAGAGCAATGCCGTCCTATTTATCTTCCTTTGAAGCATGCAAGCCTTTCACGCAATACTGTCGTCGGCGCAACTTACACCCACGACCCCGAATCGTGGCGTTTTTAGCGCGGCCACTCATCTGTTACGGAACAAGTGGTGGATGCCGCACCGCACTAACAGGGCTGATGGAGTCGGACAGATTCACGCCGCCTTGGTGGAGCACTCGGCTGACAGCATGTGTTGTGGCCAGCGGAGAAAAGTCCAATGTCCGCCATAGCACTGAGCGAAAAGGAAGAGCGTCGGACTTCAAAGTACACTGCGCCTCATTTCAAAGCCCATGTCATAGTTCTGCCTAAATAAAGGAGTGGACTGCCGAAGCATTATCCTCACTATACTGTACTTGTATACCCTGCATGCCATATGATACTTGTTGCCGATACCGAAATCCCACTGTCGAGACGAAAAGGATATTATCTGAGAGGAAAAAAAGGCCTGTAGGAAGAAAAAAAAAGGAAAACCAAAGCAACCCAAGCCTGGACGCCGGAATCATGCTGCGCCAAAGTTGTTGTTGCCGGCCGTTATTGTCCCTCCTCACGCATAAATGCACACGCTGCCACCAGACTAGCCTCGGCCAGACTCATGTAAAAAGTCAATCTCATATTAGAGCCTAGCTCTGACGCCAGTACAGGGCGCATCCGGCCACAACAATGGCCAGCAGACTGGCTTGGGCTCTTGTCCCCGCGTTGCCGCCGTCCGTGCTGCTCTGGTCCCCATTGTCGTTCGACAGACCCTGGTCAAAGTTGCTCCAGTCATAGTTGTCCGTGGGCTGCGTACCGCCGGTGTCACCACCGGTCCCAGCGCCGCTGCCCGACGACTCGCCCTCGTCGCTGTGGTCGTTGCCGGTGGACCCCGTGGTGCCACCCGGGACGGTCTTGGGCTCTTCCTTGTTGTCGTCCTTGTTGTCGTTTTTGTTGTCTGTCTTCTTCTTGCCCTTGTCCATGTTGAGGCCCGTGGCTTGCATCGAGGCGAGGACCGTGTCGCGGTCACCGTCGACAATCGTGTTGTTGGTGCCGGCCTCGCCGTCGTACCAGTAGCTCTTGTTGTCGTTGGTTCCAATGCCGTCCTTGCCATCGTAGCACTCGATGCTGACGGACTCCACCTCGACGTAAAAGTAGCCCACGTTCTTGATGTCCTCAGCGTTCCAGTCAATGGTGCCGCCCGCCCAGTTGACGGTGCCCTCCGGGTTGCCCTCCGCACCACCGGGCCACAGCGAGAGCTGCACGCGGGCAGGCGTCTGGGGGAACTCCCAGAGTTGGGCCGTCGCGTTCCAGGTGCCCTCGCGCTCGACGCTGCGGCCGACCTTGCCGTCAACCAGCCACTCAATCTTGTCAGGTGTCCAGCGGAATTCGTAGTCGTGAAAGTCGCTGAACGAGTTCTCCACCGTAATGTTCTCGGAGTTGGTGTAGTTGGTGATACCCTGGAAGTAGTAGTTGGTCTGCGCCGTCTCGAGGTCGACACCAATCCACTCGTAGTCAATCTCGTCCTTGACGTCGGAGAAGAGAATAAAGGCCGTGACGACACCACGTCCACGCGACGACTTCATGCGTGCCTTGACGTTGCCATACCATAGATAGGTCGTTGACGACATCACCGTGCCGACGCTGCCCTTGGGCATGGTGAGGAGGACATTGCCGTCGTGCAGGGCGGGCTCGCCCGAGGCCACCCAGTCGTAGTCGGTCGGGTCGCCGAGGTAGTCGCCGATATCAGCCACACGCTTCAGGGACTTGAAGTCGAGTTCCTTGCTCTCGCAGACGGGTGCGGGAGCGCAGGCGTCGAGCGAGTAGGAAGCGGTCGGGTCACAGCCGCCGAGGCAGAAGGCGCCGATGCCACACTCGCCGTATTCTGGATATTGTTAGCTTGAAGACTTTCTGAAGAGAAAAGGAACACGTACGCGAGCAGCAAGGTGTCGCCTTGGGGCACTTCTTGTCGCGCGAGCACTCGGCAGCACCAAGCACGGAGCAAGCGCCCAAGAGCGCTGCCAACACCACAGACTTGAGCATGGCTATGGGAGCAAAACGCGGCCAGAAAATTTTGTGCAAGAAAAGTACAGGACAGGTTTTGAACCCGCTATAGGTAGGTAGGTAGCGAAAGGACGGAAGCCAAGGTTGTTGACAGTCCTGTGAGCGACTGGAATGCTGATGCGACCCAGGTGTGCATAAAACGATGAGACACGCGCGTGATGACGACGGCTAAAGTCGCTTCTGTACGCGTGTGTGAGTCGATCTCGGACAGGTGCTTTTTCGGTGTCTCGTGCGACCGTTGTCGAAGTGTCAGATTGCGGAGTGCAGGTGGCGGATGCCTGTGTCTCGGAAAGGAATCTGCAGCAGAGCGAGCGAGCGAGCGAGCTGTACTGATGAAGATTCGAGGCTGCTGCAAGGGAGCCTAGGCCAGAGAACGAGCGTATGACCTCTGCAAACGATGCCGCCTGCGATGACGAGAGCAGGACTGGGCTCTGATTCCTGGCAAAGGGTCGTGAGTGGTGAAGTGAGGGAATGAATGAATGGGCTGCGGATGGGCGAGAAAAGGAGGACCAGACTGGACTGTGCCTGTTGCTGCGCGTCTGGGGGCCGCCCAGCTTAATTGGGCCGCTCTAGACGAGCCATGACTGGATCGGACCGCCAGGGGGCCGATTGAAGCGGAGACACCCAAGACTAATTAGGCTAGGTAGGCTAGGTAACTGTTGCCATGTTTGTTGCTCTGCAGCTCTGCAGTGTATCACATTGTTGTATGTTGGTTATTCAAAATGGCTCAAAGAGGTCGTGCGCATTGGTACTAGACCCGAGCATCGTCGTTGAAGTAGTTCCCCTATAGGACCATGTAAGTGAGAGTTCGCGGGAGAGACTTTGGCTTCACAACTTACTGTTCAGCGTCTTCACGTGGGTCCCAACTCGGACTAGCGCGTGATCAACGACAAGGCACGCTCGTATTCACGATGCGGGATCATGCGGCCGCTTGGCACTGGCAAGGCAAACCTCAGTCAAACAAGACCGCCAAAATGCCTTCAAAATTCTCAGGTAAATGATGACTTTGGAAATTCCCAGCATTTAGCTCCGCATACGTAGTCAAACATTGAAATTGTGCACCTGCAACCTGCCAGGTGCTTGGATACAAATGATCGCACAATCGCGCTGGACATGCCGTTGTGCCGTCTAGACACGATCGCGCAAACCGCCATGTCGGGTATAGTAGGGGGTATGTAGTTATAACACGCCTAGTGAGGCCACCGACTTCCTCCTCAAACAATTCTTAGAAACGATAAAGCCCCCACGGTACAGATAAGCAAGCATCAGACATTCAGTACAGTTCGCTAGCGTTGGACCCTGTCGAAAACGAACACGCCCTTCTGCTCTATCGCCCTTTGCCATTAGCAAACAGCTCTGCTTCTTGTTAGTCTTCACCCCACGTGTTGGCGGCCAGAGTGCGTACGTACCCGGGAAGTGCTCCTTTGCGTACTGCTCGCATGCTTTTGCAGGCTTGCTGACCTTTTGGCCAATGACCTTCCACTTGTTGTTCTCGTACTCCTTGATGGCCTGCATCAAAGCCTGGCTCTGCTAAAGAGTTAGATCGAGCTCGACACGGCATTCACATATACGTACCTCATCCTCAGCAAACTCCGCGTAGTGCATGTCCTTGTACCAGTGCTTCTTGACAGAGCCCTCTGTGCGGGCGGGGAACGTCTTGGCAATCTCAGCCCAGCTGTTGCCAGCGTCACGCATCTGCTTCAACCGCTGTTCTTCCTGCGGCGTCCAGGGTGTGTTCGTTCTGCTCTTCTTGGCGGGCGGCGGACCAGCAGCCGCCGCAGCGTCCGCCGTGGCAGGCACTGTTACCAGCACAGGCACGGCGGGCGCTGGGGCAGCAGTGACCTGTACAGGGACTTGTGGCTGCTGTGGCGCCTGGGGATGTGTCTGTGAGGCGGGCGCAGCTACTTGAGCTTGTTGCTGTTGCGGCGCCACATGCTGGGCTTGCTGCTGCTGTGGCTGTGATGAGGGCTGCTGTTGCTGTGCATGTTGCTGTTGGGGTTGCTGAGGGGACTGCTTCTGCTGCTGCTGTTGTTGTTGCTGCTGCTGCAGATGCTGCGGATGCTGTGGGTGTTGAGGGTGCACGCCATGTTGCGCATGACTGGCAGGCGACGGACGCTGGGCGTGCTGCGGATGTTGCTGTTGCTGGTGGTGCTGAGGATGCTGGTGTTGCACATGCTGGGCATGTTGCTGTTGCTGTGGGTGGGGGTGCTGTTGCTGCGGCTGCATAGGAGCGACAGGAGGAGCGGGCGCGGCTATTACAGCTGGCTGCGCGGTGGGCGTCGATCCTGGAGCAGGTCTTTTACGCTGCCTGGGTGGTTGGGCAGGCGTTTGGGTGGGCGTCGCTTGTTGCGAAGGGGGCCCATTCTGTTGCTGCGCCGGACCTTTCGCCGGCTGACCGGGCGCAGCGTTTTGCTGCTGCTGATGTTGTTGTTGTTGCTGCTGCTGTGGCGACATGCTAGGCGCCTGTCCAGGGTACTGATATCCCATGCGCTGCTGGTCATTCCGCCGGGCCATATTGTCCCCTTGGTAGGCATGTTGCTGCTGTCTTTGACGCGGTTAGCATCCTGGGACACCAATACTCGCGCAAAGTAGCGGGGGACAATGCTGCGCAGAGAGGGAGAGCGGTAGAAAGAACAATGGGAACAGATAGATATCACGGCAAAGGTTCACGGCATCAAGGTGCACGAGATATGTCATGGCGTATGTGTCATTGAATGGGGTGACATGACGAAGGTGGTGATACCCGACAGGTGGGCGACAGGAAATTGGCCGACGTCGTTTGCGACGTGCGCATGGTCAAGTTGAGCGAGCAAACACTTGCTTGCCGAGTGTGCAAAGTGTTATAGACAATTGGATATGTAAGGTAGGGTAGCGGCACCGCGGAAGAGATGATGACGGATGAGTGTGAGATGGTGTTTGATGGCATGAGAGGTACCGGGGACAAGGAAGCAAAGTATCGTCGGTACTCACTGCAAGTCATTGCCCGTGTGTGGAGAGTTGGCGTAGACGTAGTCTGGCACGGGGCCAACCTGCCATTGCTCCATCCTGCAAGCTGCGCGTGGCAAGGAAAAGATTGAGCAAGATCCTTTGATGCTCGACGAGGCGAGATTGACTGTTGATGAGCGCGTTCGCGCTGCGTGACACGGTCGATGCTTGTGTTGACAGAGGGGAAGAGGGCGAAGATGGGAACCAGGACGGGACGGGGCATGACGAGACTCGGACGGACCAGTGACCTTTTTTCTCAGCGGCGGTCTCGGTGGGGCGTAGTTGGGGCTGGGGCTGCAGAGGGCGCCGTCTGAGTGGCTGAGGCCATCGACTGATGCGCGCCAGCCTCCGCATCAGGCTTAGTGTGCCCTCAGCTCGTGCTCTCCATCAGGTAGAGGCGCCAGCTGTCCCCACAACGAGTGTTCTGTATTGTACGTACAGTACCTTGGGTATCACAGCGGTTTTCTAATCATGTGCGATTTGTGATATTGCACTTTCTAATTGTTGTCGTATCTGGGAACTTTTGCGGTGTCTTTTGAAAAATTGTTGCTAAATTTAATGGGCTACATTGAGCGCGGTGGGTTGCTGTCAAAGGCTCTGGCTGCAACATCAACGGCAATCGCTCGGTCGCTGCCGTACACACCTTGGCACGATTTTCGGTGAGTGAGACAAGAACGACTGGAGGGCGTCAGACTGTTTCCTGGCCACAAAAGCTTGTTACCTGGAGCTCTCGCCCAAGGCATATAGCATCAAACTTTGCAGCAGAAGTTTGACTTGGAGCTAGACTCAGTAGATAGTGCTGTGACTGATGTTCTTCAGTTCCTTCGCCAGTGGGACCCCATCTCTAGGCGACAACTGCATCGCAAGACTACAGAGCAGCGCGTGCTGCTGATATCGTGCCACCCCGTCGTCGGAAAAGGGGCCCATGCCTCAAAAACACAATCGACACTGTAATTCTGTATTCTAAGGACCTGTAGGCTGTTGCACTCATAGCGGAGGTGGCGCAAAGCCAGACCCGCCTGTCATCATGTTGTGCGCCAACTGTCACCGACGCAAGCAGCTGACAGCACAAGGCATCAGCATAGATGGAACACTGTCTATCTGCCTGAAATTGATTCATACGCGTAGGGACTGTGCAATCAAAGTCTTAGAAGCATTGGAATCTCCCACTCTATTGATTTGGAACATCCGATATAGCATGTGTGGTATGCATCGATCGTCTGGTTGAGGTACATGGGCCGCAAGTCACTTTAGCACCAGTCCCATGTTCCCCCAGAGTCCGATGCGACGCGGATCCGGACGGGCGCCGCGACGGGTGTACGGCACTGTGCTTTTGGAACTTAACACTGTATTCCTCTGCGCGCTGTCCTCCTTGAGCACAGTGTGCAGCTACTCTCCATTGAGAAGCCTTCAATCTCTGTGAGTTGATCACTTCTACCGTGATTTGCGAGCCAAGCTGGAGATAACTCAGAGATTATTTCCCTTCATAATTAAAGGTAGCGAAAAGAAAAACACAATCGGGGGATTCCTGCGCTAAGCGCGTATTCACGTGATCCCACTGCCCCTCCAGCGCGGACACGGTGGAGCATGACTCGTCCCTCAGAAATTTTCTTATCGCCAGCCCGATAAGGCTATCACAAGACTTCACGCTTCGCCCTCCGCCGCCCATTGCTCGTAATTTTCTGAGCATCCGCCATCCCATCCATCCATTGTAGAAGAACCGATTCACGAGCCTGCCGCCTTGCCTCCTTTGTTCTTGTTCTGCGTCGGACTTTGCCCCTTGCAAAGCCCCCCATCCGTCCGGCACGATGCGCGTTGTTCTTGTGAGCGGCGGTGTGATTTCCGGCGTTGGCAAAGGTCAGTGCTGATGGAGTGACGGGGCCTATTGTGTTTTACTATCCTTGTACATTTATAAAAAGTCATATACTGATAGTTGTCTCGTGCAGGGATCATTGGTACGATTAATACAGACCTCTATGCTCTTACTTTTTCCCGCTAATGATTGTTTCCCTTGTAAAGCCAGCAGCGCCGGCCTCTTGCTCAAGACAAAGGGTCTACGTGTCACGGTACGCTGACTGACGCCGGCTCCCGGGATCACTGAATTGACAGGATGGCAGGCACTGAAGATTGACCCCTATCTGAACACCGATGCCGGTCTTCTCAGCCCCCTCGAGCACGGCGAGTGCTTTGTGCTCGCTGATGGCGGTGAGACCGATCTCGACCTGGGTAACTATGAGCGCTACCTCGGCATCCAGCTCAGCCACGAGAGCAACATGACCACGGGCAAGGTCTATCAACATGTCATTGTACGTGCGACCGTGACCCACCATTGGCAATGTGGCCATGCTGACTCTACCAGAACCGCGAGCGCAAGGGCGACTACCTGGGCAAGACCGTCCAAGTCGTGCCTCACATCACAGACGCCATCCAGGAGTGGATCGAGCGTGTCGCACGAATCCCCGTCGACGACTCGGGCGAGGAGCCCGACGTCTGCATCGTCGAGCTCGGTGGCACGGTCGGTGACCTCGAGTCGGGCCCCTTTGTCGAGGCCCTGGTCCAGCTGCGCCAGCGCCTCGGGCCCCAAAACTTCCTCAGCATCGCCGTCTCGTACGTGCCCATCATCACGGGCGAGGAGAAGACCAAGCCGACGCAGCATGCCATCCGACAGATGCGCAGCGCCGGCCTGATCCCCGACGTCGTGGCCTGCCGCTGCGAGCGCTCGCTCGACGACGAGACCATCCGCAAGATCGCCCGCAGCTGCCAGGTACAGTACGAGCAGGTCATTGGCGTGCGCAACATGGAGACCATCTACCAGGTACCCCTCCTGCTCGAGGAGCAGGGCCTCTCCAAGTTGCTGGAGAAGGGCCTGGGTCTCGAGACCCTCGAGGCCAGCCTCTCCAAGGCGCGCACCGACAAGGGGCTCGAGCTCTGGGACCTGTGGCGCAAGACGGTCGTCCCCGAGAAGCACCTGCCCCCCGTCAACATTGTCCTCGTGGGCAAGTACACCGCGCTCGACGACGCCTACCTCTCCGTCCGCAAGTCGCTCGAGCACTCGGCCATGCACTGCGGCCGCAAGCTGAACCTCGTCTCGGTCGACTCGGAGCACCTCGAGCCGCACATGCAGGAGAAGGAGCCCACCAAGTTCCACGATGCGTGGAAAGCCATCTGCGCCGCCGAGGGTGTCCTTGTCCCCGGTGGTTTCGGCTCGCGCGGCGTCGAGGGCATGATCCTGGTCACAAAGTGGGCGCGCGAGCGCAAGGTCCCCTTTCTGGGGATCTGCCTCGGCATGCAGGTGGCCGTCATCGAGTACGCTCGTGAGAAGCTGGGGCTCGTGGGCGCCAACTCGGAGGAGATCAACGCCAATGCGCCCCACAAGGCTGTCATTTTCATGCCCGAGGGCTCCAAGGAGTACGTTTCTGATAGGCATCCGCAAGCATTGGACAAGTAGACTAACAAATATCTAGGCAAATGGGCGGCACGATGCGCCTGGGCACACGAACCTCCCACTTCCAGCCGGACACAGAGTGGAGCAAGCTGCGCGCCATGTACGGCGGCAAGCAGGTTGTCGAAGAGCGTCACCGTCACCGCTATGAGGTGAACCCCGAGATCACGGGGCAGTTGGAGGAGGCTGGCCTCACTCTCACGTCTCTCGACGACCAGGGCGTGCGTGTCGAGTCGATCGAGCTCAAGGACCACCCGTTCTTTGTTGGGTGAGTTGTCTTCCTTTTCTTCTTGTGTAATCCTTGCCATGGAGCCGTTCGCTGACATCCACCCAGCGTCCAAGCCCACCCCGAGTTCACCAGCAAGGTGCTCGATCCGTCGCCTGCCTACCTCGGCTTCGTCGCAGCCAGCGCTGGCATGCTGGACCAGGCGATTACGGCGGCGGCGACCAAGACGAAGCTTGTGACGAACGGGACCAATGCCTTTTAGATTGAATATCAAGTTTGGAAAAACTACAGGAGGGGGGGGGGGGGGGGGGGAGGCGGTGTCACGGGATAGACAAGACAGGCATCATAGCTCTGGCGTTTCGGGAACCAAAACGGACTGGGATGGTTTGAATATTGCAATATGGGACAGATACAACCAAATAAAGTGCATCATCAAGTTTGTGAGCACATCCCTCGCTCGATGGGACTACCAGCCTGGCCTTCACAGGTGGGCTGTGAAGACGGTGTCGATCCCCCCAGTCACCACCGTTTTGTAGACCATGTAGTCGTCCGTGCCGTACTTGCTCCCCTCGCGGCCCCAGCCAGAGTGCTTGATGCCGCCAAACCTGTTATAAAAGTCAGTCATACGCTCGTCTGGCCATTTTATAGAAAGCAAAAAAGACTCACGGCGCAGCAAAGTCGGCAATGACACCAGTGTTGACGGCCACCATGCCGTACTCCAGCAGCTCCGAGACGCGGTGGTATCGCGAGAGGTCCGAGGTCATCAGGTACGAGGCCAGGCCGACCTCGACATTGTTCGCGCGCCGGACCACCTCCTCCTCCGTCTTGAAGCGCGTAAGCGCCGCCAGTGGGCCAAACGTCTCCTCGGTCGTCACCTTCATCGAGTCGTCCACGTCGCCCAGAACGGTCAGCTCGAAGAAATTGGGGCCCAGCTGGGGGAGACGGTTCCCGCCGAGGAGGATGGTGGCTTTCTTCGCCACGGCGTCCTGCACGTGCTCCTCGACCTTGGCGACGCTCGTCGTCAGGGGCCCGTGGGTGACGCCCTCGTCCGCACCGTGGCCGACGCGGAACTTCTTCACCTCCTCCACCAGGCGGGCACTGAACCGGTCGTATATGCCATCCTGCACGTAGATTCGGTTGGCACACACGCAGGTCTGCCCACTGACCTTGAACTTGCTGGCGAGCGCACTCGTCACGGCCGTTTCGAGATGGGCGTCGTCAAACACGATGAATGGCGCGTTTCCGCCGAGTTCCAGGCTCAGCTTCTTCAGTGTATCGGCCGACTGCCTGGCGAGGATCTTGCCAACGCGCGTCGAGCCCGTGAAGCTGATCTTCTTGACTATAGGGGACTCGCACATAGCCAGACCCAGCTCGGGCGTGTTGTTCAGCGATGTCACCACGTTGAGCACGCCCTTGGGTATACCCGCCTTTTCAGCCAGCACGGCGAGGACATTTGTCGAAAAGGGCGTGTGGCCATCCGACTTGACGACGACGGTGCAGCCGGCCGCCAGGGCCGCTGCAATCTTGCGCGCGCCCATGGCCATGGGGAAGTTCCAGGGCGTGATGAGGCCGCAGACGCCGATGGGCTGCTTGAGGATGAGCGTCCTGCTCTGTGCGTTACTGTGTGGCACAACGTCGCCGTAGATCCGGGGTGCTTCCTCGGCAAACCACTCAAACGTCCCACTGGACATTGCCGCCTCGCCTTCTGCGTCTGCCTTGGCTTTGCCATTCTCCAGGGTGGTGATTTTGCCAATGTCACTCTTGTGCTGGAGGATCAGGTCCGAAAGCCTGCGTAGGTGGCGGCCACGCGTACGACCTGACTGTGCTCGCCATAAAGGAAACGCCTTGGCGGCTGCGTGTATGGCGGATTGGAGGTCCTTGGTGGTTGATTCGGGACATGTGCCCAGGAGCTCGCCCGTTGCTGGGTTGAAGATTTCAAAGGTCTTGTTAGACTCGGAGTCAACCCATTGGCCATCGATGTAGGCCTTCTGAAATATGAGCGATGGCTCTGAGAGAGCAGAGGTGAAGGCGGACATGTTGCCAGTATGTTTTGAGTGTAGATTTGCCGTGGACGTTGAAACGAGGAGGAAGGGGGTATATACGCCTGGGCTGAGTGTGCGTATTTGAGGAGGACAGGATCTGAATAACGACACAACTATCCGGACTCTCAGCCCCTCTTCCCTGGAGCACATAAAAGCCAATTATCAATCTCCAGACACTCGAGATCTGGGAATTATCATGAGTCTTCTCCGTCCATGTGACAATGTCGGACAGGCGGTTACCCGATTAGGCAATTCTCATGAGAACCACGTCTTCACGCTTTTGAGGCCTTGGATGACTGGTCCATCACATGATGACACTGAGCAATATAATTCTGGACAGTATTATATCATCCCCTTTGCAGCCTAACCATGCCCGGGGTTCTTCGTTTTCCGGGGGGGTCAACCAAGGGTAGCCCAATAGTCGACCCACCTCGACATGCGTGTAAGTGAGCTTCACCACAAGCATCAAAGAAGAACACTACCGCAATCTAGCGACAGGCCAGGCTGTGCAAAGTTGACTATAACTCTATGAAAATATATGGTATCGCTACTGAAGCCTTGCTAGACATGAAACCCCAACTCCAAGCCGCAATGTACACACTCGCCCCCTTGGGCCCCTACGCCGTAACCGCTGCCGCCGACGCGCTGGCCGACGCACTCGCGGACGCGCTCGCGGCCGCCCCATTCGCCTGCTGCATGGCAATCTCGTACATGCGCACAAAGCTTATGGCCGCGACCAGCTCAAAGCGCACGCCCATCTCGCCCCGGGCGCCGCTTCCGAGGAACTCGAACCGGGGCGAGTTGCGGAACATCTTAGGGTACGCGGCGACGGCCACAATCTCGCGGCCGTCCGAGGTGTAGCCCTGGGGAAACTCCTCCTGTCCGCCGGACAGCGTGTAGGGCGAGTCCATGCGCACAAGCTTCCAGCCCTGGAAGCCGCTCTCGAGGTTCTTGACCTCGTCGCCCATCGACCTGCGCCACTCAAAGTGCTCGACCGTGCCGTTCTCGAGCGTCACGTCGAACCCCTTGGAGCTGCCGCCGGGTCCGAACGCGCCAACAATGTCCTGGCCGGGGTCCTTCTCCCCCGTGGAGGGAAGACTGATGACCGAGCGGCGGCCCATGCTGCCCTTCTGGCCCTTGACACTCACGAGCGCAGGCGAGTCCTTGGCGCTGCCATCGCGAAGGGTGATGGCCCTGTGGGCAAAGCAGTTCATGCGGCTGGGCACAGTGACGGCAAAGTCACGCGCGCCCTTTTCTGCGCCGATGAATGAGGTGGACGAGTGCCAGCGGTAGTCAAGCCAGAAGCTTTGCGGGAGCTTGAGGGTTGTGCCGGGGGCAGAAGAGTGTGATGACGGGGTAGAGAAGTCGGCGGAAGAGGCGGAGGAGTAGGGAGGAGGGCTCTGGCCGTCGGGAGCGAGATGGCTCTCGCTCTTCTCGTCCGGATACTTGGTGCTCAATTTCTCGAAAAGACCCATGATAGCGGTGTCTCTGGTCGCGCGTAGGCTGTGGTTTGGTGTTGGTGATGTAGTGAGTGTAGGGTAGGTGACAACAGATGCTCCTTGGTCGTTTTATTGATCAATCTTGGAATTGAAGATTGGTATTTCCAGTCACATAGCGTAGGCAGGAGGATACCATCTCCTTTTTATCTTCTACCAGAGCTAGGCAATTGTCTATCGCAGCATCCTACGACGATCACTATTGTCGGGCGGCGTGAAGCACAGCCATGACATGACTTCATCGCAATCAAGCAGTTGGAATTTGGGGGCCATTTGCGGTCAAGCATAGCCCCACGCACGCCTACTTCTATGGCCCGCGGGGTCTCCCATTGGCTGGCTCGTAACGACGGACTTAGGAGGGGAATAATCAGTACTTGTATTCCTATTTCTCAACCCGCAGGTATCGCAGGGCCTTTTCAATCAAACGCAAAATGGTCATTGTACTCATTGGCCTATTTAGAAGCGGTCTATGTGGGCAAAAACGCAAAGCTGCCGCCATAGCGAATCTCCGTCTTCGTGGAGCGGATCCGCAAAAACAAAGGTCTCAGAGGGAATTGAACCCTCATCTCGAGAATCAGAATCTCACGTGCTAACCATTACACTATGAAACCGTTGATTGCGATTGTGCGATTGTTGATGCATTCATATTCTGCAACCTGCACTTGTTGGGTGCCACCGCGTCTGAATGCCACCCTTGACATGCCCTCTGCTCAACTCAGACACATCTGAAGCTTGCTAGCATTTGATAGGAAGTCATCATGGGCGTAACTCAACAGTCCTCACAAAGACAACAACCTGGTACCCAATCGCTCACGAGGTGATTCAGAGTGTGGCCTTCTTCATGTTCTCGGTTGCTCTGAAGACACGGAAGTGATCAGGTCCTCCACCTTGGATGCGCCCTTTCATGGGAATTACCCTTAGATACATGTTCAACCAAAGCTGGTGAACAAGCACTTTGACTTACACACGCTCGCTCCGCTTACATCTCCATTGGCCAGGCACATCGAGTCTCACACGACCCTTGGACGCAGGCAAGACAGTCTCTGAGCACAGCTCACCGTGAGACATCCACCTCGGCTCGCTACACGTACAGTCTCACAGCCGTCGCCATTCATAAATAGGGGACCACCGTCTCTTCTGGACGCGTGACGCCTCAGTCACTCCCCCAACGCCTGCAAACAGTCACCTATCCAGCTTTACCTAGCCATGCTGTCCCTCATCCTCGCCCTCGCGGCGCCCCTCCTCGCCGCCGCCCTCCAGCCATGCGGCCTCAAGATCGCTCCCTGCCCCAACGACACCGAGTGCGTCCCCGTGTCGCCCGACTGCACCGACCTGTGGCGCTGCCGTGGCGTCTGCGAGTACAAGAACGAGTACCCGAGCTGCGGCGGGTATCGAGTCAAACCGGTGGACTGCCCTCCCGATGCCGATTGCCGGGACGATCCTCGACTGGAGAATGACTGCGGGATGGCGTGCGATAAGCCTGGCATGTGTATTCCCAACGATGTACCGCGGTGTGAAGACGAGACATGCCCGTTGGGACTGTGGTGCTACACCATGATGGAAGTGGACGGTTGCTCGAAGCAAGTGTGCCTGTAAGGGCTTTTGTCGTGTTGTAGAGTCTTGGCTCGCGTTGGAGGTTTCTAGAGATTGCCATCGCTATTCTTGTATACTACGGTGTGTTTGCCTTGCATGTAATTACGGACTGTGTTGCCAGGGGAGAACATGAGCAGAATGTAAATCTAGGGTAGCCTAAGCCTGTCTGACAAACTGCCAATCAAAGTGCTCTATGGTTAGGGCACGGTTAGGCGTGCAGCGTGCACGTACAGTGGGTGCGTAATAGCGGTAGATCACCCGCGCACAACGCCCGCACTATACCTAGATCTGCCAGACAAGAAGTGTCAAGATCCGACTGCCGAATCGTGACGATGTACGTATTGTAAACGGTGTTCTGTGAATGGTTGAAGGATGCATGTTCAAATGTAGTATATACTTTGCAGCTACCATATCCTGCGAAGACAACGCCCAAGACTCGCATCAAGGTATCCTGAAGAACCACACAACGGCTAGTGCTGAACTAGAGGAGAAAACAACAAAAAGAAGAAGAAAAAAGAAATCTGCGCCGTTCATGCATTCTTCTACATCGCTCGCTCTGTGCTCCTAGGATGCGACCCGCTTGCCATGTCGAAAGAAAAAAACAGAGAAGGAAAAGAGGCGGTCTGTGAAGACCCAAAGACTGTCTTGCTTGAAACGCGCGAAAAAAAGAAAAAGCGATCCAATGCCCCCGTTGTGAAAGCCAAGCCTCAAGCGCTGAGGAAAATATGCATTCAACCGCTTGTTGATCTGGCGGTGACAAAAAAACAAAACAGATGCAGCCGACCTCGGCACGAGCAATTTCTCGTGGTCTGACTCTTCCCGGTGGGGGTTGTTGGAGGAGTCGTGGCCTTCCGTGGGGATGGCTGGCGAGGGCCAGGAGAGAAAAGTTTTTTTCCCCCCTTCCGACAAAAAAGAGTCACAATGCGTGCCTCGTTTGACATCCACCGTTGATGAGAAAATGCGGCTCTTTTGTGCCGCGGAAAAGGGGAAGCCTGTACGTAGCTCTGACTATCTGACAGGCGTAACAAAGATTCCAATATCTACCCTGCACCGGGGGTTGTGGACGGCTCGTCAACCTTCCCGATCGGGCGTCTACCCGTGGGCGTCGGGCTGGCTGGCGTGTTATCGCTGCCTGACATTGAACTGAATCGTCTCGCTGGCTGGGACCTTTGTTGAGGGAGATCGCCAAGGGTTCAGGGGTTCGTTCCTGTTCGCATCTGTCGAGTATGTGATTTGGCCTTTGGTGGCCAGCGTTCAATTCGTAACTTGATCCATCGCTGCGCGAGGCAGGCCAGTATGCTCGGAACGGATACCCCGCGTCCAATCGCTTCGAAAGTGCTTCGAGAATGCTTCAGCATTCAATTACCCAACGTTTTGCATCGACGAATCCGGAAAGAATGCATCATTGGCCCACACAGCCCAGCGGGCCCCCTTGCTCGGGCCAAGCTTTCGCGTCCCGCCCACATGTGGCATGACGTGGCGGGCCACCGGATGCATGCCCTCGACAAAGGGACTGACTGAGCGACTGAGCTGAGCGACCGAGTGAGAGAACCAGCTCGGCCACTCAATCAGTGCTGTAGGTCATGGACTGCCATCGCACAGGCACTCCCGTCGGCCCAATCTCGTAGGGCGCTGCGGAGCTCTTGCGAGGCGGCAGCGCCCAGCGAGCTCGACCGGGTTTCTGGTCGTCGAGCTTCCCACGCTTGCGCATGGCCATTTCCATCACGGCGATGCGAATAAAGTCGGGATTCTCGCGCATCTCCCGCTGGCGCATGCCTGGAGGCAGCGAGTGCGCCGTCTGGGGCTCGGATGGAGGGGATGCTGGTGCTGGACCCTGTGGAGAGGCTCGGAGTCGCGGCGTTTTGGAAGAGTCGAGCTTGGACCGCCGCACCTTGTAGGTCTGCATCTGGATGGAGGCGGAAAAGGTACCAGGCGGAGGCACGGCGGCTAGTTGAGACTCAATTCGAGGGTTGCCCATTGGGTTCAGGTAGCGCCGCATCTCCGCCGAAGGAATGTCCTCCGAGGCGGGCGGTCGCCGCTCGTCGGTATAAGGCACGTGTGTGTCGATGGTCAGGAGTGACCTGGCAAGGAAATCCTCATTTGAAATTGTCGGGAAATTGATTGTCGAAAATGACCGCGCAGCCGAGCGCAGAGCCTTGAATGATGCCGTCAGGTTAGATCGAAAAGCGTAGCGCAAGGGCTTGAATTGGCCCAGAAGCAGCGAAACGTGCTCAGTGCCATCATCTGAAGGCTCTGGTGTGAGTGGCTGTGAGACCTCCAGTTCCTGCTGCTTCCTCGCAAGGGGGTGCTCCATGTCCTCGCCAGAGGGCGAAACGATCGGTTCAAGCGATCTGCGCATCGGACTCATTTTCCGACCACGTAGTGAAGGGCTCGGGGTCCCGGGCGTCCCCGGAGTTCCTAGGGACGAGATGCCATCGGTGCCGAATGAGTCTCCAAGCGAAGGGATCGAGTCCATGGAAATTGTTCTGGTGGACAAGGCCGAGCCGATGTTGCACTCGCTGACGCTCAAGTCGTCGTCGGCAAACTCCTCGGGTGGCGAGAGAAGGACATCTAGCGGACTGCGGCTCAGACTCCAGCTCAGCTCCTTTTCCGAGACCTGCTGCCCCTCTACGAGCTCCTGAACCGTCAACGGCGTGTTGTCCCTCCTCTTTCGCCTCTGTGACCTCTGCCGAGGGATATCTGTCATCGCCAGCAGAGCGGCCACCGATGGCGACAATTCACTCGGGGTTTGCGCATTCTGAGGTCTCCGGCGCTGCCCAGAGTGTCGCTTCTGGGGGTGTGCAGCAGGGCGTTTGCTGCTCTTGGGGATTTGGACGGGGCTCGTGGGCGTCGCAGGTCGTGACACATGTGCGGTTGCTTCTCGAGGCGGGCTGGTAGGCGCAAGGCCTACTTCGAGGCTCTGCTTCCGCTTCCCCATTTTCGTAACGACACTGGTTGTCCCCGTGGGAGAAGGGGCAGGCAAGATTGGCGCAATGCTAGGGTCGATGTGGTGCGTGCTGTTTTCATACTTCGGGGCACTGATGCGCCGTGGGAGCGTGCTGGCGTGTTGGTGAGTGATGACGCTCTCGCTGGTGTTGGTCGAGCGTGAAGACTTGTGGATATGGGGCGGGCGCTGAAATCGATGTTTAAGAAGCTGTAGGTAGTCTGGAGACAATGCGGATGACTTTGATGGAGAGTTCGAGGTTGATGGGGAAGAAGTAGGGGTCGAAGGTGGGCGAGAGTAGACAAAAGACCTTGGAGAGATCATTGCGGATCGGACCCTTTGGCAGGCTGGCAGGCCAGACGCTAGTCATACAGGCCGGTACGTAGGGGGCTGCTGTCTCTGCTCCTATTGCGGCGCGTTCAGGGCATAAACTCCAGGGTTAGGCTGGGCCTAGCACACGGAACCCTGTCGCCGACGAACGCTCGGAGTGAGCGACGCTTGCCGTGTTGGGGAGGCAGTCGGCGCACTGGGCCAAAGCGCATGTGGCACCTGCGATTCGCGGTATGGATTGTCTGACTCTTTGTTTCCTGCCTCCAGTCGTCCACGTCCACGTCCCTCTTCTGGCACGAAATGGTCCCTTTGGCAATCCGATACTTGGAGATGCCGAGGCGTCAGTCAAGTCAGGGCTTTGCCTGGCCCTGCCCTGAGCTGGTATGCGGGCCCAAACTTTGAGTCTCGAAGTTAATCGGGAATGCCAGAACCGTGAACCACTCGCGTGTTGCTGCTGGATTCCAGTACGTAATGTGACGAATCGGAGACCACTGAGGCGACTGTTCAGTCCCAAGGTCGCGTGCTGTAATGATGGCCAGTGCGCGTTCTTTTCTGTCGACTCTTCTCGTTTCGGCGCTAGTGCCCAGCTCGGCCCTGGCAAGGCGACACGGGGTCACACAACGACTTAGGGCTCCGGGAAGCGGTGATTGATGAGTCAAAGAGATACAGATGTGAAGACAGGAGTGAAGTCCAGGAGTTCAGCAGTGCATGAGATGAGGCCTGAGCTAGAGTTGAGAGCAGAATCACATGACAAGTCAGGCAGTCGCGAGAGATAAGATAAGGGCAGGACATGACTTCCGTCTAAGTAGTCTGTCTCATGGCCTTCTTCACGAGGCAGGTGCGCAAGGGCGATAACAGCGAGCGCAGTGGTCGCGACTGCTATTGGGGCGTCCACGAGTAAGGACTATTCTCCGCCAAGAGGCTGGAACCCCCCAATGGAGCAGCAGCGACCGCCTGACTAGATCCCCTCACTATTTTGTCTAGCGCACATGGTCCTCCTGCGTCGCCGCCTGACGTGAGCGCCTCACCTCACTCAGCCCGCACCAAACAGATGCGCTTGACCTGTGAAGGCTGTGATACGGTGTCTTGCTGCGCAGCGCTGCACGCTGCCGTGGTCAGTCCTCGTTGGCCTGCCCGTCGTGAGACAATTAGGCAATGCGTAGTCAATCAACAGCTGCTTCAAGCGTTCAGCACTGCGCACATCCCACGTTCTATCCCACGACCATCTGCTGCCTGCTCGGCGATCCCAGTGTGCTGGAGCAATGGGACGTCCCCCAGAAAGCCGGCAGGGCCCGCTTTCTAAAGATGGCTGCATACCGTTCCGTTTGTGGGTGAGATAAGAAGCAGATGTAGCGACCCGCAGCCGTCTCGCAGCTGATAAGCCGCGTGCAACATGTCTTTGCGCTGAGTTTTGGGCCTCGCAGTAGCCGCCTTGGGCTGTTGTCCTGTGATTGTTGCACACGTAGCAAGAGCATACACACGATTCGCACAGCGAAGCAATGACTCGCCAATAGTCAGCGTTGGCCACGTTAGGTGCGCGGCTCTTGCGGCTCCTCAGAGGCAGATAGAAGCCAAAGAAGTCTCAGCCGTTGGTGTGGGGAAATAGATGAATCGCTTTCTGAAAACCTTCATCACTTGGCTCTCCATCCTGCCGCCGACCAGAAGGGTGTTCGAAGACGTCACTGCGGAACCAGGCGAGAGTCTTGTCGTCGCGACACGACTATCTTGCAGCAAACGCTGCCTTCATCACGATCCTTTGACGTCGAGGACGCTTGGCAAGTTCAGTCAATTCGCCCAGCGAGCGGGAGCCCGACAATTTGGTGGTTGAACTGTCCGCATTCATTTCCCTCAAGCAAAGCCCAGGCTTTCAACATCTCTGTCAGTGGCCATCACACAAGTCCCAAAGGCTGCCTAGGCAGCCCATTGATGATTTCAAAGTCCTTTTGCGAGTAATTTGGCAGCTTGGCACCACCCACACATTCAATCCGCGCATTTCTTATCAGAGCATGGCCATTCGTCCAGTTCGGTCCTTTGCGTCATGCCGTCATACCCTCCACCCATCCATCCATCGTGACAGCTGACCCAAGCTGCGGTTCAAGGTGCGCGAAACGCGGGGTCTGGCTGAAACCCCCCACACACTAATAATTAGTACATGGTCCTGCAGGGTCTTGGCCGCAGCACATCAAGAACCGACTCTGGGGTTGCCTGGCCTTGAACCAAACACAAAGAACACAGATTAATACTAATTACAGCGAACAGCGACTCTTGTACTCGAATCACTCTCCAGTGCTCTGAGAAGCATCTGCCAAGACAGCTGAGCATATGGGGGGTGACACTCTAGCCCTTTCCAGTCGAATGGGCCGATGGCGTTGTCAAGAGTCTCAAGACTCAGCCTGCTCGTACACAACGACTGACAACAGAGCACATGACCACACTTGCCACAACACGCGGTCAGGCCTTATAGGAAATACACGCCAAGACTACGGACTGCCTACGACCAGAAAGCGTAGGGTATCCTTCACACGATCTTGAACACATCTCGCGTGGCATGAGATATGGAGCTGGCGTTCTTGGTCAGGTAGTGCCATCTGTAATCCTACAGCTCTCTTGGACTCGCGTCTCCCAAGTGACATTCAGGACGGAGACACGCGATGGTCTTTGGTCTTGAACATATGTTGGCCGTTCGTGGCGCCAGCATATGCCCTACCTGGAAATACACCAAACCGCCCAGGTGAATAGCGAAGCCTACACTGACAGACTTCTCGATTTTGCCCGCACCATAGCATGAGCACGATATATCTTCAATCAAAGTCAGACATCCCATGAGCTCCGTGACGTGGCGCATGTGCGATCAGTCCGCCGGCCCATGTGAGACGCTCACCTTGCCGCAGATGAGAGTTTGAACAAGCACCAGATCATTGTCGATTACGACTGAATCAGGTGCTTTCGTTGGGTGCCTTCGTTGAGCCGCGGAAATGCTGTCAGACGTGGGATGATCATTCATGTTGATTACCCATCTGCGCCCCGTTCGAAGGCGGAGGACGCTCACACGCTGCGTAGGCTGAAGCCTCCCTGGTAAACTTAATATCAGTGGTATTCCAGCGGAGGATGTACGTTTAGCACGTGCCTGTGCCTTGGAGATGTGATTGTCTCGGTCAGCCTGCTGATCCTCTGCGTGAAGGACTTCACCACGTCGAGACTGACAAGAGAAATCCATGAACTCCATGCGATGAAACTTGCCTCATGCAACGCTGGGACCCCGAACACGTAGGTATCACACTTAGAATAAAGGGCGTCTAACAGGTAGTGTTTTAAATAGACAGATTGCCGTCGATAGCAATCATGGGGGAGGCGACTGATTGCCCTCGTCTATGCGCCTACCATTCCAAGGGTATTGCATGTCGTGTTCGCAAATTCATTGAGGGAAGTGTGTTCATTCTGTCCTCATCAAAAGCCGAATTCACATCCCATCTCGCTGGTTCAAGACCGTCTGGACCTTCTCTGCGCACAAACGCTTTCATGTTTTCGCATTACCCATTGGGATCCGTCTCACGCTGCCTCAATTAGGATTCAGGGTCCAGTGATCGGCATGTTGTCATGAGCTGCATGACGAAAGATCTGGGGCGAACTTCAGGGTCCTGAGATCCTTCGACGACAATCCCGCAACCGCTCGGACGCCAAGCCTGGTGAGACTTTGAAACAGGACAAGATCGCGCTGTCGCTCAGGGATTGACCCTGAGATTTACCCGAAAGCGTACCTGCTATACGACATCATGTCAGGGGCTCTGCAGCCGTGAACACCAAGATGCTGTCAGTGCCGCAGCTCAGCAGCCATGCCTCGCGGATCGACGCCCGTCTCTTGTCGCTCCATAATCCAGCCAAAGACTTGGAAGAAAAGGCACAGTATGGTCGGTCAATGAGTATAACTATTCGGCGTCTCCGCTCAGCGGGACTGGATCTCTATTCCACATTCTCACACATCAGACTTCACATCCACAAGAGTTTCTGCAGAGACCTCACTTATAACTTCCACCACCAAAATGGTTGCTTTGAAGAACCTCGCCATCATTGGCCTAGCCTCATCCTCCGTGGCTCGTCCTGCGCCAGCAGTCCCGGCTCAAGATATTTCTGGCAAAGACCCGCTTGAGATCTACGCTTCACCTCCGATCGTGGACCCTGAGGAGCTGAGCGACGCTGCGAAGCGTCAGCTTTCACTCGAAGGGCTGAAGGAACTATCCTACAAGCCCGTGGTCCACGAGCGCGATCTTACAGCCGAAGAGAAGCGCCAGCTCTCACTCGAAGGCTTGAAAGAACTATCATACAAGCCCGTCATCCTTGATCGCGATCTTACAGACGAGGAGAAGCGCCAGCTTTCGCTCGAGGGCTTGAAGGAGCTATCCTACAAGCCAGTCATCAATGATCGCGATCTTACAGACGAGGAGAAGCGTCAACTCTCCCTTGAAGGCCTGAAGGAGCTCTCGTACAAGCCCGTCGTCCACGAGCGCGACCTGTCAGAACAGGAAAAGCGCCAGTTTTCGTCTTCACGCCCGATCACCGTCTACGCCGGCGTGCCACCCAAGTAAACGATTTCGAATTTGGTTCTTCTTACCAAACCCCTTCTGGGTTGGCAAGGTGGTCTAGTCAGTCTTGGGTTCTGGATGTTTTCTTTACTTGATATTTGATGATTCGATTAGAGCGGGAGTTACTTAGCCTATGGAACAAACTATCCTTCAAAATGCTACCATCTTTCCTTACTTGTTTGTGTTGCTTGTACTCTTTTGTAGTTACCAAGTGCTCTGAGCAAATTATCTCGACGGACTGATCTTGCAGAGGCTATCATAGTGACAAAGCGCTACTGCAATCTGCACAGACACTTCAGAGTATTTCACACATGACTCCTCGGGTATTTCAGCTTCTAAGTTACAGTCATATATGTTGGTATCGGTATTAGTGGCATATCAATGCCCCCTGTCTCAAGTTATCAGTCCCCTCTGCGCCAGATGCCGATCCTCTTGCACCATATTTGTCCCGACGCAAGAAAAGAGTCGGAGCAAGACATGGCATATGATATGTTTCGCGTGCATGTGCTAGTACAAAGCGTCCCCAACACAAATCTTGGGATTGGCATGAACCCATCTGAGCACCCATAGTTCCACGCCTTCCGTCACACCATGACAGCGACATTCGGATAGCAATTTGAAAGGATTACTCACTCGCATGATAGAAACAATTGCCATTCCACATTTTATTGATACTCCCGGTTAATCATACTGGTTACTAATGTCTTGTAGGTTCCTTGCCAATGTGAAGCAAGTTCTTCAGACCAGGTTCGTGTACTACGCTGCTGTACAAACATGCAGTCCCGTTGCTATCAGTTGATGCGTTCCTCATTTCAGCTTCATAAAGAGTTCGATGCAGCCACTGAGAGATCCGGCACGACCCGTCCTTGAGGAACATTGTCTCTGCGGTTAACCAACTTCGAGCAAGCGGGCGATGTGAACACACCAGCCAAGCAAGCCTTGTCGCAGCCAGCCTTACCTTAAAGCCAGTGGCGAAGGTGGAACAGAACGTAGAGGAGAGGAAGATGCCGCCAGTCGATCCAGGACTGGATCTAAATGTGTTCGGTGAAACGACTTTGGCCATTGGCAGTGTTCGCCCCATCCTCCCCAGGAGGATGAGCAGGGTGGTGCGATGCCGCTTGAGCAGTCAGGCTGCTTCCCTCCTGACTCAAATGACCAACATTGCCCTGATTGGACTCAACCATTGAGCTCCTAACTCCTCCCGGTGACTTGGCTCTCTTTTCCTCGCTTCTGAGACCCTCCGGATTCTGGCTCATCGTCGGCGGGACCGAGTACCAATTCTGGCCGAGGAACCTCAAGATAGTCCAAGGCCTTGTGTTCACCACTACGGGTGCCTGGGCGTCATCGTTGGGAGCGTGTCGTTTCGAGTATCTTGCTACTTCTTGCTGTCGAGAGGCGCCAGCATCTAGCGGCAGGGCAGGCTCGGCAGCCGGTGGAGGATCAGGCTTGGTTTCAAGGATTTCCATCTCTTGATCGGAGTTTTTGAGCGAATGCTTGCTTGTTCCACCGGAAGTGGCTACGCTAGATTGCTCGGTGACAGCCTGGTCATGTCTCGGTTGTTCTGCCAGGGGGGTTGGATAACGCAATGGCGATGTGTACTTGTAGGTCTCGGCGATATTCGAGGCAGTGACGGGGCAGCCGTTGGAGAGGCGCCGCTCCTCCTCGCGGACAGTAGCCTCCATCTCCATCCGAGAGACCGAACCAGCAGGACACAAGCACGCACTTGAGCAGTCAAGACAAAGGTTGCCCTTGAGGTTGTACACTTTGCGGAAGTCGGACTGCAGCTTGGTGATGAGGCAGCTGTAGACTACACTTTGATTAACCGACTGTGTTGATTGATGTAGAGGGAAACTCACATGGAAGACATGCGAGGTATGCACCGCACTGCCTGGTGAAGAAGCCATCCTCTCGCGTCACGACCACGGGCGAGACATCCTTGAAAGACTGTACATGAGTTCTCACCCCGGAGTATCCAGCGCAGGGGCAGATAGTTGCGTCAAGACAAGAGAGAAGCGAATGGCGAGGCTCAAAGTCGGGCGAGAGAATGCGCTACTGATTCTTCTCGCTTGCAGAGTTGGAGCCCATGATGATAGTTTGTACTGCGTAGCACAGAGATGTGGTCGAAGCTAGAGATACTAAGCGCGTAATGATGATGACGGTGAAGATGCTGTCGTGGGAGACGATGACAACGGAGCAAGCATGGCGTTTGGAGCAACATTGGAGCGATATGTGTTTGGAAGTTGTTGCCTTTCAGTCGAGTGCGCCTGCCATGCCTTTCGAAAGCAGGAAAAGCCGCTGCGTCTCCTGCATCGCGTCTACCTGCTATCAAACGGCCGCACCATGACCCTGTGCCTACGTCTCGCACTTGCAAAACTTTGCAAAATCGTCCATGGCAGCACGAGGGACCGGACCTTATGCCTGGAAAGCTCCCAACTCTCAATGCTCAGCTCAGACTACACTGCCATTTCTTCAGGCACGGGCGAAGCCTGTGCTGTCACTGTTATGGCAGATGGGAAAGTCGCGAATCACATGACCTACAACCTTCACCTGCCGATGACTCCAGTACCTGAGGCAGATGCCGCGTTCCAAAATGCAAGGGCGAAGTGAGGGGAAGCAGCAAAGGGGAAGACGCCCAAAGACCAAGACGTTCAACATCACTCCCGTGCCGCTTGGCAGGTGGAGTCGGCTGCCTCAGAGAACCGGACGAATCCAGTCGACGCTCGACGGTGACACTTTTATCACTCTGTGGCGGCACGCATTGCAGAAAGTGCGGCACGCTTCGGCAACAGCGTGCCAATTGCACGAGCGATGATAGTCCATGAAGAGAAAGTGTGCGCAGCAAAATGGGAGGCGAAATGCTTTCTACCCTGCGTTGATGCGACCTTGCCTGCATGGCAGCATGCATGCTGGGCCAGGGTCTAGGCCTTGGCGAGGAACTTTGAGCACTCGACAATGGGAATCTCTGGCCACGCGCGCGTGCATTATCTGAAGCTTGCTGCTGATAATTAGCCTGTACGTATATCTGTCGTCGGCGAGCCGAGCCAACACGTGTGCATGTCCTCCGTACGCAGCGGCGGGTGGCAATCCTGAAGCAGAAGGTCGTGCGAAATGCATCGAACGAACTGTCTCTAGTCATCAATCAGTCCATGAACGGAGCTTGGCCGAACTTGATAATAGTTCGTGACACAAGTGCAATCTCGCATCTGCCTCGTGCAGTTGAAGTGGTTGAACTGCGCACTGCGCGGCACTCTCTTCCTTCGTCCTCGCGCCAAGGCCGGCGTCCTCCCAGAAGAAGCGCAGTAGCCAGTCGCAAACTCGCAATGACTCGGAAACCTTGTTGGCGACTGATCATTATCATCCATTGTGGATGCGGCACGCAGTTGCAGACGCGTCGCCCGCGGGGAAACTCCCTGGTGAGAGTGATGTTTTATCAGCTGGTGTCGGCACTTTGGCTTGATGAGACGAGATGCCTGCTGCACGGCAATTGTCCATATCTCATTCTCTGGTGGAATCCGATTGCTGAATGGAGAGACTGGAGACTGGAGGCTAGACTCAGACTGAAAGCCCAGAACGTGGGCTGCATCGTGGGCATTCATTCAGCCGCTAACTGGGACAGGGAGTGGCTGCCGACGAGGGCCCTGCAGTGGCCGCTTCAGGGGACCGGGCCGGGGAACTGAAAACGGCCAGGGACATGGATTACACAGTCTAGCTGAGCCTTCTCAGGTCGTAATTATGATAGTCTGTGTGCTGAGAATTGATAGTGCCTGAGACTAAGCCGCGAACAGCGCCATTTGACCCCAACCAAAGCAGACGGCGACTGGACGCCCTCAAGTTCTCAACATTGTCCGTCACAGTGTCGTGCCGACAGAGGCGCTATGCTTCCCAGGCTCTGCCTGCGCTCCCAGCGACTGGACTGGCACTGTGACTTGCAAGTTGGAGCTTGCGTATGACTGGACCCTCGCCATTTGCACACCGTAATTATCGAATCATCTCTCTGGCTGGGCAAACTACAGTAATTAGGTAATTAAGTGCCAACTCCCGTCATGCCCCCGGACAGGAGCGATCATTGCCAAGTCTTCAGCGCGCCAAGACATTGGCTTCGGGACAAGCGTAGAGCATCCGCCCCCAGGGGCCCAGCGGGAACGGTTCATTGACAGTGGTCACTGGTGGAATCAGTGGGCTGCAGACTGCAGACAGCATGCTGGTCTGGGGTCCAAGCGCCTGGGCCTCCAATTTCTCCCGCCCGGACACGCTCCCACAATCGAACGAGGGCCAGTCCGGTCCCGTCCAGCAAATCTATCATCCAGACCTTGGCCAAGCCATGCCGTAGACAGCCTTCCTTCCCCTCTTCTTCTTCTTCTTCATCATCATCGTTTTATATCTTCGGCTTTTCAGTCGTCTCTTCGTGACGAACCCGAGAAACGCGAGCGTTCAGTCGCCTGTCACAAACCTCCATAGCCGCCAATTCACGACAACGACCTGCTGCAGATCGACCCGCATCCGTTCTGGGGCCTCCAATCCGCTTTCATCACTCTATCCGTCCCCCTTGCTCTCAGCGTCTTTCAAAATCGCCTGGTTATCGCTGCTGCTTCACCAACCGTCTTCAATTATTATCGAGGTGGCATACGCATTCGGGCATATCCACCAAGTCGCGACAAGTGAGACAACGAGCCCCAAAACCGTGTGGTCACGTAATTAGCGACGCCTTCGCTCCGCCTTTCCACACATCAGCCCTCATCAGAGCGGTCAACCGTCGACCTTGATCACGGAGGAAGCCAATACTGCCCTTCCAAAACCTCAATCGGTAAGTTTGCCTCGCCAAACCTTGAACACATCACATGTGCCCTAGCAGAGTCTCTCCATGGGCCGCGCGGAATCCCTGAGAGACAAGGGAGCAAACACCCTTATAAAAGTCTTGCGCCCGGCTAGTACCTGAGACATGAAACGAGTTCTGACCCCCTCACCAGACAGTCTACTTTTCACGTCAACCTCTGCCATTTAGCGATTCCACCAGCATAGATTCTGTGCTTGGGCATTGAGAAAACGAGCGCTCCATCTCTACACCCTTCGTTCGTAAAGAACGAACAAGAGACGACGCCATGGCTCCCGACGACAAAATCAACTCCACGCCCGCGTTCGAGACGCTCACGCCCGTGTCGACCATCAATGCGCCGGAAAAGGTCGCCCTATCTAGCACGACGACAGCTTGCGACCCCACGGCCGACCGCTCGCCTCGCACCAGCAAGGACACCGACAAGGGCTCGAACCCCTTCGAGACGGACATTGAGGCCATGGAAATCATGGACACCCAGCAGCCATGCGTGTCCCGAAGCCCCCTGTCCAAGGACAAGCACAACCCCAACTGCACAGTCTGGCCCGGCAAAGACCATTGGAAGCAAAAGGCCAAGGCCGCCAAGAAGAAGCGCAGCTGCGCCCTGTTCGCCGGCATGAGCAAGCGCAACCGCATCATTAGCAAGATCCTCCTCGTCCTGCTCGTGGTCGGCATCGCCGTCGGCGTCGGCTTTGGCGTCAGCAAGCCACTGGGCGCGCCCATCTGGGGGAACCCCGACAACCACTGAGCGCCGCCGCGCCCGATGGCACCACTATCACGGCGTTGATCTCTGGTTCTGTTGTCTCACACCACGTTTGCCTTGTTGGTTCGGCATGTTTACGCATTTCAAGCATCAACCTATAGACGAGGCTGGATCTTGCGCGCGCGAGGCACTCCAAGCCCCTCACATCGTCCTGGCACGGCAGATCTGGCCGAATTAGATTTCGCAAAGCGACTTTTTTGGGCACAGCACCAAAGTTTGGGTATTGTTTCCTTTTTTAGGATTACGTGGCTTTTCTTTTTTTTTTTTTTTTTTTTTTTTTTCTTGATTGGGTTTCAGCACCGGCGAGCGACCGGCGCGTCTATAACACTCGCTTCAGGGGCGTATCAGGCGTTCGAGAGAGCATACACAGGAATACCTTCCTGCCATGGAAGCCTGTATCGCGTGGCGTTGGGCGTCAAGGGAAGAACAGCCTGCTCATCTGTGGGTTTTGTTATGGTGATCATACTGGAGAAGAGCTCAGGCCAAAGGCCACATCAACGGGCGAGCGAGGGCATGTTGTTGACTTACTTGGTCAACAGCTCCCAGCTATTATTACAGTAGTAATGGAACCTCGTTCAGAGATGTACATGACCTTGCTGTGTCTGCGCGCCCCAATGATTAAGAGTGCTCCTCCGTAGATCTTGCATTTTTAGTGCCGGGAGGATGCTGACGGCAAGCTGACACCTGCAGAATAAAGTCGGATCCTCCCCACGCCTAGCTCGTCTGACAGCTGCAGCTTACAATATGTCACACTCTCTTGTTCCTGCGTCCATGGGGCCCCGAAGTGGTGGGGTCCGGAGATCGGCCACATCACGACCCACCATCCAACTCGGGCTTCTCATCATGTCCGCCAGTCCGTCTGGGGAACACACCGCAAGTCCCGGTTGGCTGGCGGCTTCTGCTGTCAAGGGGGATAACTGCGTCATCCTGCGCGTGAATCTGTGTCCTATGCGTGGTTCGGGGTGGTATCAGTCTGGCGACGCTGGTGTGTGAGCAGTGTACCATATGCGGACGAGGCTGACAATGACAGCTGAGTGCTTGCTTCAGTGATGTTGTCAGGGGTTCTGGACCTCTGAGGCTCTGGTGCGTGAATGGAGTGAACATGCCAGGTCACTCACATGGACAGTTGAGCTGTCGCTTATTCACATACCATGGCGTCTACCTGCAAAGGGAATAACATGTCTATTGTTATCGCAAAGGGCAATTACATCTTGAGTGCCATATGGTCAAAGCGGACTCATTTTATTGCGTTGAAGTTCATCGGAAGACATAGGTGTAGAATCTATTACTTCTACGCTAACCATGATTACCTATTTGCTCACTGTTACAGGTACCCCAGCTTGGCGGAGCTCCTTGAATACCGGCCTGCCTTCAAGAAGCTGCACCTCTTTGGCGTCTGCGAAACGCGACAATAAAACAGACCATGCACGCGGTCAGGGGAAGAGCAACGCACAGTACGATGATGCCGGCCACGGCGGCGTTGGATGGGCTGCCTGTGCCCCGAGGGTGGATCAGCGGCGTGCTGGTGTCCATGGTTGAGAAGTCGTGACAGGGGAAATTGGTAGGCGCCATGATGTCTGAGACGGTCTGAACTCTTCGAGTGTACTTAGTGGTGAGTATTTGCTAGCGTAGTGTTGGATAGAGGTTGAAAGAAAGGGATATGTTAAAGAGAGAAAAGATACTGGTGAAGCCTATGGGAAAAGGTTCCACGAGTCACATTCACTGTTGTTCATAGTCGATCGATACCGGGTGCGAACGTGAATCAGTGTACAACATGGAACAGCAGGATGGACAGAGGACATTGTCCGTACCACACCAACATTCATTTGCCGGCCTGCCCCTGCAAGAACAACAAGAGAACATTGCACTTGTTCGACTCGACTTGTTTGTGAGTTTTGCATGCAAGTGAGTTTCTTTTGAGTTCATGGGGATATGGCTGGCTTGTTCGTGGGAGAACGCTACCAAGCCCCTGAACACAACATGTACCTCGGCGTAACTTGACTGTCGCGAACTTTGAACAGCAAAGCTGGAGCCCTCGGATCGAGTCAAACGTCTATATAAGGCCTCCGACTCCGAAAGCTGATCATTCGTTTCCTCTATTCTCCGAACCAACAGCAACATCGCAATCCGTGGAAGTCTGGTACCTCCTCATTCCCCAGCCAGAGAAAGTACGCACCGTCAGCCACCGGCCAGGATCGTCAAAGTCGTTTTCAGTCGCCATGCCTGACACCACACCGACAAGCGCATGATAGTCTCCAAGGCGGAGTACTTTGTCTTCGTCACTAGTTCCATCTGCCTGTACTGCATCATCGTCGTGTACATCTTCAAGCAGGGGCGAGCTCTCCTTTCCCAATGCGCCCAACGGGAGCACACTTCAGACGTCGAGGCCGATGCAGGACTTGAGATGCGCCACCGTTCTCTTCGAAGTGATCGTGGCCACACTCGTGCCGAGGATGCTCAGTCCGATAGATCAGTCCCCATTGTTTCATGGGGTGGTCGACTGGCGGGCCTGCTGCATTTACACAAGGCTCAAAACAACAAGAAGTCAGGCTCTGATCGGTCCATTCGCAGCTCCATTGGCATTGTTCGAGGGGGAGCTGAAGCGCCTTTTGAGGCTCGAGCCGGCCGTGATGTAGCTGGTCCGTTCACTTCGCGAGCATGGAAGACATAAATCTCCACGGCGATGACCATGCCAACACGTCCGGAACACAGCAGGCCCCCTATCCTAATAGTGTGTCGAGTGACAATCGTGATGCTGTGGCCATTCCAGCTGGCGCCTTTTGATCGGGGTTATCTTTTGACGGCAGACTGGGCCCCCTTTCTCTCAACATAAAGGGGGCCCCGACGGTTCTCTGATTCAACACGGATGAACAAATTAGGCTGCGTTTTGCTTGGTCGTAGTGCTGGTGGTCGCGTAGCGCCAGAGGTAAGAATATAACTAGAAGCGTCAGTTGAAGGCTCAAGAGCTTGCTAGTGTGTGCTGGTTTCCAATAAATTTGACAAAATAGAACGTTGCTACTATACTCCTCTGCGTGCCGGGACTTGGCCTTTGTGAATCCATGTAACGCTTTGCACTGTCCAAAGACGGTATCCTTTATCAGAAAGAGAACCAAGTCAGGTCATTTGAGCCTCGGACTCCCGATTCCTCAAATGGAGCGTGTCTTTGTTAGAATGACAAAAGCAGTGGTACCGGGCGATGACACTTTGTGTGTTTTCTCCTTGTTAAGGCGCCGAGCATTGTGTTCTTCTTAGACTGCTCATGACGAAGGCCTGCGCCATTGTGAAAACAACAAAGCCCTTCTTCCCATGCCCTTGGAGTCAGTCGGCCAGGACTGTATTTAAACCAATGTACCCTCCAGTCCAGCACTTTGACTGAGATATCATGTTTCACTATTGCTCTTCATTCGTATCTGTCTGCCTGGCTGTCTGCATGTCTAGATGATGCCCCGTGGACAGAGATGTACGCCAGCATCCCTGACCATGCTTTCCCTGAGTAAACCGTGAAGGTGTGTGCTTCCATTACAATAGTGTTGTCGGTGTGTAGAAGCCCCATATTGCCCCGTTCTGGCATCAAGCCGAACCCCGGAACCGAATCAAATCAAATAGTAGCACAGCGCCGGACGTCCGTTGCCTCCACTGGTGGCACCCCATGTGGTCCACCGCCTTTTCTCCATCCTCTCGCATAGTAGAACAGACATGTATTGCTGTGATGACCAAAATATCGTGTCAAAAGGTAAGGCCAGCTGTAACAAAGGAAACGAAGAAGTGAAATACATGTGATGCTCGGAAATGACGTGTGCGGGCAGGCGCTCGCGTGGTGTCGCGTGGATCTGCATCCTGCGATCCATCACGCAGACTGGTACAGGAGCAACGGCTCGCCAACGTTCTCGATTTCTGGGATCGTGCACTTCAGGTCGAAAGCTTTTGCAAGCACAATCTTGAAGATCTACAGAAACGAAGTTGTTAGTCCGGTACGGCTGCTAGAATCGGATGGCCCACCTTTTGCACGTTGATGCTGTGGCTGGTGCTGGAGAAAATGAGAGCCGCGCGCATGGCTTTGGCAAATCGTCGAGCCTGCAGAGGTCAGCTAGATCACTTCCACGCTTTCGATAAAACCCACCTGGTTCGAGATTTCCTCCTGATCCTGCGGAGGAAAGTTGACGAAATGGTCATACTTGGTTCCGACCAAGATCGGAATGGCGGTCTTGTTGAAGCCGCGCCCCTGACGATACCACTCCTTGATGCTGTTGAGTGTGCTTTTCCTCGTCAAGTCGAACATGAACAGGATCGCGACGGCGTCGTTACACACGAGAGGGAGCATGTTGACAAACTCTCTCTGACCACCCAGATCCCAAATGGAGAAGGTGATCTCCGTGTTGCGGATGGAGATTGTCTTCTCCATAAAGTTGACGCCCAGTGTCTGGATGTAGTCCTCATCCCAGCTTCCCTCGACGTATTTGACCATCAACGATGTCTTGCCAATCTGTGCATCGCCCACCATGCCGACCTTGATCACCACATGATTCCGCCCATTTGCTTGCTCGTTCTGTTGCTGGTTGTGGTGCGACGACTGCACAGGATTCGAGGAGCCGCTGGCCGGCCGCGAAAGTGAAGGTGCGCTCGACACCGCTGCAGGTGTGTAACGAGGAGATGCGGCAGCAGACGCAGTGTCGTCTTCGGGTCGAGGGCTGTCCTCGTGGGCCACGTTGGCCAATCCTTGGTCTAATGACTGACTTTGGCTGTGACGGAACCCCTCGGATAGAGTTTCAATATGTGGTGAAGCGTCAAGGCCGCTGGGGGCGGTCTCGTTAGGACCTGCCTGAGGCTGTGGGTGGAATTCCTGGTGCTGCTGGGGAGGGTCCATCTCCACAGCGTGGACGACGGTCTCTTCCTGTGGAAATGCGGCGACCGGAGGGTCTGCCGCAGGGCTCGTTGAGGGATCCAGTTTGGCGGTTGTGGAGGGGATAGATCGAGAGATGTGGTTGTTCGGACGCAAGCAGGAAGGTCGAGGTCAACGCGCGAGGAGCATTAGCTTGGAAAGGGGGGCAGCTGGAGGCTGCGCGAGCGAGCGTGAGGGACACGAGAGCTCCAAGTCGGGAGATGTGTATTCGCCGACACGAGACAACGGTTTTGGAAGGCGCGAGATGCGATACAATTGTGACCTAGGTCTGTGAGAAGTTTCAAGGAGGGGCGGTGATGACGGAAAGGCACAACGAGGCTCGGCGTAAGGTAAGGTGGAGTCAGAATGCAAGTGGGACGCGGCTGGCCCAGGGCCTTCAAGCAGGGATAGCAGTTGCTGCACAGGACGTTCACTGTAATGGGATATATTAATTACTTCCCTACTTCTATCCGTAGTTCAAGACCACGCTACACTTTCATTCATCTCCAATTGCACTGTCTGGTTGGCTTTGCAGACCAGTCGAACACCAGCTGAACACAGAGACGCCTAAGCAGGTCATCGACCAGGTTCGCGACAGTTTGGCGTTTGCTGACGGCTCACAAACAAACGACTGGAGCACAGAATGCGCGTGCGTTTGCCCGCTACTATCGCTGCCCTTTTGTCGTGTCCAGTCTCGAGAGGCTCCAGTTCTCGTGCTCACGACAAAGGTCCACTGCAGCAGCTGAGCGACGTGCATGTCTTATGTCTTGACTCTTACCAATGGCTAGTGAGGTCGTGGTGAGACAGTAAGAATGACTATCGCCCATCTTTACTTTGCCAGCCTCAGAGCACAGGTGATTCCTTGTTTGTTGGTTCAGCGAAGCCTGTTCAAAGCGCCGATGCCATGGAGTATCGTATCCATAGAAACAGATAGCATGAACCTTAATACGTGGACGCTTAGCCAGCCACAATTACAGCTTCGAGACAAATCGAAGACAAACAAGGCATTGTCTTGCACTGTCGTCCAGGTCCGCACACTACGAGTTCAGCTTGGCGATATACCCTCATCGAACCACATCGCGTAGCCATCTCCATGGCGCCCATCCCTTCCGTCAAACAATGCCTATCTGGATTGTTCCGAGGAAGCTGTGCAAAGTACGGACAAGGTGAGAGTTCAATTCCGTCAAAACTGGGGAGAACCCAGCGAACACCATTGGCCACTCACCGGCTCGGCTGTCAGCCGAAGCTCTGCGTGGCTTTCGTCGGCTTTTGCTGACTAACCACGACAGCTGCACGCATTCGGTCGGCCGTTGACCGGCGTATGATGTTATCTCGGACGATATCAATTCATTCGTACCAACGACAACAAGAACCCTCTCCCCTCAATTTCTTTTCCATCGCAAAGGACGACACCATGGCCTCCATCTCTCGCTCCCTCCGCCCCGTGGCTATGCGCCTGGCCCCTCGCGCCACCCCTACGACGGCGCGGACTGCCTTCCGAACATTTTCGACCACGCGGATGAGTATGTTTGCCCTGAGATCCAGGTGGTGAATTGTGCACTGATTGACCGTTCTGCAGCTGCCCTGCGCAAGTACACAAAGGACCACGAATGGATTGACCTCTCCGCCGACCAGAAGACCGGTGTCGTCGGCATCTCCGAGTACGCAGCCGAGCAATTGGGTGATGTTGTCTACGTCGAGCTCCCCGAGGAGTCCGGGTCCTGGATCGAGCAGGGTGACGGCATCGGCGCCGTCGAGTCGGTCAAGTCGGCCTCCGACATCAACGCCCCCGTGCGCCTCAAGATCGTCTCTGTCAACAAGCTGCTCGAGGAGAAGCCCAGCACGATCAACAAGGTGCCCGAGGACGACAGCCACGGTGGCGGCTGGGTCGCCAAGGTCGAGGTCGACGAGGCGGGTGCGCAGCAAGTGGAGGCTCTGATGGACGCCGAGGCGTACAAGACATTTGCTGCAGGCGACGAGTAAATGTTGGTTTTGGGGAATATACTACATAAAGGCACCAGTGGCGGATCAATACGATTCAGACACATATCACCCATGTGTTCATTACTTCGTAATCTTGTCTCGGTAATGGCGACCTGCCTGCCTTTTACGCAGTACCAGGAGCCGGCCTCTTCGCATTGATCGCATCCAGAATCTTGCCGGCACCACGCTCCACGAGGTTCAGCGCAACCCGCTGCCCGTATTCTTCGGCCGCCTCTGGCGACGATACACCTTCCAGCATCTCGGCGTCCACGCACTCTTTTCCATCAACGCTGACCACGGTAGCGCGTACTCGTAGTTTGTCTTCAATCCACTTGGTCTCGACGCCAATTGGGACGCTGCATCCACCTTCGAGTGTCCGCATCAGACTCCTCTCCACCAGACAGCCCAGTTTCGCCTTTTCTTCTTCCAAGCTACCCAGCACATTGAGGACACGCTCGTCCCCCGCGCGGCACTCCACGGCCAGCGCACCCTGTCCAACGGCGTACAATATACCCCCATTGTCCAGGTCGAGGAACTGCGAGATGTGCGCATCGAGCTTCATACGCTGCAGGCCTGCTGCGGCAAGAATGATACCCGAAAGCTCAGGGTCTTCCTCGAGTTTCCTGAGGCGCGTGTGAATGTTGCCTCTGTGGTCCTTGAAGTGGAGGTTCGGATAGTGGCGTCGCAGCTGTGCGATGCGGCGGATACTGCTCGTGCCGATCACACTGCCATCTGGCAGGTCGGCAAGACACTTGTAGCCCTTGCTCTCGATGAGTTCCTTTTTGAGGACGAGCGTGTCGCGGGGGTCCTCGCGCGTGGTGATGGCACCAATGACGCAGCCCTCGGGCAGAGCCGTGGGCATGTCCTTTAGGCAGTGCACCACCATGTCCAACTCATTGGCGACCAGCCTCTCCTCTAGCTGCGAGGTCCACAGCGCCTTGCCGCCAAAGTTGTAGAGAGCAGTCTTCTGGTCTCGATCGCCGGTCGTCGTCATACCGTGGATGGGGAAGGTATACTCGGGGAACTGAGCCTGCAGAGTGGCGACCACAAGCTCAGCTTGAGCCATGGCGAGGGGCGAGTTGCGCGTGCCGACATTGATGATCGTGGGACCGCGCTCGGTCGGTGCATTCGTTTCTTCAGACATGCTGCACGTTTATCCTCGTCGCGCTCGGGAGGGAGGAATTGGTGGTACAAACTTGAACTGGAGGTGATGTGAAGTTGGAGGTGTTCAACTTCAACTTGCGGGTACGCTTGCCGACAGACATGTGTTGGAAATTTGTTGGAGGGGTCGTTTGGCGGGGCCCCTCCAGATCCCTTCAGAATACCCTACGGTTGCGACGACGTCTACTGAACGTGGTGTAGCAGCTTCGAATTTGAGGATTTGAGGACTCGTGAATCTTTTCTTGAGTAAGCTGTGAGAGCTTCTGCGGAGAGAGCACTTGAAATCAAGATAACTAGATAGCTGTCTCGTGACATTGAACAGCCTAGCAATGGTGGTTTAAAAAATTGCGGCTGGAACTATGCAAGTACCAAATTGAGAAAGAAAAGTAAGGAGTGTCGAACAGAAACAACTTATTAGTCCTTGAGATTGAATACAATTTCTTGGATCATCATCCGACATGTATTTAGGACCCCGTCGGCCGTGTCACTACCAAACCAAGCCAAGTAGCTGCTTGCCTCTATAGGGTAGGGTATTTTTCGACAGACCAGCAACAACCCAAGACCGCGTCAGCCTTCCACTTCCCATGCAACCAGGGCTGCCATTCTGCAGGAAAGACTCACGTTTAACAGATATCCCAAAGCAGCAGCTCAATAGCAAGACCCCGCAATAGCCACTGCCTGCATGAGCGCTACATCCGGCCGGGCCTACGTATTCGATCTCTCCACACTGCGGCAGCTTCACCCCCGCTCTCCCCAGCTTTTAGCGCCAATCCCCCACAGTCAAGACGTGACTGACCCTTTGCGACTCGCGCTCACATGCAGTGTCGATGCGACAGTAGCCTAAAGGTAGGTGTGTGTGTGAGCTCTCGGCGTCTCGGGCCATTGGAGCTGGCTGGATTTGTATCATCCCACGACCTCTTCCCCTCATTTTCCCTCCCGCCCTCTCATATCTCCGCTCTGTCCCCCTTCTCCAAAGGCTCATTCATGGGCGCTTTTGACTTTGTTCTTTGCTGCAAGCCATCCGCGTCTCTTTGGATTTAGCGGCGCTTCGTTCTGCCATTCATCAACTCGAGATCTCGGGGTGGCTTTTCTCCCTATGCGAGAGCCCGTCTCGTCTCACGTACCACAACATCCGTCATTCAGATGAGGGTGCTCTGAGAAACCCTAGCAATGGCGTCAACTTCGCTGCGTCCTCTAGCTGCCGAGCTCAGCTGCCTGTCTTCGTTGCGACTCGGGAGACGGTCCTTGCACGGTAAGGCTATTCAATATGCATGCGGCATGAGCACCATGCTGACCCGGTTCATAGGCACGAAGCCGTTGCTGGGCACTCAAGCAAAACAATGGCACAACACACTTTCCTCGTCGTCCCGCCATGTCTATAGTCCAACGGTTATCAAGACGTCGGGCAGGTCACGCGACACCTCAGTGATTCATCTGCCGCCGCCTTCCGTGCGACCATTTGCGACTGAAGCATCCGCTGTCATCCCGCCCACGACACCCTTTGCAAACCTCACCATCGGCGTCCCCACCGAGATATTCCCAGGGGAGCGCCGTGTTGCGCTGACACCGCAGAATGTCGCGCTCTTGCTCAAAAAGGGCTACTCCAAGGTCCTCATCCAACGCGGTGCTGGTACCCAGGCCGAGTTCCTTGACGAAGCCTACGAGACAGCCGGTGCCACGCTCGTCGACGATGCGTCTGGTGTCTGGTCATCAGCCGACATTGTGCTCAAAGTCCGCAGCCCCGCCAAAGAAGAAATTGACAGCATCAAAGCGAAGCAGACGATCATCTCGTTCCTCCAGCCGGCGCAGAACAAGGAGCTCGTGGACGCCATTGCCGCCAGGGGCGCCACAAGCTTCGCCATGGACATGATCCCCAGAATATCGAGGGCGCAGGTCTTTGACGCGCTGAGCTCCATGGCCAACATTGCCGGCTACAAGGCCGTGCTCGAGGCCTCCAACAACTTTGGCCGGTTCCTGACGGGCCAGGTGACGGCGGCTGGCAAGATCCCACCGTGTAAAGTCTTGGTCATTGGTGCTGGCGTGGCCGGGCTGAGCGCCATAGCCACCGCGCGTCGCCTCGGTGCCGTGGTCAGGGGGTTCGACACTCGTCCCGCCACGCGCGAGCAGGTCCAGTCGCTAGGTGCCGAGTTCGTCGAGGTCGAACTCAAGGAAGACGGCTCTGGCGCGGGCGGCTACGCCAAGGAGATGAGCAAGGAATTCATCGATGCCGAGATGAAGCTCTTCAAGGAACAGGCCAAAGAGGTCGACATCATCATCACCACGGCTCTCATCCCCGGTAAACCCGCGCCTAAGCTCATCAAGAAGGAGGCCCTCGACGTGATGAAGCCCGGCAGCGTCGTCGTCGACCTGGCCGCCGAGGCTGGTGGCAACTGCGAGGCTACTGTCAAGAACGAGCTCGCCAAGTACAAGGAGGTCAAGATCATCGGCTACACTGATCTGCCCTCGCGTCTGCCGACCCAGTCGTCCACCTTGTATTCCAACAACATCACCAAGTTTCTCTTGTCCATGACACCCAAGGAAAAGGAGTTTGGCATCGACCTGTCTGACGAAGTAGTCCGAGGTGCCATTGTCACGCAAGAAGGCGAGGTCCTGCCCCCTGCTGCGCGCCCTGCTCCCCCACCGCCGGCACCTGCGCAACCTGCACCTGCTGAGGCCAAGGCGGAGGTGAAGGCCATCACGCCGTTCCAGAAAGTGTCACGCGAAGTCGCCGCCGTCACGGGCGGCATGGGCACAGTGCTCGCGCTGGGCAAGTACACGAGTCCATTGTTCATGGGCAACGCCTTCACCTTCGCGCTGGCCTCTCTGATTGGATATCGTGTCGTCTGGGGCGTCCAGCCTGCGCTTCACTCACCTCTGATGAGCGTGACGAACGCCATCTCTGGTATGGTTGGTATTGGTGGTTTGTTCATCCTCGGAGGAGGGTACATGCCCGAGACCATCCCGCAGACATTCGGTGCCTTGAGTGTGCTGCTCGCATTTGTCAACGTTGGTGGAGGCTTCGTCGTCACCAAGCGCATGCTGGACATGTTTAAGCGTGAGTTCATCATCTGAATCTTAGTATCTTCGCTCCAGTGGCTAACATCTGCGTGACAGGTGCCACCGACCCCCCGGAGTATCCCTGGCTGTATGCGATTCCAGCGACCGTGTTTGGAGGTGGTTTCCTTGCTGCAGCGTCGACTGGTGCTGCCGGTCTCGTGCAGGCAGGCTATCTCGCGAGCACCGTCCTCTGCATCGGCTCCCTCACCGGTCTCGCTTCGCAGACCACCGCGCGCATGGGCAACATGCTCGGCATGCTGGGCGTCGGCTCGGGCGTGCTGGCCAGTCTTTTCGCAGCTGGCTTTTCGCCCGAGGTGTTGACTCAGTTTGGCGTGCTGGCCAGTCTGGGAACGCTGGCCGGCTTCCTCATTGGCAAGCGCATCACGCCGACCGATCTACCGCAGACAGTCGCGGCATTGCATTCTGTCGTTGGTCTGGCTGCGGTTTTGACCAGTATCGGCAGTGTTATGGCGCACATCTCTGACCCTTCGACACTGCACATGGTGACTGCATATCTTGGCGTCGTGATAGGTGAGATTATATCCTTCTTCCTTACCCTTTGTAGCGCGCTGACGAGATCGCAGGCGGCATTACATTTACCGGGTCCATCATTGCGTTCCTCAAGCTCGCTGGCCGCATGAGGTCCAAGCCAGTCAACATCCCGGGGAAGCATCTTCTGAACGGCAGTCTTCTCACGGCCAATGCAGCGACCATGGGTGCATTCGTGACCATGGCGCCTGGGAGTCCCCTCATAGCCGCCGGTGCCCTTGCGGGAAGTACTCTACTGAGTTTCATCAAGGGCTACACTACCACCGCCGCCATTGGCGGTGCAGACATGCGTAAGTAGCGATCAACGCTTCGTTCCTGGAATGACCTGACTGACCTTTCCAGCCGTTGTCATCACCGTGCTCAACGCGTACAGCGGCTTCGCTCTCGTAGCAGAGGGATTCATGCTCGACAATCCTCTTCTCACCAGCGTTGGCGCTTTGATTGGCGTGTCAGGCTCCATCCTTTCGTATATCATGTGTGTCGCCATGAACCGCTCTCTGACCAACGTCCTCTTTGGCGGTATGAGCGCACCGACGCAAGTGCAGGAGTACAAGCCTCAAGGACAGGTCACTCAGACCTCTGTCGATGACCTGTCCGACGCATTGCTGCAGAGTGAGTCTGTCATCTTCATCGTGGGCTACGGCATGGCGGTTGCCAAGGCGCAGTATGCCATTTCCGAGATTGTCGCGATGCTACGAAAGAAGGGTATCACCGTTCGTTTCGCCATTCACCCTGTCGCGGGTCGCATGCCCGGGCAGTGCAACGTCCTGCTTGCCGAGGCGAGCGTGCCGTACGATATTGTCCTGGAGATGGACGAGATCAACGACGACTTCCCGGAGACCGACTTGGCGGTGGTCATTGGCGCCAATGACACCGTCAACCCGATCGCGATGGAGAAGGGCAGCTCGATTGAGGGCATGCCTGTCCTGCACGCGTGGAAGGCCAAGCAGGTTGTCATTATGAAGAGAAGCCTGGGAAGCGGATACGGTGTGTACCCCCCTGATCACCTCGTCCCCTGGAAGAAGCCTGCTAATGTACCCTAGCCGACGTCCCGAACCCCATGTTCTACATGGACAACGCCAAGATGCTGTTTGGCGACGCAAAGGTGTCTTGCGATGGTAAGTTCAAACGAGTCCCACTGTTGCACCCTTGCTGACCAGCCCCAAGCGATCAAGACCGCCGTAGAAAGCAAGCTCTAGACATGTCCACCCCGTATATATCGTCGTTTCGAGATGTCTGCTGGAAGGAACACCGGTGGATACACGTTCTCTCATGTCATGTTCTTCACGCTCCCATGGACAACACTTGCCTGAATTGAAATTTGATTCCTTTCTAATCCACGGTTGAATCGCTCCCCATGTTCATATGTACACATCCACCTAGACTCCCTACGACCTCTGCGCAGCAACTGGCTGCCACGGTGTAAGCTTCGACTTGGTTCTGCATGTCGCGTTAGCGTGCTCTCTATGTCGTCCCTCCGTCATGTCGCTCGCTGGGAGCGGGTAGGCTTACGTGCTATATGTCTTGAACGCTCCCGGGGTCATTGTGAAGTTGGGCTTCGGCATCGTCGGCTCAAATGGGCGTCCACCGGTCTGGAGCAGCTTGTCCCCCACGGGGGGCTTGTCGACCAGGTAGCTCATCCACGCGTGCCAGCCAGGCTCGATCTGGGCGGCGTCGTAGTCGTGCTTGGCGTACTCGACCCAGCGGGTACGGAGCGGGAGCTCCTCGTTGTTCTCGAAGAATTTGTTGCCAGCGCGATCGGTGCCGATGAGAGTGCCAGCCTTGGTGTCGCCAATGTACTGTATCGTTCAATTAGGGCCGCTGTTCGGGGGCTGCGCGCGAGGGAGGTTCGGGGACACGTACCACCATCTGCATAACGTAGTCCTTGAAGCCGACCTTGCGCAAATTGCGCAGGGTACGAGTGATGGTCGACATGGTGACAGTGGTTGATCAATTGACGTCGCTATCCCTGGAGGAAAGACCTGACGTTGATGGTCGGGTCTGTCGAGGTGCGTGCCGAGACCGGAAGATCCTCGGCTGAATTAATTTGCTGGATCGACCACCTTGAAACGCGCCGTGGATCGAGCAAGGGCCATGATGTTAGCAGCAAAGCACACTATTTTCAAATGTTCGCGCGAAGCTGTGCTCGATGCACAGGGAGGACCCGGGCCGGTGCGATTAGCAGACCGAGAATACCGAGCGCGACCAGGACGCAATGTCGCAGATACAGCAGTAGTCAAGGACCTACCCCGGCGGCAGCAAAGGCCGGAGGAGCAGCCCCTGATATTCTGGCACCATTCGTGACGGAATTGGATCGCCTGTCGCCGTATTTCGACATACAAGGGGATCAAGTAGAGATCATCCAGACGCCGGCCGAGTTCTATGGCACGCTCAAGGTACGCCAAGACGCTTCTGAGGGACGAGCAACGACTAATTCAGTAGGATCGCATTCGCAATGCGAAGAAGCGTATTTTCCTGTCGACGCTATACATTGGAAAGAAGGAGCTCGAACTCATCACCACTCTCCGTGATGCGCTCCGTCAAAACCCCAATCTCAAACTCAGCATCTTGACTGATGCCCTCCGAGGCACACGCGAGGCGCCCAGAGCATCATGCGCATCCCTTCTCGCGCCTCTTGTCGACGAATTCGGGGAGGACAGGGTCGAAATCAGGATGTACCACACGCCCAATCTGACGGGGCTGCGCAAAAAGATCGTGCCCAAGAGGATCAACGAGGGCTGGGGCTTGCAGCACATGAAGCTCTACGGAGTCGACGACGAGATCATCATGTCGGGGGCCAACCTGTCGGACGACTACTTTACGAATCGCCAAGATCGATACCATCTTTTCTCCTCCGCGGAGATCACAGGCCACTTCTGGCGGATTCACGAAGCCGTCAGCAACTTCAGCTTCAAGGTCACCCCCTCTAACGAACAGCCTTCGGGCTTCACGCTTGACTGGCCCGCGACCAACACGGCGCCCTCACCGTTGACCGAACCCAAGGCATTTGTCGAGAGCACCACCGCGACACTGAAGCCCCTTATTCAGCCTACCGCGGGAGCCGTCAAGGGTACAACTCAAGTGGCCGATACGCGAGTGTACATGCTGGCGCAAATGTCGCAAGTCATGAAACCAGACGTGTCCACTGAGCTCCCCTCCATCACGCATATTCTCAAGACCTTGGCCGAACCGACCTATCGTGACTCGTCCTGGACATTTACGGCTGGCTATTTCAATCCCGCCCCGTCACTGACGAAGCTGCTCCTGAACACGGCCTCCTCAGCGCGCACCAACACCGTCATCACCGCCGCGCCCGAAGCCAACGGGTTCTACAAATCTCCCGGCGTGTCGGGACTGTTACCAGACGCGTACACGCTGCTAGCGAGGCGCTTTCTCACAGCAGTACAGAGCAATGGCCGTGCGAACGACATCTCGCTCAAGGAGTGGCGCAAGGGCACCGTCGGACAGCCCGGTGGCTGGACGTATCACGCCAAAGGACTCTGGGTTACGCTTCCAGGCGACGTGAACCCGGCCATGTGTATCGTAGGCAGCTCCAACTACACCAAGCGCAGCTACTCGCTCGATCTGGAGGTCGGCGCTCTTGTCGTGACGCGCAGCGAGCAGCTGAAGAAGAGGCTGGGCGAGGAGCAGAGATGGCTGCAGGATCACACCAAGGCCGTGACGCAGGATGACTTCGCACGGAATGACAGGAGAGTGGGCATGCATGTCCGTATCGCCATGTGGATTGTACGAGCTGTCGGAGGCCAGCTGTAATGCAGATGTGTTCATAGTGTCTTTTTGTGTATACCAACCCCGAGGATATAGATTAGATACCCCAACCAGCAAAGAAAGCACCTTGTTTACAATTGTACATGATGATACAACAGGGAGTCTATATCTAAGCGCCCAGCACCTTGACTCCGCTTTGCGGTCCAGCAGGCGCGAAGCCGTTGATGACCACCTTGGACACCAGATCACTCTCGTGCTGCTTGATCAGCTCCTTGAGCACACTCCTCTCCATGACAACCTTGCCCGTCTCCAGGAGGTCCTTGACGTCCACATCTTCCATATCCAAAGCCCGGCCCTCGGAGGGACCGGCGTACTCCATCGCCTCAAACAGCTTTGTCCGCCTGTCCTCGGTGACAAAGAGGGTTCGTCCGTCCGGCTTGCCGAGTCCTAGCCCCATGAGGGCCTCGCGCATATACTTGGCGAGATAGCGCTCCCTTAAGCCGAACTTGAGCTTGTCCGCCGGGGTCAACTCGAATTCCTCGGGGTACGCCATGTCCATGCCATCCTCCGTCACGATCAGCTCGCCCCTCCGATAGCGATAGCTCAGCGCCGTGCGCCACGCCTTGTCGTAGACCTTGCGGTTCAGCTTGGTGCCAAAGTCCCTCTGCCTGGGACCGTGGGCTTTGCCTCCACCGCGGAGGGAGGGACTCCTACTGCTACCGAGACGAGCGCGGCCCGTGCCCTTTTGAGGACGTACTTTGCGCGTCGAGCCCCGGACCTCAGCGCGCGTCAAAGCACGTGCCGTACCGAGGCGGGTATTGTCGCCTTCGTACACGACGGCAAGATGGAGGATATCGCGGCGCATGGGGAGGTAGAGGTGTTCGACGGCAAACTGCTCGAGAGATGTGGGTTCAAGGCTGGGGAAGGCGTGGATTGTCACAGGGACAGAGGATGCTGCAGGCGTTAGAATATGGGAGCCTCCCTCGATCACGGGGTCACGGGAGCATACAGGGATGCCATGAGTTGAGAATGGTCTGGGTATCGACTGAGCGTGTGATATTGGCCGTCGAGGCCTCGGTGGTCGTGGCCATGGACCTGGTGATGGTCTTGAGATGCGAGGGCTGCCGAAACCATGTCAGTACCATCACATTGATCCGCTTGGGCAGCTCGTCTGACATACCTTTGAGGCAAGCCTCAATGCGCCCATGGCCTCTGAAAGGCATCCAATGCCCTTTGCAGCCATCTTTGTCGGGATTGCCGTTCGGTGGAGGTGCTTCTGATGACGAGATCTCTCGAGGTTAAAAATTGGCCTCCTCCAGGAGAGTCTGGCAATGTCGGCGCGCCAGGCCCCGACTGGAAAAGTGGGTCATCGTCGCATGCACCCGAACTTTTTCTTGCCTTGCCTTCAACACCATCCATTGACGACCTCCATCAGCCAGTCATCCATCCCCTTTTCGAAAAAGGGACGACCCCGTCACAATGTCGCGCTGTCAGTCGGTCGCCAGGCCTCTGGCCAGGCAATTGTCACGACAGCTCTACAGACCTTTCACCACCACGCCGTCGATATCAGCAGAGGTGACCACCGAGCCTCCAGCGACCACCCCATCGCCAGCCGACCTCGACCCCGACACCGTCCTCCCCGAGTTCGAGAATGCCCTCATGAAGGCGGGTCAGATGCCCATCGGCTCCCGCCGTCGCCGCATGGCCATCCGCGACTACCCTGACGGCTTGCCCTTTGAGCAGCTGCCGTACCAGGCGTTTCAGGAGGCGCGCAAGATTCTCGCCGCCGACCGCGAGCAGAAACTGGCCGCCATCCGTGCCGAGCTGGCCAAGATCGCGCTCCTCGAGTCGAGGGATGCCAAGGACTTCAAGGGCGGGCAGGCGATGAAGGACACCCGCATCGCGAGTCTCAAGCGCTACGTCGAGGTGCTCAAGATCCAGGCCGACATCAACGACCCCGTGGTCAAGAAGCGATTCGAGGACGGCCTGGGCGACATGAACAAGCCCATCTACCGGTACTACGCCGAGCGTCGCTGGAGGAGCTACCAGCACAAGCTCATCACTCAGCGCATCGAGCAGTTCAACATTGTGCCCGACATCCTCCCCAAGTTCGAGCCCACCGCCGACGTCCAGCTGTATTTCTGGCAGCAGAAGACGCAGCCTGGCGCCATCATCGACTCGCTGGTCAGCGAGCCGCCGCCGCGCCTGAACGTCCAGGTCTTCGACAAGGGCGAGCGTCTGGTCACCATTGTCGTCCTCGACGCCGACGTGCCCAACGTCGAGGCCGACGGCTACACCAAAAAGTGTCACTTTGTCGCGGCCAACATTCCCCTGAGCCCGACGCAGTCGTCCATCCCCCTCGGCAAGATCAAGGATGAGAACCAGCTCGCCGTCCCATGGCTGCCCCCTACCTCCCAAAAGGGCTCGCCGTACCACCGCATCGCCATCTTCGTCCTCGAGCAGGACGGCCCGCTGGACGCCAAGGCCCTCAAGGAGCAGTACGCCAACCGCCTCGGCAAGGACAAGACCAGCTTCTCCCTCAAGTCCATCCGTGACAAGTACAACCTGAAGCCCTTTGGCTTCAGCATCTTCCGCTCCGTCTGGGACGACAACACCGCCGCCGTCATGGGTCGCCACGGCATCGAGGGCGCCGACATTGAGTTCAGGCCCACGAGGGTGCACAGCATGAAGCAGCCCGTCAAGCCCAGGGGCTGGGAGGCCAAGAGACAGGGCCCCAAGTACCGCCATCTTTGGAAGTACACCAAGAGGATCAAGGGCGTCTCCAACGGGCGGAAGTGGCTCAAGGCTGGCAAGAGGTAGCGAGGAAGTGGGCCATGTATTACTATTGTTGTATGTGTCCGCGAGAGCGTGGCTTGATGTACATATTATTGAAGTGTACGATATCATTTTTGGATGCCATACGGACTCGTGCCCTCAAAGTCCTGTGCTCTCGCTAGCCGGTACTTGCTGCCAGCTCTGAGTTCTTCACAATTCACTGAGAGCAGAGCTGGCACGCAATTGAGATTCGGTGAAGATGATACATTGTTGTGGCTATCAGGCCTTCCTGGAAATTTGAACCCCCAATTTCTTCGGGCACTTTGGCCCTGCAAAGCTGTCGCGTCATGAAGGACCACGAACACCCCCCCGTGCTTCGCTACATTCATGAGATTGTCAAACGCCTTTTCCGATGTCCATCCCCCCTCGGCAACCCAGTACGGCACGCGCAGGCTGCCAATGGTATCATAAGAAGATAAAACGCCCGCTAAATCATAATTCCAACAAGACCCCCATATGCGCCTAGTTTTCCACACCTTCTCTCTCCCCTTCTCAAGCGAACATGTTGTCGGGCATGTGGTCGTAGTTGATTTCCTCATGCTTAATGACGGGCGATACTGCGAAGCTTGCCGACATTCCTGGTGGCCGCTGCAATAGCGACTCTGCCTGATGTGAGTGGAGAGCTACATATTGTATTCGTAATGGAACTCACCATTCAAGCTCAGGTCCGCCCCAGAGCCGGATCCGCAGCTCGAGAAACGCCGTTCTCGCTGGTGCTCCGCATCGTTGGTGGTTCTTTGCACAAAGCGCTTGGCCTCGGTCTCGAGCCACCCGTCAATGTTGGTATCGGCACAGCCGGCGTGGCCCATGAGCTCGTTCTTCAGTTGCGTGACTTGCTCCACGAGCTCTGTGCATTCGCGCTGAAGTAGGCGGTTGGTGTTTTCGAGTTCGGACTTTTGCGTCTCCAGGTCACTGACCCATGCTTTCTTCTTCTGGCGGCACTTGGATGCAGCTATCCTGTTACGCTCCAGGTACTTGCTCCGCTTGGGATCGCCATCGTCCTCTGACATGACCACAGAAACGGGCGCCTCGGGCTGTTTCTTTGTCTTTTGCCTCTTTGCCGCCGGCGCTTTGGTGGTCCGCGCCTCTGACTCGCGAGCTTTGGTGGTCTTGGTGGTCTTTCGTCGAGTCTGGCGAGTTGTGGTTGTTGTTGCGGGAGGGGAGTCCGAGGATCCCCACGAGAGGGACGGGACTGATTCATTGCTTGACTTGCGTTCCGCCCTGCCGTTGGTGGAGGTATGGATATCCTTCCCAGCGAGGGCACCGTCTTCTGGTGGTGAACCCATTGATGCCTCAGCCACACCACCATTCTCCCCAGGGCCTAGGCTCAGTTGGAAGTCTTGCGAGTCGCCCAAGCTTGTAAAACGGGGATCCATGGCATCTTGCCAAGCTGAAGGATCGACGTTCATCGACTCTGGCGCCTTCTCGTGCAAGTGGCCAGGGTATTGCATAGTCAACTGCGGGTCGACGATGGACGCATCGCTGTCCGTGTTGAAGTTCATAAAGTCGTCCATATTGACAAAGTTTTGTGTGAGGATCGACATGCTGGTTGGCGACAGCTGCTTTGTTTGTTTGGCGCTCTAAGTGTGTATAGCTAGCTCTCGGACGATCTGTGTGGGGCAGCCTGATCGCCGTGGACGCGGAAGCTCGGCCGGCGGAGGATTCGGAGGGGTCGGGCTGGGAGCTGGTTCGAAAAGGTTGTTGTATGTACTTTGCTGGTGTGTAGCTTCCGACAGACGTGCTGCTGTGGATGATCAAGGTCGTTCAATGTCCTCTTGGTCAAAGGCCAGGTTGTTGCGAGAGGGAGGAGTGTTTCGGATCAGAGAATGAGCTCGAGCTGAGCCCTTGAAGGTGGCGCCTTGGTCCCTACTTACGATTTAGGCAAGGTAAGGAGACAAGGTAAGGTAAGATCGGGTCAGGTAGACGCGGCGGGCCACTCGGACGAAATTGGTTAGATGGACCCCGTTCCTTGTGGTTGGAATGGCGCCACGGCCGTGCCTTCCCAAACAAAGTTCAGACAGAAAGCAACAGCAGACAAGGGGCCTGGGCTCTCCGCAACAGAAAACAGTCTGTGTGCTCAGAGCAACGAGCCAGTTGGCTGTATCGAACAGTCCAGGCGTCGATATTCCCCTTTGAGGTGTGGGCGAGCTAAGCAGCTTAGCTACCACGGCGGGAGGCGATTGAGCTATGCGACCGCGAATCAGGGCTGGAGGACGCGAATGAAGGCTGGCTGCGGCTTCTTCCAGTGGTGTGTTCGGTGGTGGGTGCTCGCGGGGTAGGTACTGTGTAGGCAAGTCAAGGTATGGCAAGGCAGTAGCTCCAGTCCAGTCCCTGTTGTAAGTGAGAGTGTGTGTGATGCGAACGGGCGATCAAGGTCACGACGCTTGGGCGAGGAATTGAGAACAAGATCGTAGGCAGTGCTTGTACATATAGCAGAGTTGATAATGATTTTTATTTGTTTCAATCCCTCCGAAAAAAATCAAGAGTCTTCCGGAGCGGTCATGGGGCCAGCTTTCTTTTCTATCGACAGATGCAAAGCTCCAGCGGGGGGGCAGGGCAACCAGCATCGAGATCGCAAGAGGATTTGCCCATCCACCCCATGCATCGATAAGTCGCAGTTACGCATGCCAGTGCTCGCTCAAGCCACGGGCCACGGTGCAGATCCAGTCCCCTCCTTCCGTCACACGCTTGGCGGGGCCGCAGGTACGGGTGCTATCACAGCCTATGAGGGCTGGAGCCTATGGGAGGGCAGCACCCAAGCCTGTGCTACCGTCTACGGTACATGCCAAACCTGGTACTTGAGGCATGTGGATGGGGGATGGACCTGACGAGCCAAAAACATGTCATTCTGGAGTCCCTAGGCAGTGCTGGCTTGCTAATTGCGAGCTTGGTCCTTTTTTTTCTTCCATGCGTATCATGATGGCATTTCTGTTTGCCCATGTTGATCAAGTCGCCTCTCCAGGCACGCAGCTTGGATGTTGTTTAGAGATAACTGCGTGCATGGTTCCGGCCCACGCGCACGCTTGGAGTCGCAGCCCATTTCAGCCACTGATAAGCCACCAGTGAACTCTCAGTGTGGCGACATTTCTATTGGAAGACAGGGGGCCAACAGAGTTCACGCTGAGCCCGCTTTAGGTTCACCAGCCACGACCTGCAGTCCCCGTAAACTATCTGCGTTACTGCCGTTGCCCAGCATCTCGCCATGCAGTTGCCTGGACCTGGCGGAGCTACGGACATTGAACAGCACAAATCGATTTCTCTGACCGATCGTCGGCACATCACTCGCCTTCACTGGCATTGCGGGAGAAGAGTTTGATGCTAAAGCTCCAGCGTGACGCAATTGTACATATACTTTCTCAAGGCAGGGGGTCCACGATCGAGGATCCTCGCAGCGGGGACATGGGCTTCTCTACTGACACTGTACTCCGTAGCATGGGACATCAACAACAACAGGCACACTTCGGAGCATTTCGTCAGTGGCCGCCAAACGGTGGACGGAATAGTCTACAGAGGAGCAGAAACGGCAGTAGCGGAGACTAGACGCCTGCCGGTGGTGGGGAGGTGCTCCCAGATGCACTGTGCATGCGCAAGCAGGCTTTTGTGCGCCCTTGTCCACCACTAGAGACACGTAGACTGGGACCACAGCTCGAATCGAGCCATCGACAACACACGGAGCGTTTGGTCCGCCTTGATGATACTCAGCCGCTGACGGCCCATCAAATCATGTCACGATGCATTTATCATGCTGTACGCAGGCCTTTAGAATCGTGATGGGATAACTCAATCACGCTTTTCATTTGGAGCCTTTTTCCCCCCCAACGGACTCACGGAGTGGTGATAATCACATGGTATGATAGTGCCCCGTCCGTCGCTGCGTTCGTGAGGCCCCGAGACTTGGCCCTGCTTATACCCGGGGGTTTCCACTTGGCACGGTGCAGTACAGCGGCTAGCCCATTAGGCTATCAGAGCACAGTGGACTTTGTCAGCATCGACAGTTGTTGACAGCCATAGCGACCCCACTGTGAACAGCCGGAAACCTAAGCCATGAGCTTGGCATCCGTGTCATTACGTAGTATGCAATGATTTTTGTTGGTTAGCAAGCAGAATGGAACCAGCGGGCTATGACTGTCTACCGTGTCCGCAAACAGCTGTCATAACGGTATCACGGACACTGTACGATATAAAGGCACGTTGGTTGTCTTGGGCTGGGCGGGGGCGGGGCTGCTTGCCTGCGCAGCCGACTGGACCGTCCGTGTCCGATCGGTCCGCAGGTCCTGGTGGCAAAAGACTTACCCTACATCACCTTTCGCAAGGTTGGCCAGGGCGATCATGACACAATTCGATGCAGGTAAGCTAAATTGGCCTTAATTACAGGATTTCTTGGGATTCAACTACGTAGCTGAACTCAATTCCGATCATCAAACTCGACGATCCCGAATTAGAGCCGCATCCAGCGGGCATTCGTTGGGGTCTTCGCTTCCCCTTTCCAGTCGCTTTCAAATACTACGTACAATCTCGAACTGTGTTGACCATATTGTTCGAAGGAAAAGTTCCACAACAATCTTCTTTTTTGCATTATTCGCATTTTCAAGTAGGATTTGACTCTCACGGACCTGTGCTGCCCACACGTTGACTGCACCTGCAGCCAGTCCTAGTTACACCACGCGCGCCACAGCATGCAAACGCTGCCCGCTGCCGCTGGTGCTCTTTACCTGCGCAATGAGCCCCGAGTGTTCCTGATGCCCTAGCACTCTTCCATGTATTGTATTTAATTCCGCGCACCTTATGGCAATTTCATCCTGCTCTATTGGCAGGATATCTTCATTGATCGCGATTCGTGGCTGAAATGTGGCCAGTGATGTGGCTTGTGCAGGGGATTTTCCGTGCTTGCCGCAACGGCAGGCGCTGCTGCGTTGCTGCCCCGCGCCCCGTTTTGTTGATTTCAGGGTCAATGCCTCGTGAGAAAGTCCATCGCAACCCTTGCAGCCTAAGCGACCTCATCTAAGGCACCTTAGACCACATCACACTGGATTAGCACGGAACACACAGCCTCAACCACAAGTACTTGACCCTTCCTCACGCTTCCGAGTCCCTATCGACAAAATTCAGGCACACCTCGAAGTTGTCCAACTTGTCCCCCACAAGCTCACAACCGCTCAGCAAATACCTAGGTCCGAGCGACACTGTCCTTGGCATAATGAGCGACCAGATCGAGGCACCACGTGTCACAGCTCGTCTGTTGGACAATTTCATTGGGCGTCATGTCCGCATCGTCGGGCAAGTGATAGAGTTACGCGGTGACCAGGCAGTGATCAACTCAGATGGGGCCGTGACCATCCTGCTGAATCGCGACGCTCACCTCTCACAGAACGGAGGCGCGCAGATCATTGGCAAAGTGAACCCTGATCTCTCCATCAAAGCTCTCAACTCCGTCAACCTGGGGGACAACGTTGATTACAAGCTGTATGGCATGGTTGTCGAGGTCACGCACAAGTTCCCCCAGATTTTCCTCACGGGCACTTCGCAATGACTGGCCCGACCGGATCATGGCGCGCCAGCCTACGAACCGAACGTAGCCATGATCTGGTCACAGCCTGGCTCAGAAACAGAGCGCCCTCCGCAGCCCAACGCATCCCGACTGCCAAGGCGGTCCAGGAGATCTTCCACATCAACGGCATACACCGCAACCACAGCCTACACAGCAACCACAGATTCGGACTCGGACCAGACGCAGCGTAACACCTCACGCTCACGTTCGCGCCCAAGGTCACCATCTTCTGTTTCTCAACCCATCGAAATACAACCTGACCACTTATATGCATATTCCATTGATACCCGAAGCTCGAGAGATTTCACACAACCGTCGGGGTCACACATCTCGGCCACGCCTCAAGAAGACGAACTCATCTTATCCGCGCAGCCGCAGACTCCAATATTTCCACCGCCAGTCACTTCACAGACCTTTTCAGATCCCAGTCCACTGCCATCGCCCCCAGCTTCTCCCCCAGTCTCGCTCCAGCTATCGTCGGCGGGATCTCCTTCGAACTTCGACAGACATAATCGACACCCTAGAGGGGACATCACTCCTGCAGTTTTCGAAATGCATTCACAGCTAAGTCCGCGTCCTTTTCGACGAGAATCTCCAATCTCAGAAGCACGGGGCCAACCGAGCATCTATACGCCGGAGCCATCTCGGCAGGCCGCGCCGTCCGAGTCGTCGTTTTCCTCCGCAATTTACTCGCAACCAAGCATGCCTTCACCCACGCGCTCCTCCAAGATACCGCTTCGTACTGCACGGGAGGTCAACTACTTCGACGACGATGCGCTTCTTAACTCTGTTTTGGACGGGATCGGAAGGATGTCCGTCACAATGGGCCAAGATGGAGCGGGTCGATGGCGTATCAAACGAACAGACAGGGAATTTTAGGGGACCTCCCTCAATATGTTCCCTGTGTTTTCGGTCACTGCATGAGTCAAGCATTTGCATCGTTAGCGACGTCTCTGATACTTAGTTCGATTCTATCCACACGTTCTGATCAGCAATGAAGACTGTCTAGTTCTCATGCAATGTGCACTGAAACCCATTCATGTCTAAAATACCCAGTCGATACTGTTCTCCGTCCAGAAGTTATCGCATCGTCGTACGGATCTATGATACAGTGTTGCTTGACTCAAATTACAATGCTCTATAGGCAGACTGGCCAGATCGTTCAAGCGGCAGTTCTTTGCCATAGCTTCAGACACATCATCATGGTTGCTACCATTGAGGAGTGCTGCTTTATCGTCTGAGAGGCTGCACTTCACTCTCCCACATCAGCCTCGCGTACGCTCTTCAACTTATTCGCGAATCTTTCAAACACATGTATTCGTCGTTCCGCAGTTTCCGCCCGCTCTTTCCACATGCGTGACTCCCGTGCAGTCTCGCGGAGTTGTTCGCTCAATGTACCCACGTCTGAGTTCTCATGAGCTTCGATCTGGCGTCGGAGAGACAGCATCTCTTCAGTCTTCAGCTCCAGTTGACGCTGTAGGCTGCGAATCTGGATGTGCATGGATGTAGTCCGCCCGCGACGAGGCACAGGGGACAAAATACTCAGATCAGTTGAGTCCTGGTTCTCGTGCTGGCAGGCGGACGAATCTGGCCTCGTATAATTCAGGTGTTGTGCCACCGGAGGTTCTTCTCGGTGAGGCATCCACGTCCCCAAACTCGCAAAACCATGCTGCTGGCTCGGCTCAATAAGATGTCTGTGGTATTGAGAACCTGGGAGGTTTTGAGGCGACCTGCATCTCGGAGGAGGCTTCTTCTCAATGAAGTGGTCCTGTTTGTTTGCCTCTGCTCCCTTGATGGCCGTGGCGCGTGACGCCACGCTATCGCTGACAAGGAAGCGCCCTCCCGATGTTGTACTCCCCGGCTGTCGACTCAAAATCATACGTGGTAGTCTTGAGATCATCTTCGTATGGCTTTTGGATGGGGAAGAGTGTTTTGAAGGGCTGTCATTCTTCTCTGACATTGTTGCCGCTTTGGTCGAATGCGCTGACTTGATAGGGGGTCGATGCTTGCCAATAGCTCCGAGACTCTTCGGCCAATAATCCTGCTCGTGTTGAGAGGCGAAAACTTGCGGGTCGTTGTTTGCGCCTTCGAATTTCGCAGCTATTGCTCGAACCCCTGAATGTTTGCTTTCTGCATCAGAGGTTTTCGGTATGGAAGCCTCTTTGCCAATACTAAGCTCACTAGATGTGCCATCCATCCTCCCAGAAAATATGTTCCTGGAATCCATTGATTCAACTCCGCACACTTCTATTTGAACGGGATGGTCCAGGGCTAGGTCGCCGCGGGTCATCAAATAGGACCAAGGGTGGGGCGTCTGAGAGATATCGGGTACCATGTGTTGAGTTCTAGGTGCCTGGCCGTCAGCAGCTGTTCGGTATCCAGGCGTGACCTCTGATGTGTGTACTTGATTGTGCCCTGTCGAGTGGATTGCCGTCCTTATGGGGTTCCACAGGTGTCCAAGCGGACTAGAAGTTGAGGACCGAGGTACGGGCTTGAGAGTCTGCGAGTGTGAATATTGGGACATCTCGCTCTTGTATTTATTGGCTTGTAAAAGGTGCTCTGACCCCGTGGTAGGAAGCTCGAGACTTGTCTCTGCATCTTTAGGTGCATCTGAAGTCTGCCTGACATTGACAGGTAGCGGACCGAGTATCGATGTTTTAGGCAATGATGCCGCCTTATCAGCCTGACCAAGGTTGAGGGCTTTTGCAGGAAGTCCCCCTTGAGCCTCGAGATCATCGGGAGGAGCTTCGTAGCTTGCCGTCTTCGTGAGCTCGGAAGAACATGTCTCGCTCTGATCTGGCAGGTCGGATGAGACCGCTTGGGGATTCAGGAAATCTGTAATGTTGAGAGAGGAAGTTTGATCTGATGACTCCTTTGGGGCGTCCAGAGGGCCTTTGGTTGGTGTGTCATTAGGGGAGAGCTGCCTAGATGATGTACGAGGAGGCACGGCTTCCATGGGAATCCCAGGGCTACCGCAACCGCTCAACTGCTGGCGACAGCGTCCGGACTCGGACTGCTCGTTCTGCACGCGATTGAAAGGACTTTGATGTTCTTTGCGTGTCTGGTGAGTCGGGGTGGCAGGCAGAGACCTGGCTAACTGTGCGCTCTCGGTGCGTTGAGCAAGACTCGACGACGAGCTGGCCTCGCCATCGTCCACGTGTTCACCCTCTACCATGGTACTCAAAGCAGAGCCAAGAGGTTTGCCTGGGAGCCCCGTGGAACTCAAGCCCTTCTTTGACTGGGGCTTAGGCATGTGCATGTTGATACCGGCAAGCTTGGATAGTTCAGGACTTATGGCCCTGGAAACTTGGCCATCGGCGTCGCGTCTGTCAAAGATGCTATCATGCGGACGCTTAGTGGCCGATGGCCCTGAGATAAGAGGTCGGTCCGCATCGGCCTTGGACTCTGAAGTCGGCTTGGATTGGTGCACACCCATTGCTTTCATCTGTCTGACAATTTCCCGCCAATTTGAGATGAGCATCTCAGCGATATCGTTTGCAATGTGTATCTTGTCCACGACCGGTGTCTTCGGAGCTTCCTTGCGTGGTCCAGCAAATGGTTTGCGGCGGACCTTCTGTGCCTTCTGTAATTTCGTCGGCGATATTGGAAGAAGTAGTAGTCCCGATGCTGGAGTTGCGACATTCATCTTGTATTGCGACAGCAAGTCGCCAAGCAGCAAAGGCCCAAAGATAATTCCGAGTGCGTTATATCCCATCAAATCGCTCGTTGGCAACGGTCTCCCGTTATCATCTTCCGTCGGAGCTTCTTCTGCAGTTCTACCAACGAGACTCAGAAGCCCTAAAACTGCACAAATGAGCCCCCGTCGAAACTGCGACTCCACGGTTCCGATAGCAAGGGCTATCATTCGTGCTCGGACTTTTGTTTGCTTTGTACGCGGAGACTCTTGTTTACCGGCGAGTTGTGAGTGAGTGGCCACAAGAGCATCGAAAAGAGACAACGATCCCATTAGACCTCCTGGAAGCACAGCCAGAAGCCTTTTGAAAGTCGAGGCTACGTCGTGCACGGACGTAGCGAAATGGCTTGGAAGAGTAGGACATCGGACCGTGCCTGACACGCCTTCTGCTCCCTTCTCAGTCCTGCAATAGTATTCAAACAACGCATTCACGGCCTTGGTTGACCCTGGTATTCGAAACATACCCCCTGTAGCCGGATTCTGTGCCAGATGTTGCGCCGTAGCTCGGATGCATGTCGGAAGCACGAGTGAGCCGGGGGTATAGTCTTGAGGTAGATAGAGGACACTCTTCCCGCTAATCCGCACCATCGCCTGGAGATCGAGCTCTTGCGTAGACGGATAGGATCCCCCGACAAGACTCTGTGCAAACCCAGAAACGCTGCGCCGTCGTCGAAGCGCTTGATCGTTGATTATCGGTGCTAAAGGGGGTGTCGAGGCTGCGTGTGTCGACGTGGAACGGAGGAGACGAGATAGCCAGCTTCGCTTTTCACTACTCACAGACACACTTGTCTGCCCAAGGTGTCAACAAATCGCTTCAACCTTTCTTCAAAGGACTCACCTTGGACAATGTGTGCCGCCCAAAGTCACTAACCACCAACAACCGGACGTTGTGCTGCAAGAACGGTCAGTGTGGGATAACCTAGGCTCACAAACCAGCCTACCTTTTTAGCGAGCCGATTATATTCTTCGATAAACCAAGTTCGGTCATTGAGCTCGTCGGTGTCGCTCAGGAATCCCAGCTCCCCACTACTTGTCGTCCACGTGTGGCTGCTTGGCATCCGCGTGCCGTGGCGATGTCCTGGCAAGTTGTGAAATATCCAGCTGGCAGGGGAAACCAAAGCTGTTGCGCTTCTAGACGCAGCCAGCGGCCGGCGGTAAGAGTTGGTGCCATCGTTTGTAGGCTGCGAAGCCAACGTCGTCATGTTCGTCGTGTGCATGTGCGCGGACCACACTCTCGGGCGGGTATATATGCAGTTATGGATAGACAGTCGAGTATTGCTTCGATCTAATTCTGAAGATCAGATCGCGATTGATAGTACGACTCTGGGAGTGAGCTGGTGCAGATGTCTGTCCCGATGAGCGCAGAGTCTGCTATGAATCCGCGATTGCTACCACAAGTCAACACGGCTGCGACTCATCGCGGCCGACTACTGGCTTGTACCAGGTGTCTCAACAGTGCACTTACCTGCTTGAAAGCCAGCTGTAATTGGTCAGCTAATTCGACATGGAGCTGCCAGTCTTGTTTTCTTGTGATCATGACAAGAGTTGGAAGGTGAGGCGCTTCTGACATTGCACCTGCTGAACGTGTTTGTGTTGCGTGACGGGGCAACGAAAAGGAGAAAGAAACAACAGCCCGCAAACGTACAGGTGTAGTAAATATTTTGCACGTCACCCCATGCAGATTGCAAATCACTGCACAGGCAAGAGTGCATCATCGGTACGAGCCGAGGAAAAAGGCACAAGCGAGCTAAGCCACGTCGAACGGTGTGACACTGCATCTTCCAAGATTCATGTCGTATCATCGCGAAGTATACAAAAGATTCACTTTCATCTCGCATCCTGCGTGCTTGACGCGGCTCCGTCTTGCTACGTTGATGAAGCTCATGGGTAAGCCATGGGCTACTCTTTCAGATCTGCTGCTGAGCAAACCATACAAAATGTGCCAGGTGGCGATCTCCGACGCCCATTCAACAGCCATCGCCTTCATGTTGAAAGCTATCCCGGGTTACCACGGGCACTCGGGCCTTGGGGCCGGCTCCGGTGTCGTTGATGCCGAAACTTCTGGCATGCCTGTACCTCGAAAGGCCCAGCATCGACCCATTCCCATGTCTCCGTCTATGTGTCGTCGTCTCATGTCATCGTGAAAACCATAAAGGGCCTTTTACGCCTCCTCGGAAAGTAGCACCCACGTCAGAATATCCGACAGTGAAATGACACCCTTGAGCTTGTTGTCGTCATCCACAACAATGAGCCTGTGGACACGACTCTTGCGGATCGTGTCAAATATGGACTGCAGACGGTCGTGTTCCGAGCATGTGTATATCCCGGGGCTATCGTCGGGCCGTTTGCACAAGGCGTCGCCTATTGTGCCGTTCAACTCCTCGTACATACCGCCCTTGATGCACGGAATAATATCGACAGCCTCAAAGACGTTAAGGACCCGGCCTTTGTCATCGACTACTGGAACGCAGCTGATGTTGCGGGCGACCATTTGGTGAATAACATCCAGCACGCTGTTATCCATGCGTGTAGTTGCAATATTCTTGTAGGTGCCCATGTTGAGTTCGCGAACCGTTTTCTTGAAGAGAACGGTGTTGTGCTCGTTATTAACAGCGATGAACTTGAGAATTCGGTACTGGGTAATCACCGAAACCACCCATCCTTTCCCAGTCTCATCGTCGACGTCAATCAGAGGAATGCGGCGAGCTCGAGTGCTAAGCATCTGTTTGATGGCGTCGAAGAGTGGCATCAAGGGGTTCACGGATATGGTCTCAATGGGACTCGCGCCAATGGCCTTCTCAATATCTAAGCGTCGTCAGTCACTGGCGCTCTGGGCAATTGGTCTCGTGCTGGCATACCTGGTAGACTGCTCAAGCGGAACTGGTCCAGCTTGTACATTTCGTCGGGAAATTGATAGTAGTACTGAATCACGTTGATGTAATCGGTCGCGGTCAGCGTGCCCGCGAAACATGACTTTTGCGAGTCCCACAAAGGAGCAGACACAATTGCTGCACGCAGTCAGTAACCGTCAACCGTTGGAGGACATGAGCACATACAGTTCTGTATCATGATATTGAGACTCTTCTTAATGAGCAAGTCATGGTCGAGAACAATGAGTCGAAAGGAGAGTGGAAAGACGTCGTAGCCGCATCGAACTTTGAGGAACTCGCGGATATTTTGCTATCTCCAGTTAGTCGCGTGATCACGGCTTGACTTGCATAGAGGGATCACTCACCAGACCCTGAGTCTGCTCCCTGTCATGGATCGTTGGGGCAGGCGAAGGCTCCGGCGCAACGGCCGTAGCCATGGCGCTGCGATTGATGGCGAGGGGTCGCAGGTAGGACGACGGGGCGACAAAGTGAGGGACAGGTACTGAACGCTGTGGTGGCTGCGGCTGTTGCTGGTGTCCTCCCACTTGTTGAGGCTCAAAGGCAGCTGTCACAGGGACCGTCGCACTTTGATGGTCTGCCTCTCGATCGACTTCCGCCTTTGATTCAGTCGCTGTTACTCCTGGTTCTAGGCCGACGTGTCTAGTTGTCGCGGCTGGGGCGTCATCGATTGGCGGATTTCCGGAGGGGGGTTGCGATTGGGCTGGTATGAACGGATCTTGTGTGACCTGAGAAGCGTCGGCCTGAAGAGGTGCGTCGTCGCCCGGTTTCGCAGCTACAGGAACAGCGTCGGCTGAGAGATGCTCTGTAGCAAGAAGTCGAGGATCGTTGTGGGCGGGGGAGTCGACGCCGACGGCACCATCGTCTTCGCGCTGGTCGCCGCTAGTCGCGGGGCCATCTCCAAAACCTTCCTCCATTCCTCTTTTTCGTCCCTGTGACGTCGCCAAACCTCGCGGCTGGCTGGGGCGATGCCGTCAACTTGTGCGCCGAGCGATGTTTGTCAGGTGGTGGGGTTGATGGTATTGGTGAGTGAATATAATATCCAAGCGCGTTGACTAAGAACGGTTTCCGACACATTCAAGTGCCATTAGGCAGCATGCAGGGCGATCAGCGGGCAGGTGGGACGGACGCGAACCGGTTGGTGACACTGAATCCGATAACCAGCTGATAAGGCCAGGCAAGGTCAACAGGAGACCAGAGATCCGTGTTGCCGATGCCGCCGACAGTACGGAGTACAAATTATTATTGGACTAACAACCTGATTAATCAGTGAACTTGCCATTGCTAGTCGAGTCGAGGGCGATTGATCAGTCCAGTTATCTGCCAAGCTGGTGGCCTCGCGCCCAGCCGGGTCCTCAACCTTTTCGGGCGGTCAATTCGTCATCAAAGCTTTCATACCTATACGTCCTGTTGGCATCGTCATTCGGGCCCTCACATAGGCGGTGCATTACCTGTAGTACTTGTATTGATACAGAGGTACCTTACATATCGATAATGCTCATTCCGTCTCTTCAGGTCTGACTAGAGTGCGAGACCAATCAAGAAGCTTGCAGACAGCTCCTGTCCCACTAATAGCCGAATGGACACTAGCGTGAGTAGTGGATCCCTCAGGCCAGCGTCGAAGCTCTAGGTACGGCAAGAGCCCCAGTACCTTAGGTTCATGCACTCACATGAGGTCCCGCCGGAATGCACCTGCTCGCTTTGCTTGGGTCCGACTCCATCATCATCGGCCTCTAGTTGGGCTTCATTCCTCATTCTCCCGCCATCCCACGTCTACCGCCTTTTCCTGACCGCAACTGTCACGCAGTGCCAATTCTGCCTATCGAGAGCATCGAGTCCTTCCGTGACTGGATAGCGACATCGAAGGCCTGTCCTCGTCCTATCTGCGGCGCCCGTTGATCGCCCGACCGAGTCAATCGATTGCAACCAAAACAAACACTACGCGCGCATCACGCCTACCGCACATCACCGACTACTACCACGGAGCGATCGCACCGAGAAGCTGGGGACGTGGGCTTCACACATCTGCCATGGGTTTATGGAGCTCATGCTGCTGCGGAGGTTTGTTGTCGCCCTAGCCTTGCTCTCTCCCCACTGCACCCGTTTCTAACACCATTGTGCCGAACCAGGTCGGAACCGCGATGGCCTCTACGAGCCCGTTCTGGCTGACAGCGAACGGGAAGCTGTAGCTGACCTGCTGCAATACCTCGAAAATGTTGGTCATCGCCACACCGCCAACCCGAGTATGACTGACGTTATGGCAGCGCGGCGAAACTGACTTCTTTTCTGGCGAACCGCTCCGAGCTCTCAGCACCCTTGTCTTCTCAGAGAACATAGACCTTCAGCGCAGCGCGAGTTTGACCTTTGCCGAAATCACTGAGAGAGGTATGGCTTGACTGTATCCCGGGACTATACGGCCGCTAATACCGTTCAGATGTTCGAGAGGTAGACCGTGATACGTTGGAACCGATCCTCTTCCTATTGCAGAGCGCAGACATTGAAGTGCAAAGAGCAGCAAGCGCTGCTTTGGGAAACTTGGCTGTCAATAGTGAGTTGTTCATTATACACGTCCCCCGTTGGCGATGCATGCTGACTCAACTAGACGAGAACAAGGTGTTGATTGTTCAGCTTGGCGGCTTGACGCCTTTGATCCGCCAGATGCTCTCGCCCAACGTCGAAGTGCAGTGCAATGCAGTTGGATGCATCACCAACCTCGCCACGCATGAGGAGAACAAGGCGAAGATTGCTCGGTCCGGCGCTCTTGGACCGTTGACCCGCCTAGCCAAGTCGAGGGATATGCGAGTGCAGCGCAACGCAACTGGAGCGCTGCTGAACATGACACACTCTGGTATGATGGACTCAGATCCTGTCCAGATCATTTCGCTAATCACCCTGACAGACGAGAATCGCCAGCAGCTCGTGAACGCTGGTGCCATCCCTGTCCTCGTCCAGCTCCTTTCCTCGCCCGATGTCGATGTTCAATACTATTGCACCACAGCTCTCAGCAACATTGCCGTCGACGCAAATAATCGCCGCAAACTAGCGAGCTCCGAGACGAAGCTAGTTCAGTCCCTGGTGAACTTGATGGACTCGTCGTCACCCAAAGTTCAGTGCCAAGCTGCGCTGGCTCTCCGAAATTTGGCGTCGGATGAGAAGTATCAGCTCGATATCGTTCGCGCAAACGGCCTAGGCCCTCTCTTGCGTCTCCTCCAGTCGTCATACTTGCCGTTGATACTGTCCGCCGTTGCCTGCATACGCAACATCTCGATACATCCAATGAACGAGTCTCCCATCATCGAGGCAAATTTCTTGAAGCCCCTGGTGGATTTGCTCGGGTCTACGGACAATGAGGAGATCCAATGCCATGCCATCTCGACCCTTAGGAACTTGGCGGCAAGCTCAGACCGCAACAAGGCTTTAGTTCTTGATGCTGGCGCTGTTCAGAAGTGCAAGCAGTTGGTGCTGGATGTGCCAGTGACCGTCCAGTCCGAGATGACGGCGGCGATTGCAGTGCTGGCCCTGAGCGACGACCTCAAATCGCATTTGCTCAATCTTGGCGTGTGCGATGTGCTTATTCCGTTGACGCACTCGGACAGCATCGAGGTGCAAGGCAACAGCGCCGCTGCATTGGGCAACCTGTCCTCGAAAGGTAAGCTTCGCTCGGTTATGTTGGCATTGTCACAAGATTCTAATCATTTTGCAGTTGGCGACTATTCAATATTCGTGCAAAATTGGGACCAGCCACAGGAGGGCATCCACGGCTATCTTGGACGATTTCTGCAGTCAGGTGATGCGACCTTCCAACACATTGCAGCCTGGACACTCCTGCAGCTCTTTGAGTCGGAGGATAAGACTCTAATCAGTCTCATCGGCAAAGCCGAAGATGTTATTGAACATATCCGCAGCATCGCAAACCGCCATGTCGAGACTGGGCCCGAGGCTGAAGAGGAGGATGAGGGTGAAGTTGCCAGCTTGGCGCAGCGCTGCCTTGAGCTATTGGGGCAGACTGGCAACAAGACACACATTGAGGGCTGATCTGCTGCCGCCAGATGGTGGCATTTTTTAAGCTGACTTTTATTGATCCTAATCATGTCAGCCCTAGCTCACTCGGATCTGGGCTGGCTCGATCGCTTGGCGCGGACATGGCCAATCGCAGTGGTACGGCGTTTTCTTTTTTAACCTGGAGTTTCGATGATGCAGCACGGGGGCGATGGTGAGTGCGACGGCGCCTTATCGTGTGTAATTGCGCTGCTCCAAGGGAGCGGAGCGGTGCGGCTTTGTTTCATTTTGGTCTGAGAGCATGGTTTTCATGGTATTGATCTTTCTTTCGTACAAAGCATAAGCCACTTGCGCATATTATATATTACTCAACTTTAGTTGCTTGTTCCTAGATCGCGTTGCATCGGGAACCTCTCCGAACGAAGCAGAAGTACGTCCATTGCCGAAGGGGATCGCGTGCGTGTTACCGATCATTGTATCATCACCAAGCGCTCCTACGAACCCAGTTGGGATGTTTCCGCTGACTGCAGTGGATTGTGCAGCCACCCACTTTGTCCGTATGGCAGAACTCGCGCGACGACCTTGCCTTTGATGAGCGCGAGCGGCAAGGGTCCAAATATCCTCGAGTCTCTCGAGGCAGTCAAATTATCACCTAGCACCCAGCAATGCCCCTCTGGAACCTGGTCATGTGTCAGCGTCTGGTGTGATGAGGCGTTTTATGTGTTGCACACTAGGCATCGACTGACCTGGATCATCTGGTCCTCCCCCCTCTCCCCTGGTGTCCCCATGCAGACGTAGTCTCCCGGTAGGCCGACCAGTCTCTTGATGCCGTCTGCATTCTCCAAGATGGGGATGCGATACTGCACCAGGTCACCGATCCGGAGCTCCTTTCTGCGATTGCGCGCATGGGTCATGTCGGTGGCCACCCAGTCGCCATCCACGGCGAAGGTGGGACACATGGAGGGTCCGCTGGTCGCGCCGACGGCGAAGACGTGTGTCTGGAAGAGATGAACGGCGCACATGAGTTTGAAGGTCTGCAGGGTCAAGTGGAAAGGTCTTGCGCGGAAGTGAGTGAAGACCATGTTGGGCGGCGTGATGTGGGAGGAAGGAAAGAGATGGCGGTTTGAAGGGGATCAAGGAGGGCGCATTGTACGAATTGTGTGGGGATCGGGGATGGTGAAGAGCCGGAAGCCCTTGTGAATGCGTGAGGCTGTTGGCGATGAGAGATTATGAGGGCGACGAGGTGATGGATGGAGGTTTGTTTGGTTTGGACGGGAGATGAAGTTGCTGGGGATATACGCTAGCCGGATTGGGACACTAGCGTGGACGACTTTCAACGTGATGCGACTTGGAGTGCTCGATATTGGGCTTTAGAATTGTGAATGGAAATTGATGATAGTCGTATCAATGAAACATATTTAGTAAATCTGAGCTTGAAAGAGTGACTTCAGGATATAGGGAAAGGGTGTCGTTGTGAATGACACGGAGCACTTCGGACGGCATCGGTAGGTACCGTGAACTGTTCACGAACCAATGTCAAGCTATTTTCTCGAAGCTATTCGTGAATCAAAGTAGAATAATAATTCATAGCTTTTGTCTTTGAGAGATACTTGGGTGAGGGATATGTTTGTTGTGAGAGACGGACGAAGCAATGTCTATCGGTCTAAGTCGGGAGGCGGTAGTGATGCGGACAAGGCATTTGAATTAATCTTCCAGGGCTGAGTCTCAAGAGGACCAAGATTCCGCAAAAAGAGTCCGAGCGACAAATTTTCACTTGGTCGTAGACGGTCGGGTAGTCATGTGCCCTTTCTACATGTAGCAAGCCCACGCCAGCTTGGCGAAGGGGCCAAGGAAAAGCCTTCAGCTTCTACAACATGCACTATCCATCCAGCCCTTCTGTGCACTTGCATCGGAGAATACACGATCCGAGACTAGGCATCCAGATTCTACAAGCGATGCTGTCATGGTCACAGAGCGCCATCAAGGCCGGATGAGACCGGACTATTCATCGGCGTTAGGGGCTCCTCTCGATACAATGATCGAAATCCACCTTGAAAGATCCAATAGCAGCTACGTAGTACTCATTGGCAAGGCGTTTTTCTTGAACTGTGCAGTGGTATCTATCTAGGCCTTGGCGATCCGGGCAACAGAAGCAGTTGTGCGCCAGAGGATCGCGCTGAGGCGCGAAGTTCTCGCCTGACTCGTACAGGCTAGATCGAGCACGTCAACTATAACCCTCACTACAATAGTATCAGTGTTGCAGGGTTCACGCGCAACACTGGCTCAGATCCCATGGGACTTTGTCGTCGACATAGCGTCAGTGTGTTCATGCCGCTACAACGACACCACAGCAGGGTCAAGGACCTCTTTCACCGGGTATGGTACCCTCTTGGACAGAAGAAGGAGACTTGTGTCCCTTGATTTGCTGAGGAAGTATGCGGTTCATTGGAGACATAGTCGTGGCGGTACGGGACGCTTGTGGACGGGAATCGTCCGAGGCAGGGGAAGTGACGTGTGTTCCATGTATTGATTGTAACATGCCCGCCACATAGCGGCAGTGATAGGAAACTTTGCCCCTTTACCTAGTTGCCCTGGTTGTCTTTATCGCCGGGATAGCGGCCGATGTCTGGAATCTCTGGACTCCTCGCCTGGGGAGGTGGAACTAGGAGACGAGGAGTAAGGGTGGAGATTCCCCAGCACAAGGCTCGGAAGATGTATCCTTGCTTGAATCTATTAGTGTTTGCGCTACATTCATCTTTATCCTACTCACCACGGTGTGTAATCCGAGTGTTCATGTTGCAGCCTCGCAGATGCCAGTGGAATGGGATGTGGGGTTCCTTTCGCCTCCGCGCGTCAAGGCCAGCGCCAGCCCCTCCCGGCTCCGTGAGCCTCCGTCCACAATTCGACCCAGCTCTTCTTTCTCTTGCTCTCGGAGAAAAAAAGTAATCACCGACGACTCCCGAGGGCTGCATGAAGGCTGCAGATCTTGGGAACTTGTGCGCTTGTCCGCTGCAGGCGCCGGCAGTCAAGACGTCAGGAGCTGATGTGGCCCCGGGTCTACCTACAGTACCTTAGTTGTTCGCCAAGCACCCGAGGCGGTTTTGATCGATCGACGTCTGGAGGCTGGTATCTGACACACGACAGGAATGATTTTAACCTTATTTTTTGGCCGTGTCTCGAACCGCGCCGCCGGCAAAGAGCACAGCACAGCCGAGGTGTGATGGCCACAGGGATTGATCCTGAAGGGGGTGGTACTGATGACCCTATACGTCGCAAAGGTCGATGTCTCTCGAAACGACTTACTATTTGTTCTTGGTATCGTTTAGTTGGTACGCACACTGTTTCGGTCACAAGCAAATGACCATGCCCATTGTTGCACAACCAAGGCAGTGCAGTGAGGTGAGACGGGGCGTGTCATATGCCGATGCAAGGGTGAACGTTAGTGTCCAGAAGTGGTCGCTACAGACAGCACGATGCCATGCTTCGGAAATACATTGGCCGCCGAGGGCCTGATTGATTCACTGATAATAAGCTTATTTCGACAGTCGGGAGGTACGTAGTACACGTACGCAGCTATGCGCTCCAGTTTGGCGTGCGGTGGGTGACCGCGCCTAGAGGTTAGCTGGATGCAGTCACGACGATCATCCCCCCCCCTCCATCTCAGGGGTTCGATGAGGATGCACTGAGATGTCGGAATGTCCTTTGTGGTCATCCTGGATGTTTCTGGGCTTGGCTTGAAACTACCGACTTTTCCAGCGCCCGGTGCAAAGAGCCGCGGACTATCATGCAGCTGTCCGATTCAGGGCTCATGCTTGCGACTCGACTCAGACAGATCTATACTTGTACACACTGTCTACAGTAGTGCCATTGTGAGGCATTGCTGGAGCCTTTCAAGTGCCGGCGCCGGTGGGGTGCGGCCCCACGAAACGATTTGGCTGGTGAAGTGTCTCGTGGGGTATCTCGTGCTATTGATAGCGAAGTAAAGTCTGGTATGTGCGTGGATCTGATAGATAAGGGAGGAGAAGAGGATTACGAAACCTCCATTACTCAGGCGCCACTGGCTCGTGCGTCAGCGTGGAGTCAGAGAGGGCTGGCTGAGCAGCGATGTCACCGTAGATCAAATGGAGTGAAGCACGAATAGGTGCATCTCATCTCCAGACCAATGTTGACGCGGTGGAGTGTGTTATTATTCGTCAGAGGCGTGAGGCCTTACGATCGACCAATTGCGCAGACTCGCAGATTTGGACAAGCAACTCCACGCTGGACGCGCGTAATGTCCCAAGTTCATGTCCAGTCACTGACAGATCTGAAGTATCCGTACATCGATAATCAGTTTCCATGTTGCCAGCGGCCAGACGCAGCACCCCCTGTGGCTGGGCGGAACCCCTGCCGCGCTAGATAGGAATAGGCAAGGGCCTCATGTCATTTGTGGCAGGCTTGGCTGCCTGGACTGGACATCTGCGAAAAGCTTCACCTCATGGCTGAGTATTGTGCACCGTACCAGCTCCATCCGTCAACGACCACCACCGCATATCCATATACAAGATGCAATGAAATTCAACCCCCGCCAGGCCAAAGCTATGGCGAGGACACTGATCAGTATATCTGGCTGGCGTGGCACGTGAGCTCCCGTGGGAAAGACAAACTGCACAGCCTCGTCGCAGTGGGCCATGGGGAACGGTGAGATAGGTTAAGGTAAGTTAGGTGTCACCACCTTGGCGGCGCTGGAACGGCGTATCTTGGCGCTCATGCTTTGCTTCAGTCGATCGTCTCATCGGGACACTGCACTTGCTGACGTTGCATTCCGCGACAATGGGCGATAAGGCTACCGTGTTTGGTGGTTTGCTCTTTGAAGTTTGAGTTCAAAAATAGGTTGCATTGGTTGGAGAGAGGCCACGCGCTAGGGGACTGGAGCGTCGGGGGAAGAAGTAGAGGCCGGGGGCGTCGTAATCAGTCATCGTCACGGTATTAGCAGCAGTATGAACTTGATAATCATAATCATCGCAGTGGTCGATTTGCAGTATAATGATTAATACAAGCTCGGAGCCGCACCTCGATGTCCGATGTCGACTATCAAGCGCTGACGACAGCCGATGCAGCCACACTGCGCAAGATCCGATCTATGCACACACACCTACCTGCCGTACATGTAGATTGACGTGGCGCAGTATCTGTAGATCAGTCTGATAGATCTGGGAATCAGCGTCGCGAACATCCTCCCTGAAAACAGGCTACCGCACGCGCTTGTCAATATCTCCCTCTCATGATATCGTGCAGTCAAGCTCGTACGTAGATATGTCGATGGAGAACAAACGTGTAGAGTCATGACTAGCTTCAAGAGTAAGACACGGACCACTGCCGCAATCTTGATAAGATGCAACTCGGCAGCCAAGCCAGTGGCTGCTGCCACTGGCGTATCCGGGCGGTTGGACCCCTGTTCCGCTGGGCACTTCACCTACAGGCTACAGGCTACAGGGTGGTCTAGGTAGCCTAGGCTCTAGCCTGCCTGTGCCAATGATAATTCAAGCTACCACGCACATCCATTCGCCATAGTCCAATGCCATAAGCTACTCAATTACAGCGGATGCAGGCAGCCCAGACAACCCATGAGCAACCAGCAGTTTCGACATTTTGGTCCAGTCCCTGACGGCGGTCCATGCCCAACCCTGCCCTGCCCTGGACCTGGTTAGTGTTACCCAGTGGCTACCCGACCGGCTGTCTGAAACTGGATCCCCCAGCGCGAACGTGGGTTGCTGGTCTCGTGACATTCGCTGCTGACCTTTTTCCCATTGCGTCTCACCGTTGACGCCCACCACACCAACCAGGGACATGTTGCCCAAGCCCAGGAATGCCGGTACTCGACCCCTTGTTCCCTATATTAAGCTTGATACGCCATGTGGGTCTGAAACGAGACATGAGAATGCTTTGTCGTCGCGGGCCAATTTCACGACACCGGAAAGAGATGAGCTCTCTGCCCTCTTGCTGCCCAAACAATCTCCTCGTGTCATGGTCCGTGGCGCGCACAGGGCAGTGAGTTTGATAATTACTGCTTTTTCTCCTGATCTCCTCGAAGCCACGAAACCCAAGACACACAAGAAAGGAAACCTGAGACATGCGAGCTTCTTTTTTTATCTTCCACCTCCTGCGTGTTTGTATCCTGTGGTACCAAGACAACACGGGAGAAGGCGGCAAGCTCACGCATCCGCGTGATAGCCTCATGTCCATAGCAAGCCACAAACACCGACACAACGTCCATTGTCGACTTGTTGTTGACTGACTCTTGCGTCGTTCCCCCGAGCTGGATTAGCATAGCCACTTCAAGCTCAAGCATTCTCCAGGCTCGGCTCTCCGCGCCCCCGCGACCGTCCCGCAACAGCGTCCCGCCCAAGAGACTTGGCTCGTTCCCACTTTCCACCCGCCCTGCGATAGTCGCCTTGCAATGTGGAGTGGCGACCTTGTTGGTGTTGTATGTCTGCTCGACTAGTATCTCACTGAGGATACCCGCGATGGTGGAGAGGAGAGAGCCTGCAGATACTGCCCACGATCGGCGCCATCGTACGGACCTGTCTCAGCCCGCACACTCGTCGCTCCGCTGCTTGCGTGTCGATGGCGTACCTGTTGTGTGTCTCTGCCCTTTGACTCCTTCTCTCTGCTTGGACAGCGATGATGCGCTCTACGGCTGGCTACTGGCCCAGGAGCCACGTCCAGCCGCGATCTTGGCCCTGTGGACCGCGTAGCAGTCGTGCTCGCTGATGATGCACACACGTGCTTCTCTGTCGTAATTATGTTGGGCAGCAGGAAAGCTGTGATTGCCGTCCGGCACCAGTCACTTCAATTCCACGAGTGCGCTGCCGAGCAGGCTCACCCCCCGTCCCTAGACTCCCTACCCACACACCCTCCCCTGTCGTGGCTTCTCTTGACCCCTGCTGTCTACTGACAACGACGGGCGGCGAGCAAGGAGACGACGACGCTCGGGCAGATGCCGTGTCCCATAGCACAGAGAGATACTGATGGTCAAGTATATTAACATGTACCTTTCCCGCCGTCACGCTTCCATCTTTGACTTTGGACATGCTTGATGTGGCTTGACAAGAAATAGTACCACCGAAACCAAGGACCCTTCAACCTTCCATCCCGGCTACCTACCCTTCTGCATATCGAAGCACAATATTCTGTCATTCCACTGCACATCTAGTATATTCTCACGATATCTCACCTTGCTGGAACCCCCTCAGCCCACCCAGCCCTGTCTACTCCAACACCCTGGGCAACGAGCTTCGACAAACTTCCACTACAACCTCTTCTGGCCTGTACAGGGGAAAAAACATGTCACAATTTGTGAAGGATGAAGAGCTCTGTCAGCAGTACGCCCAGTTCGCATCGCACATGGTGGGGTGGCAGTTCAAAATCATCTACTGGACCATGTTCATGTCGAACCTATTCGTTCTCTTCTTAGCCTCATGGACTTTCACAAAGTATGTCACCCCCTCCATGAGCAATGTCATCTTTGCACATGTGACTAACGAGCACGAACAGGGGCCAGGAAGCAGCCGAGCGACTCAGTGACGATCTCAAGAAAAGGGCCAAGCGATTACGGTTCTATATATTCCTCTGTTTGGGTTGCGTTGCCGTTTCGGCTGTCATTGTCGTCATGGAGGCCTATGCACTGCTTGCACTGCAATTCTGCGATGGGGAGGACTTGATGTCCTTGTACTGGTCTACGTGGACAATGATCCAAGTGGGATCGTTGATCGCCATGGTGGGAATCATCCTCGCCATGTGCCACTCGTTGAAGCAAAGCCGGCATCCGTGAGTGTTCCTTCTATCGCTTGACCAGCAATCCGCTCTACAGTTGGCTAACTTCTTCTCAGCCCGTGGGCTCTTGCCCTTGGGACACCTGTCCTGGTCATCGCTGGCTTTCTGCATCTCTTCCACGCGTGCGGGAGAAAGGGCGTCAAGAAGATGAAGGCTTCCTTCGCAGCACGCGGCGACGACGACGGCAACCCCATGGGGGCCCCCATGAGTCAAGCGTAAGTTCGCTTCACACAAGGTATCCTCCCCCGTTGGGACTGACACGTTTCACAGCAACACGATTCAGGCACCAGAGGGCACAGAGGACGAAACGATCGAGGGCGAGTTTATCGGCTTCACCATTGACGGCGGTCCCATTGTCCGCTTCACCAACCGCTTCATCAACTGCCAATTCCCCAGCAACATGGAGCTCCTTGGCCATTGCAACGATGACCGACCCATCGTCGCGTACCGGAAGGACTCCATCCGGTTCATCTCTGATTCCAACAAGAAGGCCGTCTGCCCCGACAGACGCAACGACGAGCAGGAGGAGAAAGTGCACGAGAGCGTCTGAGGAGAGGGACATCCCGTCCATGGGGGGGTTGCAGCGTTCATATACATTCGGCGTTTGGGTCTTGGTATACCACGGGTTTCGAGGATTTCTTTTTACAGCATCAGATGCATGGATGGGACTGGTCATTTTGAACTTTTTGTCGCGCGGGAGGCTTGGCTTGGCTACGGAAAAGGCAGAGGCTGGCTGTGTGCGAGAATGCCCACTCGATACTCGGGGCCACGCGCGGCTCGCCGCCCTGGGTTCATGTTTGGTACACGTTTGTTTGATCTATATGCGCTTTCTATCAATATTGGTCACGAGAAGAACGTGGCCTCATCCAGTGAATTCCTCCTCTCTATGTCTATCATGCCTGTCTACCATGGTCATGTCATTCAGCGGTATCTCCGTGTCGACCCTCTTGTATCCCCTCGATCTACGCCTGAAGCGCTTCACGCCGAGTCGGACACATAGAGCCATGACGAGGACGCCAACCACCACCACCGTCGCGGACATCCATATCCTCCAGCCGCGCACGCAGCACGGGTACCAGGACATGAAAATGCCCACGGCCCACTGCACCCACGGCTTCTTGTGCCGCCTGTCGGGGAAGAGACCCTTGCGCACGAGCTGCTTCACGATCGGACCCTGCGGCCCCGTGACGAAGCGCTTCAGGCCAAAGTGCGGTACCGTCTTTTGGCGCGGGTCCGAGTCGGGGTACTGGATGTCCCCCCATCGGCCCTTGAAGTAGAAGAATGAGGTCTGATTGGTCTCTACAGCATCGTCGGCGTCTGCGAGGGCGAGACGGGTGAGATCAAAGGTGTCCGGGTCGAGATGGTAGAAGTTGGCCGAGAGCATCGGATCCCAGAGCTGTCCTGCGTCGCAGTAGTCTATCAAGGCGCTGTCGTGTATATGCTCGCTGTACGGAGATTAGCGGTCTGGAGTGAGGGTGACTGAGAAAGCAGCAGACGGCCTACCCGGGAGACTCATAGTTTGCGTGCGATCCATATGCGCTGAATACGAGGGGCTGGGGTCATCGCTTGTCAGTCACTGTCGTCTTGTTGTCCCGCCAAGTGGCCGGCTTGGACCAAGTATTTCTGCTTACCCGATCATCCTGTATCATCAAGCTATTGTCGCTCCAGTCAAATGCGGACCCGTCCACGTGCTGGCTGTAGTAGATCCCTGTGGGTTTCCCGTCACGGAAACGGACCATGTTGTGTTCCCAGTCGCCCACATGGTCACCAAAGTGCATACCGCCTCCGTCTTCCTCGATCAGCCGGTTCAGCGGCTCCATGACCTGCGTGATATTCGGGCCCCGGTCATATGAGTAGAAGTAAAAGTAAAAGGCGTCAAGATCACGGGCGCTCTTCTCGACGAGAATCACAATGCAGGCTGTCGCGTTGGCGATCCTTCCCGAGGGATCCGGTGTCTGGCCCAGCATCCACGAGGGCCAGGTCGTCACATCATCGTTTGAGGTCAGCGCGACGTGGGAGGTGCCGTTGCGCACATCGTTGAGCAATTCGAGGTTGTCCAGGTCGAGGGGGGGCAGATCCGGGATGCTGTCTCCGTCAATTCTGGGTGTCGTGTGCTGAATGTGCTGGAGCAGGTCGGAGGGTCTGAACGGATCTTCCGAGTGCAGCCAGATTAAAGGTGCTGTGGGTTGGGAAGAACACCATTAGCTCATGCCCAGCGAAGAATTGAGATTGACCCGTCCGTTGATTCTCATACCATTGCGCGTCACGTAGTCTGGCACGATGCGATCTGCTGACAAGCTAGACGGGTCCTCGTCTACATCGATACCACCAGGATGGCCGAAGACGAGTCGCACCGATAAGATGAATAGCACTGACGCGATCAGACCCATGTCTGCCTACACGCACACGGTCGACTTTGGGCTGTGCAAGCTGCGAGCATGCGCGCATTTGCAGCGGTCGTGGAGGTTGGAGAGGAAATGCTGCCCTTGACGTCAGACGCCAGCAGCAGAGCGCGTTCCATGCGATTGTTCTTATCGATACAAATACGATTTGAGGTTTATTCAGCATGGCATGATGAGACACGCCAGACTGTCCGGACTTTCGGTCGCTACCAAGCCCCGGATAACGTGGGAGAGGCCCGTATGGTCCATGCGTGTTTGACCGATTCAGCAAAGTGAGGATTAACTCGTCATGCGTCGGAGAAATACGACATCCACTTCAAAAGACGCCGCGCATTTTTGGTAATTGTGAGATGCTATCCGTACGGCTATGCAGTTTGAGTCCAAAGAAACTCTGCGCGGGAAACCATTGCAGTGGGTTTTGAGAGGCATTGACGCCAACATCCTACAGGGAAAACCAAGTACCAATGCTCTGGCACTTTCTTATATCAATTCTTCACTGTTATCCTGCCCAGCTGGCTATCGCGACACTCGAATACTGCCAGCTCGACTTGACCAAGCCCGTTCATTGGGCTCTGTACAGGGTAGGGAGAACATGGCGCTCACGGTTCACCCCACGGTCCCCACCAAGCAATGCCCCTCCGCCGTCATCGGCAACATTTTCTCGGTTCGCGACGGTTGCTTGCTTGATAAGCAAAACAGACTCATAAGAACCATCCTGGGGCCTTCTTAGATTCGCGATCAGAGAACTGTGCCCTTATTCCGTCGTACAAACCCCGAACCCGGCCATCAGCATCATTCAGATATTGCGCCACCATGGGCCTCGAGAAGGTCAAGCATATTGTGCTGGTACGTGAGAGGAACCTGCATGCCGACCTAGCTTATTAAATCTTCGGACAGGTGCTCTCCGGGAAAGGAGGCGTCGGAAAATCATCCGTCACAACCCAGCTCGCGCTGTCGCTCTCTCTCGCCGGCCACTCTGTTGGCATCCTCGACGTCGATCTCACCGGCCCCTCCATCCCACGCATGCTCTCGATCGAAACGTCAAAAGTCACACAAGTACCTGGCGGCTGGGCGCCCGTGCTCGTACACGATGCGATATCGGAGGAGAATATTGGCAGTCTGCACGCGATGAGTCTGGGGTTCCTGCTCCCAAACAGAGGCGATGCCGTCGTGTGGCGTGGGCCAAAGAAAACAGCCATGATTCGACAGTTTCTCAAAGATGCATTCTGGGGACCGACCGACTTCCTACTCATCGACACACCGCCGGGGACAAGCGACGAACACATCTCGCTTGTGGAAACGCTGCAGCGTGACGCCCTGCCGGGCCAGGTCGCAGGTGCCGTTGTCGTGACGACGCCTCAGGCGGTGGCTACAGCGGACGTGCGAAAGGAGCTCAACTTTTGCGCGAAAACCAATCTCTCGGTCCTCGGTGTGGTGGAGAACATGAGCGGTTTCGTATGCCCACACTGCTCAGAGTGCACCGACATCTTTGGGTCAGGGGGCGGCAAAGTCATGGCGGACGAGTTCAAGGTGCCGTTCCTGGGATCGGTGCCGATGGATGCGCAGTTTATCGCGCTGATCGAAGAGGGGAGGCGACCGAGATACCCAGTAGGGACAGAGGTTGCTGGCCATGATATATCAAGCAAGGCGGCGGAAGCTCCAGACGCGGAGGACAAGGGGTCGCTCGTGGACAAGTACAAGGACTGTTCTTTGTCACATGTCTTCAAAGGACTCACAGGGGGTCTTGTAGAAAAGATCACCGCGTCTGGTGGGAGGTGAAATAAATTACACTTTGATACCCGCGAGGAACTTAGGCTCAGGCGTGAGCAGAATCGGGCAGAGCCGCCACGCTGATCACCAATTCTAACTTCAAACCCATGCTACGATTGACGGACTTTTTGGAAATACTAATTGATTGAAAATAGGCAATACTCTTATACTGCAGGCTCACCAGAAAATTCTGCGACTCGCTCAGGTCAACGCAAATTTCCTGGGAGTTCACAGTTTCACCGAGCGCATGAAGAGCCCAGCTTGATATGACGTACCGTTGTTCGGAATTGCAGGGAATGACGGGCTTCACAGCTATCGGGCATCAACCCTACTGCGAATCTGATCCACGTCAACGCTTGGTGTAATTGGAACACCCAGCTCATTGATGAGAGCATACTTCATCAGGCCTTCAGCATCGGCAAAAAGTCCAGTGAATATGCCATTTTGATATCATGGCGGGATGCTGAACTTTTGTACCTGCTATTGCCCCTCCATCGGGGAAAGAAACGGGCGGGTGGGGCTCCTTCCGCACCTAGCCCGCCCGTGCCTGGACACAGAATTGACAGGCACTGCAGCTGCAGGTGCGAAATTCTGCCCAACCCGCAACCCGACTGCACTTGTGTCGAAATCGGTCAAATCCTGGACCTGGACCACCACCATTATTTTGAACCCAGCACACACGGTTGGTAGCTGTGAAAATCTCTCACCGACTCTCGCCAAGCTGCCTCTTCAGCTATTTCAATTAACACCACGATCTATTTGTCCTTCTCCTCGACACAGCGACGGCGCGCTTCGCTTCACGTTGACCCCGCGTGCGCAAAAAGTTTCTCTCCAGGCTACGTCAGTCGTCACACGATCTGCTCCCCCGAGCAAAACAGACTAAACTTTTTTTTGGTTAGGCTTTGGAGCTCTCGATGAAGGCATAAGAGAGTAGACCCTTGTCTCTGCTCTACATTTGACATCTGCCCACCACGGCCGGCCACTGGTTGTACTAGAATTCATCCTCTGGCCTTCTATGCGTTCGACTGATCTCCTACGCTTCCTCTTCTCGCGCCCTTCCAAGTATGTACCCAAGGAAGACGGCTACTCGCGCAACAGCTAACAGAACTAGGCCCCGATAACACGCCTTTCTCGTCTGAACAAGCAACAACACAACGCACCGCCTGCCCGTCTACCGATCCTAGGTCTTCTTCTACCAGATCCGATACTCCACCACAGGTATCGGACGACTACCTCCGTACCACCATTCCGTCGCAAGAACGGTTTCTTCACAACCTCCGCCTCCGGCCCCCTTAACGTCTATCTCTAGGCGTTTGAAAGACTTCTAAGCAGCTCATTGCTGCTGGCTTCCGCCAGCTCCTCGAGAACAACCACTTCCTGTGGGCCTACTCTCTCAGACAGACACCGCCAGGTCTGTTTGAGCGGCAGCTAGTGCTCCGCGGACTCTGCCATACGGGCAAAGATAGTCAGGCATCTTCCACCACAATCCTCATCCGCCTCGATTTCCAGGTGCTCCTGGCACTCGGTCAACCACGATGCCCAGCCAATCGGTTCCCAACAACTACACCTTCTCTCCTTCCGATGCGACACCTCATCTAACCATCAACCACGATGTCGCCGCCGACCTCGACTCGAGCAATGCTTTCGAAGGTATGTGATTCATAATTGTAAGTTTACACAGCTTGACTGACCAGCACAGGACCCGAGAAGCTTCTTGAAGTCTGGTTCTCTCCAAGCCCTGACGACCTGCCGGCCGGCGCCCAGCCTGATGGCCTGCGATCAGTTGCCGCTGATACGTGGGTGACCATGCTCGACATGGTCAACTGCAAGATCTTGTCGGTGCTCAAGTCTGACGCCGTCGATGCCTACTTGCTGTCCGAGTCCAGCATGTTCGTCTTCCCCCACAAGCTCATCCTCAAGACGTGCGGCACGACCACCCTCCTCCTTGGTCTCCAGCGTATGCTGCACATTGCCGCCCTTGATGCTGGCTTCCCGTTCCACAAGGCCGAGAAGGCGGACGAGACTTGCGCTACTGCGATTCCGTACCGTGTCTTCTACAGCCGCAAGAACTTTTTGTTCCCCGACAAGCAGCAGGGCCCCCACCGTAGCTGGAAGCAGGAAGTCAAGTATCTGGATGATATGTTTGATGGCGGCAGTGCGTACATGGTGGGAAAGATGAATGGAGACCACTGGTACCTGTACATCACCTCTCCCAACCAGGCTATGACACCACCTCGGACGCCCGAGGTGGAGGTCAACGGGCACCCTCCTGAGATGACCAACGGTCTGGCGACTATCAATGGCATAGCTGGGAACAACGACGAAACCCTGGAGATTCTGATGACCGATTTGGACCAGGAGAACGCGAAGCAATTCTACCTTGCCAACGCTAGTGCTGTTGCCAGCAGCAAGCTGCAAGCAGAGGCTGAGGACGCCAGAGGCAAGGCCCAAGAAAGTTTGGGAAGCTTGGATGAGGTCGACGTGTTCGACAATGTCGGCTCAGGCGAGGGAGCCGCCCAGAAGCTCGAAGAGACCGAAGCTCTGACCACAGAGGGCCACGCGCTGGGTACTGTTGTCTCTGAGAACTGCGGCCTCTCTGACGTGTACCCCACCAGCGTGTACCCCGATGCCTGCGTCGATGCGTACCTGTTCGGCCCTTGTGGGTTTTCGGCCAACGGTGTTGTGCCTCCCGTGTCCACAGCTGGGGACGTGGGAACGAAAGGTGGTCACTACTGGACGGTCCACGTCACGCCCGAGCCCGAGTGCTCATATGCCTCCTTTGAGACCAACGTCCCTGGCAGCCAGACGGGTCGCACCACGGCGGAGATTATCGAGAATGTGGTCAACATCTTCCAGCCTGGCCGTTTCAGCGTGACGCTGTTTGAGGCCAAGGGCAAGAGCGCAGACACGAGCGGAGCTGAGGACGGTATCTACAAGGGCCCGTCCCGCCGGACCTTGGTGGATCCTGTCAAGGGCTACCGTCGCGTCGATCGCATCGTTCACGACTTTGAAGACTACGATCTCGTCTTTCGTTTCTATGAGCGCGATGGCTGGGTTGGTGACAAGACTGCGAGAGTCGGGGAGGTTGAATGAGTCATTTTCTAGGTAGTTGTTGATTCGGAGCCATTTTTTGTCTTTTAGCTTGTCGACTGGATATAGTACATTGGGGATGTCAATACTTTTGGGATGAATATATCTTCTAGGTACGCGAGATCGCATTTGACACTTTCATACAGTAAGAGGCATGTGTGATTGGCTGCTGGACGACGGGACGTCGCTATGGGGCCGCCTATACGGATACTTATCGATAAAGCATGAGCGCACGTGACAGTAGATTTCCCAGGAAATTTTTGCCAGCCCCAATTGAACATCACCACCAAGAGCATAGCAAACGACGCCTCAAACCCCCAATCCCAACCACCTCCACGCCGCCGACGACATCCACTACCGCCACAATGCATCTCATGTACACACTCGACTCTGAGGGCAAGCGCCTCTACACCCTCAAGAAGGTCAACCACGGCCAGGTCACCAAGTCGGCGCACCCTGCGCGCTTCTCTCCCGACGACAAGTGGTCGAGGCAGCGTGTCACCCTCAAGAGGCGGTTCGGTCTGCTCCTGACGCAGCAGAGTGGGTGACCTTGCGGAGCTTTCGCAAAATACCTGAACTGACATTTTGGCAGAGGAGGAGTAAGCTTGATCAACATCTTGAGGACGACAAAAATATCAGAGGCCCATACATAGGCCACGACAAATCAGCGGAGGAAAGGAGAGATTTTGGCGCGAGAGATGTTTCGATGCGCAGTGTTTTGAACGGAGTTTGGGTCACGGCGTTATACACAGGACGCAAGTTCTAGGATCAAATGCATCAGAACCGTTGGGGGTTGATTCTCCTCCCCTTGGCGGATTCATTTCACTTTATTCATTATATGCTACGTGATGACTTGTTCTCTAGACTGAATCTACCGTTTGCGAGAATTGACATTCCGCCCAGCCCCCACGCGGATCTTGTCACCACCACCAGAACGGTTCCCGGTCAAGATGCCCGGCAGCATATCCTCATCCATGACATCCTTCTTGCGCGTCCTGCGCTGCTCATCCGTCGCCCTGGTGAACTCCTTCTGGTCCTCGGTGAGGATGAGCTCGTTGCCCCAGCGGTTCTTGCCGCCTCCATTCTGCTTTGTGCGCGGGGCCCGCCCGTTGGCCGTGCCGTGCACCGGCTTGGGGACCGAGAAGACGTTGCCCCTGTTGTTCCACTGAAAGTTCTTCTTGAGGTGGAGGGTCACCTGGCCGGTCCTGTCGTCGACGGTGCATGCGACGCGCGTGAGCGTGGGCTGGCCGCACGTCGGGCAGAAGCGGCGCTCCATGTCCCGCGTCGTCTTGAAGCAGCCGTGACAGCGGAGGATCCACGTCTTGAGGCGGGAGATGCGCGCCAGCGAGGGGGAGACGAGGTTGAGGTTCATGCGGAGGGCGACGTTTTGCATGGCGAAATCCGATGTGAGGATGGCGGCTTGGAGCGTGACGGGGGTTTGGCCCTCCTTTGCAGACGTGTTGGTGTCCTTGGCCTTGTGCTTCTTGATGTTGGTCGGGGTGATCCAGTCGCCGTCGTCGTCATCCTCGGGCTCGGAGCCCTCCTCGGTTTCAAGGGGGACCTCGTCTGCCTTTTCGCCCGATACAAGGGGCTTGTCTGCTAGATCTGTGGCTTCGACGGAATCGTGTGGCACATTGTGCGCCTCGAGCGTGGCCGTCTCAGCATCGGTGACGGCGTCCTTGTTGGGACCCTTGGCGTCAATGTCGAGCTTGGCGATGCCGTTGTCGAGTGCTGCCTCGTCTGCCTCCTCTCGTGACACCTCAGCCGGCGCGCTCGCGGACTGCTCCTCTGTTCTCTCCTTGGGTTCCTCTGCGACAGTCTGTTCAGCCGCTTTGCCCTCTTCTTGTTCACCCTTGTTATCTTCCGTCTGGTCCTGTTTTGAAGGAGGCTTTCCGTTCAGTGTCTTTTGCCCAGGCAGGTTCCGCAACCTCCAGTCACCTCCATTTCTCTCCAGCTCCAGCTCATAGGCGAGCGCCAGCACCTCTATATCCGTCCTGCTGAGCACCTCCAATTCGCCAGTGCGCCTCGCAAAGCCGATAATGTGGTTGACGCTCTTGGGCGCCGGGGACCGTAGTGTGAGGAAGGGTAGAAGCTGCGTTTCCACTCGTGCGCGTGTCGCCGCGTCGCGGATTTCGGGGATGACGGAGGGGAGAATGTAGAGTGCCTCGGCACGCGAGCGGAGGGTATCAGCCGGGGGATCGTTCTTGATGAGAGGCCCAGTGTCGACGACGAGACTGTGGATGGGCTTTTGGGTGGAGGGGGCCGCCTCGGCGGGTTGCGCAGTGGTTGTCGGCGCTTGATCAGCCATGATCGCAGGATCAACGCAGGGAAGGCTGAGAGGGGTTATGTAAGAGTCTCGAAGACACGGCGAGTTCGGCGACGTAATTTATTGATTCGTTATGGGCGTAATGTAAGAGATACTGGCAACGAGCGTAGGAGATATTTCGTTTGGAGATGGCGGGGCAATTTTTCTTATCGGAAATTTTCTTGGTGGGGGTGACGATAAGGGATGACTGTCACGTCCAAGTCCTCGAAAAGAAAGTATCGAATACCAATCGCGCAATTTAATAGAGGTCTGCGAAGACTATAGATTTATGGAAACGCGAGAAATATTAATACGATGGAAATCGAAAGTCGCGCACATGAGAAACCGGAGACCGCTCGTCTCTGCCACGCAACAAACATGGTCTACTCTCCAAAGTCACCTCCGCCAAAATCATCGCCTCCACCAAAGTCATCACCACCGCCCCCCGAGTAGTCGCTACCTCCAGGGTCCGAGCTGGAAACGGAGCCCCCGTCGCCTCCATACTCGCCCTGCTGCTGGTCGCCGTAGTAGCCTCCGCCATGGCCACCGCCCATGCCACCACTCAGGAGCGCACCACCAAGCATGCCTATGCCAGCACCGCCAGCCGCGGCGCCCAATGGCATTCCCCACTTGTTCTTCTTCTTCTTGTGCGGCATGCCGGGCGGGGCAAACCCACCCTGCTGAGGATAGTGTCCTTGCTGGGGGTACTGACCCTGTGACTGCTGGTATTGTCCAGGATACCCAGCATTACCGTGTTGGTTGTGGTGCGATCCATGCTGAGACATTCCGTACCCGGCGCCAGCTGCGGCACCTCCCAACCCAGCAGCGGCCAGCTTGGTCTTGGCCTTGCTCGTGAGCTTCCCCAGGAGACCACCACTGCCCTTTGACACGCTCCCTGAAGCCTCCTGCCCGTACTGAGGTTGCTGACCATAGTACTGTTGCTGATGCGACTGGCCGTGTTGAGGGTACTGTCCGGGACTCTGTCCGTAGGGCTGGTCTGGCTGCGGGCCCGGGCTTGACGGCTGACCATATGATGGCGGAGGCTGCAGGCCGCCGCCGTACGGTTGCTGGGGAGGGTATGGGCCACCTGGCCCGCCAGGTGGTGCACCGGAGTACGATGGCTGCTGCCCGAATGGCGGCGGCCCGCCTGCTTGAGGATAGCCATGCTGGGAGGGATGGCCTCGCGCGCGGGACTCTTCCTCTGCCTGGAGCTTAGCAGCCAGCTCAGCGTCGCTCCCTGCCGCGGCGGGTGGCATGGCGCCATGTGCTTGCGGCGGCGCCGGGGAATGCGAAGGCTGGCCGTGTCGCGCATTTTCCTCTGCCTGTAACTTGGCTGCTAGCGCCTCATCCTGCGCTTGCTGTGCGGTCGGATCAGGGCGGAACGGGTTCGTTCCAGTATTATGGCTCTGGGCAGGACGTCCGTCTGCGCCGGGTTGAGGTGAGTGCGCAGGAGGAGGTTGCGCGCCAGCAGGAGGCTCCCATTGCGATACTCCTGTCTGAGTGTTGACGAAGAACCTATGTATGCGGGGTTAGTCGGTGCTTCCAAGTTCGACGCCGGGCGCGCGCTTGCTGTATTACCCGAAGATGAAAACTTACCAGGCTCGGTACTGTTCGTTCCACTGAGATATCCAACCCTCGGGAAGCGGAGGACCACCTGCAGGATTAGAGGCCGCCGGAGAGGGCGACGCGTAGCCTTGCATTGCGAGTATGCGAGATGGGGGATTTGCGGGGTGCCCTGGCTGCCGATAACATTTCTGAGTGGTTTGGGCGGGTTTGTTGTCTAGTCGACTGCTTGAACGTGCGATGCGTCAAAGTTGTGTTGTTGGGAAGCTCTTGTAGAAAGAAGTATGATTAGTGCAAGATGTAGGTCCTTCAAAGAGCCAACAAGCCATCGTTGACGACGATGCTGATGATGTCAGTGAAGGCGGGGTGGCGAGCTCTATCTTGGTTTGAGCCTATAATAAGGGGCTCAGCCTCTAAGCTTGATTCTGGGGTGCGCCGCGTCGCTTCCCGTCAGGCTGAGTCCAGGTCACCGGACAGACTAGATTTCGTCAACCTGGGATGAGAATTGAGCAACGGCATGGCGCTGACTGTGGAATGAACATCTGCGCGTCCGTTTGGAGATTGAGCAAATGTCTGTGTGCGTCTACCCGTACGTACGAGTCTACGATCCGAGGCACAGGTTGCCAGCCGCGCCTCAACGCCGCTGGTAGCTCAGCCACGCCATCGCTGCGCCATGTGTGGCGCAGCTGAGACTGATAAAGTCACATGATGATTATTTCACGGAGTACAGGGTATTCAGAATCTCTGCTTTGAGACCCTGCGGCCGAGGACGCCACTGGGGTTCTGGACTACAGAGTACGTAGTAGTACAGACGCAGGGCCGGACGCTACTTGGTGATCATCCACCAAGGCTCGCCGCTCAGCAGACCCTATTACGATGACACGAGGCTATTAGTGATTCAATTACACATTCGCGATACGCTCAAGGCCCCGACCCTGGGCCAGACCCTGGAGTCGATATCGGAGCTCAGTAGAATTTGGAGTTGGAGCTCCGGACGAGCTTCTAGAAGGTTTCAGCCCCATTTACCGCAGAAGGCGCCGAGTGGGCTTCACGATGGAGAAGATGAGGCTCAAATCCACTGGCTGGAAATTCATTACGAAAATTGGTTCTCGTATGACACGACAAAACTCCAGCGTGGTGACCCTGACGAGAAGTTAATTTCGCTCGGGCATTCACCGAGACTGCTTCACGGGAATTTGCGAAATTCACGCAGGATTGTCAATGCGCAGTGGATGCCCGAGCAATCCATTTGTCATGGACTCAGCGCTTCGAAGATCTCGAGAGGATGGATACGTCAGCCTAGAAATAGGTAATCAGGCAGCACAGGGAGAAACAAGTGTTTACTAGGCTTGAAAACGTCCATCGTCCTGTGCCTGCCTCTCTGACTAGCAACTTGCCGTATACGTGTGAACGGCAATCGTTGTTCCCGAGGCGGCAATGTTCTCGAAGAATGCGATGTGGAAACGTGCAGTGATCCGGCATTCCCATGCGTGTCACCAACGCTGCAGGTGTGACTGGATACCCGTGGAAGCGCTGGTCGCGCCACGCGTCCATGCAACCAGGAGCTAATGAGCGGGATTGGTAAAACTTTGCTTGCACTCACCCGACCCAGTCTCCAACAGCGAGAATGATCTTCAGGTACGTTACTGGTCCGAACGAGCCACGACTCAGCAACGGCCAGAGGGGGCGAATGCCACCAGTGCTGCTGCCAAGCAGAGATTTCAAGGGTCCGTGCTTCTGCAAAGCCCTGACGTTGGAGGCTTGACGCGCCTCTGACATGGCTGTCGGCAGTCATCCCCCCCTTAGAGTAACGACACGCAGAATGCTGTGTTGTGAGAGGCCCAGGCGGTGCGGCCGTCCCGTGGCTGCCGCCTTGGCAACGAGATCGCTGCAGTGCCAAAACTGCCAATACTGCCTGATGCGGTATGTGGGCTGAGGGAAGAAAATGACTTCCGAGACTTCATCGCTTCACGTTCCGACATCGATGCAGTCTGTCACTCTCTCAGTGCGACGGAAACTACCTTCATCTATTACTAACAGGTCATGCGGACGATCACGGACCACCCACCGCATTCGCCCCCCGTGATGATACTTACTTAGGTACCCCAGAGGCCTTCGCAATGAGCCGGCGGTTTGCACTAGCCCGGACATGGGCCGGGACTGGGTTGCCGGGCGTACTATGGATCTACTATGGATCTTCGACATGACGTCTCGAGTCAATCCTCCCAAAGCTGGTGTCAGAAGATCCACCAGATTACCCTCACGAAAATGCTCAACACCTTCCGAATAGCCGTTCTCAGGGCATCACGACGCACAGGCGCGTAGGCCGTGACTGAAGCCTCTCCGATCCTACGAACCTGGGGCGGCTTTGCGGGGGACAATCTGGGGGGACCAGGTCGACGCAAGGGTCAGCAAGCTTTCGGTAACGTGCGTTTATCATGACATTGTCTTTTGACTACGTCTCCGTTCGCTCAGCCTATCCCGTCTCGCCAGAAAGGAACAGCCGGCCTAGGCGACGGCGCCATTCGAGCTTTCTGACCCACCCTTGTTCTCGTCGACGAATATGTCCGCACAGTAGCGGTCCCGGACGTGCCTAGGATCTGAGATAAGGCGACGTGCCTGGACAGGCCGTTCCGGGGTTGGCTGTCCTCCTGTGCCTTATCTAGAGTTTTGGCTACGAGGGTTGTTCCTTCCTTCACCGCGCTTGCGTTTATCTCCGTCCTACAGACTCCAGGAAGTTGCCATACAAGTACCTGCCATACCTCCGTTCCCCCAGCCCACTACTGTTGGGGCCCATTCACACACAAACTAGAACTTGAAAAGAGCAAGACCTCCCTCCAGTTCTTCCTTTCCTCTTCCCTTTCCCCCCCACTACTGCCTGTCACCACTTGCCAGTTTTCTTTTCAAACTCTTGACACGGGCTCTACTATTTTGTGCTCTCGTGAACTTCAACCACAGCACATTGCCCTCTCAAGAGCACCCTTCAACATGTCGCCCAACCAAAACTACCCCGAGACAACGGGTCAGGATGTCTCCCACGTCGTGTCCGACCCCGTGGCCCCCTCCCACTCCAAGAAGCACGGAGGCGAAATCAAGCATGATGACAGCGGCAGCGACACCATCGGCACAACGGTCGTCCTCGGCGCCAACGGCCCCATGTCGAGGCTGGCTCTCACCACAGACGAGGAGAAGCAAAAGGCCGAGGAAGGCCACGCCAAATTTCACCGCCTGGGGTGGAAGCGTCTCACCATCATCCTCATCGTCGAGGCCATCGCGCTCGGCAGCTTGAGTCTGCCGTCGGCGTTCGCCACCCTGGGCATGGTGGCCGGTGTCATCCTGTGCGTCGGCCTCGGTCTGGTCGCCATCTACACCTCGCACATTGTCGGCCAGGTCAAGCTCAAGTTCCCCGAGGTTTCGCACTACGCAGACGCTGGTCGCCTGCTGTTCGGACGCGCTGGCTACGAGATTGTCGGTGCCATGTTTGTCCTGCAACTCACCTTTCTCGTGGGCTCCCACTGCTTGACGGGCACCATCGCCTTCCAGACCATCTCTGGTGGTGGCACATGCGCCGTGGTTTGGGGCGTTGTCTCGGCTATCATTCTGCTGATTCTGGCCATCCCCCCTACCTTCACTGAGCTCGCTTGGCTGGGATACATTGACTTCGGTTCCATTGTTGTCGCCATTGGGATCACCATGATCGCCACCGGAATTCAGGCCACCGATCAGCCTGGTGGTATGGCTGCCGTGCCGTGGTCCGCCTGGCCCAAGGAGGGCTGCACCCTGGTCGATGCTGTCATCGCAGTCACCAACATTGTGTTTGCCTACAGTTTCGCCATTACCCAGATGAGCATGATGGCTGGTACGTATTTGACGGAACAAGAAACAACGTAATGGATTGCTAACTATTGGGCAGAGATGCACACTCCTACGGACTACGTCAAGTCCATCTGGGCTCTGGGTATCACCGAGATCATCATCTACACCCTCACCGGCGCCATCGTCTACTCGTTCGTCGGCGTCGGCGTCGAGTCCCCCGCCCTGTCGTCCGCCGGCACCCTGGTCGCCAAGTTCGCCTACGGATTCGGCCTCCCCGTCATCTTCATCTCGGGCTCGATCAACACCACCGTCGTCGGACGCTACATTCACGGCCGCGTGTACGCGAACTCCGTGACCCGGTACATCAACACCCCCAAGGGCTGGATCTCGTGGTTGATCCTGATCACCGTCATCACCGTGATTGCCTTTATCATCGCCGAAGTCATCCCCTTCTTCAACGACCTTCTATCGCTCTCCTCGGCGCTCTTCATCACCGGGTTCACCTTTTACTTCCCCGCGTTGATGTGGTTCATGCTCCTTAAGGAGGGCCCCTGGCACCAGGGCGCCAACCTCTACAAGAGCATCATCAACGCCGCCGTCTTCGTCGTGGGCGTTGCCATCCTCATCGGCGGCACCTACTCGAGTATCTGGGATATTGTACGTCACCCTCTCCTAACGCATTGCGTCTTGCAGCACCTCAGCTAACATACAATGTACAGGTTCACCAGTTCACAAACGGCAACGTGCGCGGCGTCTTCTCTTGCAGCCCTGTCTCATAAACAACGGGAGTGCAGGCAAGTCTCGTCCGCCACAGTTTGTACGATCATGACGAATGTCGAACGGGGGCGTTCTTGGCTGGTAGCATAGCGTTCCATTAGCGTATCATCAACTTGTTTCTCAAGGTTCACAATCAACATTTCCCAGGCGAGCAAGTGACTAACAGGTCCGATATCGTCGGACGAAGATAAGAGAAGAAAGAGCGCACACTATGGCTTAAAGTCAAACATGTAATTTGGCACGGTCCATCGGCCCGCCTCAACTCAGTTTGAAGCGCCAGAGTCTATGCCTTGGGTGCGTGCAACGGCATGCTTCGCCTCGGGAGCCTTTTTGCCGACATCCTGCTCGAGCATGTCGCCCCCCAACGACGGGGGCGTCTCCTCATCCGACCTCTGCCCGGCCGTCTGGACCGCATCACCGTCAAAGCCAGCCTCCGCAATCTCGGGGTGGCGTCGATGCCACCACAGCAGCCCCAGCTGGGTGAAGATGGTGACAGCGGCCATGGTGGTGGCGAGCGGAAAGCCAATGGGGTACCGGGGCGCGTCCTCGACGCGCCAGGCGCCGAGGGGGATGGTAGCGTGGCCGACGTAGACGAGGGTGACGGTCATGGCGACGATGATGGACCTAGCCTCGGGCTCCTTGCGCATAATCTCGGCCATCCAGGCCATGAGAGAGGGGTTCCCGGCGTTGGTGCCGTAGGTCAAAAAGTAGACGGCGAGGACAACCTTGTCGTTGGCGGGCCAGCCGCTGAGGATGGCGAGGAAGAGGGCGGAAGCGGCGTTGGAGGCGACGCTGACCTGCCAGCGCCAGTGCTTCCAGTCGGAGAGGGCGTTAAGGCCGACGCTGGTGACGATCTGGAGGGTGTAGCCGCCGAGGGGCAGGATGTTGACCTGGTAGGTGCTGTAGCGCAGGGTGCCGTCGGGGTCCTTGATGCTCTCGAGGTAGAGGACAAAGTAGGCGTTGGCGCGGTGGGCCCAGGCGCTGAGGGCGAAGGAGACCATGACGAGGTAGGTGACGGGATGGGCGACGAGGCGGCGAAGCTTGTGGCGCAGGACGGGCCAGGGGATGAGGCGGGACGTGGTGGTGCCGGCGTCACCCATGCGCGCCCTGCTGAGCCTCTTCTCGTCCTCGGTGAGCCAGAGGGCGCGTGTGATGGCGGGGGAGTCGGGGATGGCGACAAAGGCGACGAGACCCTGGCCGATGGTGATGGCGCCGGCGATGACAAAGAGCCACTGCCAGCCGGCGACACCGTGGACGCCGTTCATGTTGCGGTAGAGGGCGGCCTGGACGACGCCGAGGAACATGGCGCCCGCGACGTCGGAGACGTTGAAGATGGCGAGGCGGATGGCGAGCTCCTTGGGGGTGTACCAGTTGAAGATGAGGGCGACGACGCTGGGCCAGAAGGAGGCGGCGAGGAGGCCGAGGAAGAAGCGCAGGGCGAAGATGGTCTGCGCATTGGGGGCCTTGTACGTGCTGTGTACTGGTGTCAGATCGTGCAAAGGAGGTGTTAAGGGCTCGCTTACAAGAGCACGAGGAGACCCCATGTCACCTCGCAGAAGGGCAGGAAGAGGGACGGCCGGACCTTTGTCTGGATGAGCTGGCCGGGCACGAGACCAATGGCGTAGCCGATGGAGAAGTAGGTGTTGAACTCGACGAGCTCGTTGCCGTAGAGCTTGAGGTCCTCACGCATGCCGGAGACGTAGGCCTGCGTGGTGGCCGTCTGGTCAAGCTCCTTGATGAGCTGTGGTTCGTCAGTACCATGGCTCGCCTCACGCGTGTCAATTGGGATACACTCACACCAGCGACAAACATCCAGAAGAGGAGCATCACGTCGAGCTTGAATAGCAGGACGTGTCTTGGTTTGCGAAAGTATGGAATCACCTTGGCCACGGCCTTCCACACGCCTTGGACGCTGCCCTCATCGCCGACCCGGTGGGACTCGTCGATGGACGAAGTCATGGTGCAGCGGCCTCAGTTTCTTTTTCCCCTCGAGCGCAATGTACCGCAATGTACCGCAATCAATCAGTGTCTAGGCGAGAGGTGGTGGTAGAGTGCTGGTGACCAAGTCGGTGGTTGTGGTCCTTATTGGCGATGAGAACTTCGGAGAATTCTTTATCTAGAATTTCGCCTCCGCAACTATATCAAGCTTTTAGAAGCGAATTGGACGTTGCTTGGCATCGCGTAGGGGGTGGCGGCGTACTGCCGACGGAGGGGGAGGGTGCTGATGGAAATAGAGGAGCAGTGATGGCCAACTACCACATGGCAAGATGACTCTTTGTTTATGACTGGTTCTCCGCAGATCTGTGGCGGACGCAGGGACCAATGGCGGCCGGAGGCAAACCTGGTTCCCGCGATAACGTGATTGAAGAGCCAAAGGACGACATTGGGAGGGGGTCGACGAGAGCGAAGGAACTGCCTGTGTAGGCAGAAATGGTCGGCAGGGCGCGATGTACGATATGGAGGGTATCTTGTGCTCATATAGTAAGAGGCTTGCTTGGTTTGACGCGAGATTCGACAGTCGGGAGAGTTTGGTGATGATGTGCTTTGCGGTGCGGAGGTGGGCGGTGCTTCGTTAGTGGGATAGCGTTAATGGGGCGTGTTTGTGGGGGCAAGCTGCTATTTCGCTAACAGCCGCCCACTCCATCGCACGACAGACAGCATGTACCTAGGGTAGGTCAAAGCGCAGGGTCAAGACGCGAGGAGGAGACGACCAATTCGTGCCTCGCGGTCATGGATGCCTCCATCATCCTCGCCACCCTCTCCATCCAGAAACTTCCCCCTCCATTTGCGCTGACGAGGACGGAATTACCACTCCAGGCACGCTTCGTGATAGTGTGTTCCGACCCCTGCCCAGATTTAAGCTTTAAGCTTACGGCACATTATCTCGGGACAGTGGAGGCTAGACGGGCCTCGTTAGAGAAGCCTATTTCGAAGCCTCTTGCTTACTGTTCAACAGCGTCTACAGCACGCGTCGTGGCGATGGCCCTTCTAGCTTTTTTGCTCCTCTCTTTAGCTACCGAGATAATTTACGGTATATAGCGCTCAGACGCGCCCTAGTCTGCCACATACGACCATACCTAGTGGAAAATACGGGATCCCGTCCGCTCTCCCATAGTCAACCCGCTAAGGGGAGGCTTAGCTATCTTGATCCCGTGTCACGTGACTGAACCTACCGTCCGCGCCGACCGTTTTCTCCCTCCGCTACCGCTTTCACCGTTTTACCGTTTGGCTGCGCCGCGAGCTTCCATCTGTTAGTGCTGGCCTTCCTCGTCTTGCCGGGGCTTTACCGGACGCGCCCACGACGAGCGTCGGCCGTCCTTATGACCCTTTCCACACCCCTTTCATTCCTATCCTCACGCCATGCTGCGCGGGACGGCCCCCAGCGACAATAGCGACCAGGGCTCACATAGAAGATATGTCTTCGGTGGCATACAGGGTCGCCGCATTAGTCTTGCTCTAGATTACATAATTCGCCTTGGGCGTTATTCTCGCGCCGAATATAAAGTCGAGAGTCTTCCCCTGACTCTCCAAGCTTCACCTCTTCCTCACTGCCACCGATAGGCGACGGTCCAATATATTAGTACCAAAGACTTCTAAGCGGTTTGCTTCCTTGCGACCCGAGAGTAAGGCTACTATTGGCGAGAAACTCTAGTTTTAGCGAGACACTCGGCGCGACACTTACTCGATTCTATCGGACAAGACCTAGTCAAGTCGAGATCAACTATAGGAAGATTGGCAGGCGTGAGTATACCTTAGAGAAGAAAATAGGAATAGCTAATCGGTCTAGTTTCTTTTCGCAAATAGGTGAAGACCTAGAGTAGATCTAGCTCGATCTTTGCGATAACAAGGACGAGGCTAGGAATCTATGCCTCGTGTTCCTCGAGGTTTGCGTGGAGAACTCCTAAACTCTTCGACCTATCCTTGGACCGGAGGAGAATGCTTATATATAGATAATTACCTTTGCAAACGCTCTATTGCAAATATAGAAAGGACTAATAGCACACGCAGACGAGAAGGTGCTCGATTAAGCGCGGAAGCGTGACCCGAAGAATAAGGCATATTAGATACTGAAGTACACGAACCACGATAGCGGGCGTAATCGCGGGCCCGCTAATCGCGTTACCAGCGTGAGTTACCACGAATAGAAATATTATCTTTACTCACGTATCATAGGCGATATAGTATAAGTTAGCGCAAAAAAAGAACCTTACTCTAAAGTAGATATTTGTTAAACGAGAAGCTACCACGACAGATGTCCTTATTATCTTGGAAACTCTGTGGATTCGAGCCGTTGATATTTCGTGCATACTATCATATCGCGTGGCATTCTATAGCGTCGTTCTCGCTAGCGCGATCGGTAGCTTTCGTCCTAAGGTTCTTATGCAAATGAGGTACCGAGACGTGAATTTTATCGTGGTCCGGGATCCCAACGGTTAGTAACGTCCTAAGCTTGTTGCCAATATCACCATTCACCATAACAAGAAAAGCCCGCATAAAGCGCGCGATTCCCAAGACGAGACGTACGGTATTGTATTCCCATCTCATACTTAGTATCTAACGAGGAGAGTTCAGGTTGTCATTTTCTATCACGTTGGTTCTAGATAACCTTATATGTCTTACGCGCTTGCTTGTTTCGCGAGCTCTCACCGATCAGGCATTCACAAGGCCTTTCACCTCCGTGGAGGATCTCCTCACCCTACCACGGCTCGAAGGCGTGGACTACCTTAAGGTATCGTGGAAACCGGAGATGGCCGATAACGAGATTATCCCGATAAAATATCATTAGTACTACAAGATTTAGAGTCTAGTTAACCTAGCTGCCGGATTCCGCGATGGACTGCGTCCGACGTCGATAAGGGTGGGGGCTGGCGCCCGTATCGGTGAGTTCCCTTACACCGCTCGAATACTTAAGACTCATAGCATTCGCAAGGGAAATAGGCGGGCTACTCCGTAATTATATTCTATCGAACACGACTTAAGTATACGAACGGAACTACTAGCCACGGCACGTACGAGAAAACTTAATAGGATTTGTATTCCGAGATATAGTTAAAAGTAACGAGGAACTTTACCAAACCCTTAGGAACGTATTACTTTCACGGGATAAGGACGCCCTACTCTACGTGAGCTAGGAAGAATACGACGGCTTTGAAAAGCGCAAAGACATAGGAGAACTACGATAGTAGTATACTACGGAGGTTGCGAGATCGTCGAGCGACTCGGCCTAGGCTAAAAGGATTACCGCTAAGATATAATGGACCCTAGATTAGCTCTGTCGACTTAGAGTCGCGGAGCTACGAAAGGCATATTTTAAAGAGGTTAATAAGCTACGTAGTACCGGGCAGAGTACCGAGGCTATACGTAGCGCTACCGCCGTAGAAAATCCCCGCGCTACTCACTATTAAGGTTAATATTAGGATACCGTGAAGATAGGAAAGCTCTTGGGGAAGTATCGAGGCCTTAAGAAGGATAAAGGCGAGGCCCCAGAGCCGGCGTTTAAGGCCTTAATTATAAATCACCTACGAGGCGAGGCGATCTACGTATCTATAGACAAAGCGGCAAGTTTAATAAGCATACGGGAAGATCCACCGTCGAAACCGAGACCTTCCGGACGAAAGCGCGAGAAAGCGAAGTGCCTCCTCTATAGCGATACCTTAGGGGATCGGTCAAAGCTAACGAGGCATATCAAATCTCGTCATAAGTTCGAGGAACCTTTTCAATGCCCCGCATACAAGTTACAAGGCATAAATACACTTGTTCCCGTTAGAGGACCGGCTTAGGCTACCCACGTAGAGCGAGAGCATAAGAAAAAGAACGTACCAACCCTCACGGGAGCCGAGCCCATGCTAGCGATACCATGCCCGTTATACGATAAGTCGTGTTCCGGAAGGCTAGGTATTAGCTTGCACTTGCGTTAGTTTCATAGGCCTAGAGGCCATTTTAAAAAGACATAGACCTATATCCTATGCAACGCTAAGATAGAGGAGGCGGCGGAAGGCTAGATCGATCACTGCGAACGGCACTGGGAAGAAGGTAGTAATAAGACCTGCTCTGAGATGTCTTGTAAGAATAAGGATTATGAGGCACTGGGTGCGGATGGGTACTCCCTAGGCACAAAACGACAGCGAGAAGAAGAGCCAGGACCTTTACACAATGCCAAACGCGAGAAAAGGATCTAACAAATGGAATTCGAAAATTACAGCGACCGTCATCGTAGAGCTAAATCTACGGCTTGTCTGTCAACCTAAGCGTTCAAGACTGACTAACCCAAGCACTTGATGGTGTCATGTAATCCGAACTTTACCTAAGAAGGTGCTTAAATAAAAAGGGTAGGTGTACGGGTTGGGTTCGGCGGCTAGAACGTACTTAGGCGCTTACGATGAGAATAGAACGCACGAAAACGAAATCGCCCCGAACGCTTATTTAAACTCGAATTGACATATAAAAGGGGGCTTCTTGAGCGGATATTATTGAGTTTGAGCAGTTCAAACCCTGCTCATTAAACACACATTATGGCAGCTTCAACAGGCAACCACCCTGGCACCTCTATAAACCTTATAGAATGCACATAGTCGCTCGCTTAGAAAAGCTCACTTGACGCACGTCGAGGTCGGAAATATCGTGTAACAAAGTTATCTAAAAGACGCCAGATATTATTAAAAAAAGTCTATTAGCTTTAGCGAGACTGTGATATGGACGTATATATCGTTATAAGAAGCCGAAGAACGAATTAAGTATGGAGGTACTTAAACGACTTTGTTCCTCCTACCGAGCAAGAGCTAGTAAGTTAGTGAAAGGCAATACTCGATCTAAACTTATTAATATTATAGTTATTAACATACCCTGCCCCCATCATCCTCAATCCGATGGACGTGGAACTATCCAAGTGCTAGGTACTATTCCTCCGCAAGGTGTCTCCTGGTTCTTGGCTTCTATTGATGCTGGATGCCCTCTGCGTTTCATTAAAGTTACAAGGTGGCTACAGCTAGATAATCTACACTCGACCCTGAATTAGCCGTTCTAGACCTATAGCAGCGGGCATTCTTTTCAGCCCAATCTAACTTATAATTCATTCCAGCGACTAAAGAACGGGATCTTCATTTTAGAGACACGGCACGAAATAGATTTCATAAGAACCATAGTTATATGCATCAAACCCACGTATCAGTAGAGTGTGCCAGTACCCACTAATCCCATGGTAACCATCTCCTTTACGCTTCCTTCCTCGGCCTCGAGTATTCTAGTGCTCTCAATAGCATCTTGTCCCTGGAATACTTTCTTCTGGGTATCCTAACTCATATAGATAGGCAGAAATTCAGCGTCTGGCTGGACTTCTAAGGTGAATATAGAATCCTTAATCTAACCAAGTTCCCACAAGTCCTTCCCTTTATAATACTTGGTTTCATTAACGCCCTCGGTAGTAAGACTCCAGAACCCAGGACTATTCCTTCTTTTGATCTAGGTGTATTCCAGGTCGAAGAGCATGATCCTCACTCCGCGAAGGTTGAGAGCGCTACCTAGAGTAGGTAGTTGAACACTCGACCCGCGTGGCTTGTTTGGCTTCTTGACCTTAGCATTGTTCCGTCTGCCTTTGCTAGTGGTGGTCTTCCCTCTAATATCTCGTTGAATCTTTCGTGCTTGCTGCTTTCTTGTGTTCCTCACTACCTTTCTTTGGTCGGGTTTGGTGACCTCTAGCGCTAGGGGCACTGCATTCGCCTTAGTGATGTTCTTAGCAAGAACCCGGGTTGTAGCTAGTATTTCACTACTTGCGGATTCTGTTTCGGTTATGTCGTTGTTCGGGGTCTTGGGTCTTTTAGGTATGCCGACACTGGAAGACCGCTAGTTAATTCGTTCCTTATCTTGCGGATAGTGTGGAGTTGAGAAATCGAAAGGTACGACTTCTCCGCTTAAGAATTCGGTGAAATCGACGTCATTATATATTTTATATACTATAGGCAAGAACTAAGCAGGGTCTTGGGGAGTCGCACTAGCTATATTATGATTATTAGTCGTCCGTGTATTGAAGTATAAGTTATTTGGTTATTAAGGAACCAAAGTTATAACTAGAATTAAGGACTCTATCCCCCTTATTATACTCTTGTGTCTGTCATATGACGTATGTCTGAAGCTGTTGGCGTCTCACGTGTAGTCTTGATAGTTGTGATCTTCCGCTACTGGCGGTAAGGCACACTTCGTATCCCTCTCGCGTCCGTGGTACTCAAGTGTGGCCGTTCTAGGCCTATGTTGGTGACGGGAAGACACGGCTGATATGGCCTGGCTGACCTGCCCCTGACCCGAGGCTGGGAAGAAGATCCCAGCACTGGGCAGCATCTGGTCGCATCATGGGCCATTGAGTCTATTTCGAGGTCACTCTGACGTCTCAGCGACGGCTTGAGTGGGCGCTTTGGTGTCAGGTGGTCCTACGTGGCCTCCGCCTGACCTTGAAGCTCGCTTCAAAGGCTGAGATGGACACCCGGACTAACTAGCACTGTATAACAGAAGCTAGGCACTGTCTGGTCGCATCATGGGCCATTGAGTCTATTTCGAGGTCACTCTGACGTCTCAGGAGAGATTCGGGTGGGTGAATAGGCATTCGGTGACGATCTAGACCATGGGCGGAGCTGATCAGAGGCGGTTCCGGCCGACACAAGGGCAACTTCCTTCAACGACCAGGCGTACTTTCAAGCCACTTGGCCGGTAATGTGGCCGTCGGGGCTTCTTCTGTTTCGCGTTCAGGGATCGGATAGAACTTCTAATGCCTTACTAGCCCTCGTTGAATCCTCAGCCAGCCTCCTAGGCTCACTAGGTGGACTATCGTTCGTGTCATGGCAGCTTGGACATAGCCAACGAACAACGCGTATCAGCCTCGTGCATAGTGTCAACGCCTATCGGTGCCTGGTGCGGCGAAATCACATGATTGTAACAAGTATAAAGCCATGCATTCCCGCTCCAGGATCACTCCTCTCTTCTATATCTCAGCACGAACCAAGATACCAGCTGCTTATTTTGTTTCTACTTATCATTCGCTACAATGTCGTCCTAAGATACTGCCTCAACCATGCTCATCTGCCCCAAGGACCTATTGTCCTCCGATTCAATGACCCGATCGAGAAAACGGTCACCTTCCACGGGATCGCTCACTAAGAATGTTTGTTCACTACCTAGACCTAAGACACCATACTAACGTCGATGACTAGGAAAACAAAAAACCCAAAGTCCTCGATCCCTTCGAGTGTGGAGAGACATTTGCTAACGACAGTGATGATATATATTGTAGTTGTGAGAGCGAAAGCGATAGTAACGCAGAATTTCTGATTCCTTTCGCTCAAACCACGGAAATAGATCACTCTATGGCGGCCAATCCGGCGGAGGAGGCGGAGCTGCTGAACTCTAAGCGGGTCGTTACTAACTTTTTTATTCGCTACTCCTACACTAGTTATATCAAAGTTTTAAAGCTAGATAACTTCCTAAGGATGTCTTTCAAAGACTTACTAGCTTTTATTCCGGATGAAACTCCTGGGGACTACACATGGCAAAGTATGTCGGATATCTGTATCAGTCTGACTACAGATGATGGTGTACTATTCACCGACGCCCTACCTTTTAACTCGCTCACCAGCAGCTTAGCTCCTTAGTTCAAGGAAATGCAGTCAAAAATGGAGATTTGCGTGGGGAAAGAGGTATCAAGTTTGGAGATCGGGCAAAAGCTGGTTATCTCCGCCACGATTAGTCTTTGGCATGACTTTTGGAATCTCTCTCAGCGGAGTGAGGGCCCCTTGTAGAGTCAGCCTCTACCTAATAGCATTCATTGTTTGCAATACTACGCCGTATTTCTTCAGGTTCATATAATATAAGATTCCATCGGTTGTGAAAACCCCTCTGAGTCTCATATCGGTCCAGCATCATCCTCGCTTGCCAAGTACGTTCATATCTCCGACTACGTTCTTCAGCCTATCGTCTTAAACGTATTCGTTAAGGTTGAGATCCTTACCTATTTCCCTGCGCTTAGCGAGATATAAGTCAAAGGGCGGGAGAGTAACGTTCGGCATCCCGTAGGCTAGACTCCTCGTCCGGCGTTACCATATCTTTGGACGGACAGTTAGGATAGTAGACGAAGTTCCTCACAAAAGTATTTATTAACTTATCTATATCAAAAGTAAAGCATCCGAAAAACTTTATGTCGATATAGTCGTAATAGCTGTGCTTCGTATGCAGGCGGAGTCGGTTGTCCTCGTATTGGTTATATATCTCAATAATCCCGTTCGCCCTTCTCTTGCACTTGACGCACTATTTTATGAGTATAATGCACATCTTGTTGATTGTATACTAGTAAATAAAATGTCGTGGAAGAACTGAGGCACGTGGATTGCGTCAAATACCAGTTAACCAAACGGGCGTCTAGCTTCGGTGTTGCCCCTGATTACTAGTGCCGTTTCTGACTTAGAAAAATTAAAGTCAACGTTAAATATGGATTACTAGTAAGTTAGTGTATTTATAACTAGTAGAGAGCAAGGGCGAAAGTACATAGATTGATTATAAACTTAAATGTTACCAGGATCATGTCGAATGCTAGCTAGACTTACTAGTCTCTAAATTAAGACATTACTAGGATTACGCCAAATACTACGCTGGTATTCAAGATAGCAAGATACTAGGAGCTTTAGATACTAGTAGCCTTAGTTAACTTCTTACTAGTGATACAAAGTGACTAGTCTGCTCTAATTTAAGGATGCTAGTAACATACGTACTTACCAGCATGTGATATCTTAAGTTACTAGTGCAACTTAGCGAAGCACACGGGCTAACTAGTATTCGCCTATTTAGGTTACTGAAGTCGCTTATTTAAGGACCCGGCCTACTAGTATATACCTGCGTGGGTTACCGCCTATGCCTAATTTAAGGACGAGACTATCTAGTAAATGACCTCTTAAATTACTGGTATTGCTTATTTAAGAGCGTTATTAATAGTGTGTGTATGTTTAACTTGACTAGTAGGTGATGTGAGTGGTGTCTAGTAGCCTGAAGATTTGGTTGAGTTTGGATAGGAGACGCTATGATTTAAACCCACATATCTAGCAAAGGTCGTACTAGTAACTGAGACCTAATTCCTTCAATATAAGAGACTGGGATCAAGTTCAATTTCTCTGCTCACTCAACACTATAGACTTCTCTAGCTCTCGGTACGAAGAGCGAACGAGATCATCCAAAAGCCTGCAACGTCGCTAGTTAGGCGCTTTATCACTCTAATGAGATAACAGAGTTGGCTATTATTACTATCTTATTATAAACACTCCTATCGAAAAGCGGCTGCCAACATAGAGTCACCGTCGAATTACTAATATAGACCTAGATATAATCTATGATTCCAGAAGGACATATTTGCAGAGTAGAAGCCCTCTAAAAAGCCTATTGCTTAACCAAAATCGGGTGTGCGTCCGGTCTTTTCGCCCGCAGTTCTTCTACATCGTATATCCAAGGCTTCCTAACTATAGTGAAATGCAATATATAAACTTAAGTGAAAAGCTTATGTAACCCTTCGTCGATACTCGGCTTTGCTATTTGATCTAGCGCGGAGATAAACCAGGAAGGGAGATTGATATCCTCCCAATGGCTGTTTAGGGTACTATAGGTTCTAGGAAGCTCCTTAAAAATATCTTAAAAGAGGCTATTCACTACATCCATATCGTACGTATCGGCCGTTAACCGTAACATTACTTTCTTAACGTCGCTCCACAGCCTTTGACTAGGCTTGAATGACATAAAGGTACTAGTGAATATATAATTATCGATCCAATAGGCCTTTAGAGCTAAGATACTCGCTAGTGGTAGGTTAAAAACGTGGTCCAGGTCTCTTAGGATGAGTTAGTCCGAATCTATCGCAATGATACGCTCTAGTGGCGGGCTCTTATCAACCAGGCCGAATACGACTAGCTTGAGAAGGCATCCTTGATAGTAAGCGATACTACCTGGATAGAGTGGAGGAGGAACGCTCTTAATAACGGTGGCTTCTAGGTTCGCGAATGCCTCCTAGTAGACCGGAGAAACCTCGTCGGAGACTAAGACAATAATACGGTATTTGGTATAGAATATATAGCGTAGAGTGAATATATTGATTAGAGTCGAACAGGCGTATATGTCTTGCGTGGCATAAAATACATACGCATTATGAAAGCTGGCGGAACCTTGCCGTAGGAAATAAAGAATATAAATCATAAAAAGTAAAGCAATAGAAAGGAACGCTAGCTTCGCCGTTCTTCGTAAAGATAGACGAGTGCTAAAAGCCATTGTTCGTTAGAGCGGGCTCGTGAAACTTGTGAAGGTCGTTATCGGCAAGGGAGGCATGTAAGCTAAAATATAAAGGTCTTAATCGTTCGAAGGGTCTACTTCTATTTACGGGTGGCAAGAACCCTCGGCGATTGCGATTGACACGCGTTCTATACTTCTCGAATAGGAAAGTACTTCTAGACTCTAGGTAATGTTATTACTCCGACATAAGAGTTAGCTCGCGCCTTGGTTTCCACCTGCGCTTGTGTCGACACTAGAGTGAAGGTCGGGCACATCGCATCACTTAGAGATGTAATAAACCAACTCAGACGTGACAAACTACGCGCTGCAGGAAGCTAAGCACAAATTGTCACACTAACCCCACTCGCCCTTTGCCGCCTTCCCCGTCCCGACAGTACGGTACGCTAATATAGGTGCATGCAACCAACCCTTATCCATACATAGGCATCATTGTCCGATAGGCTGTGATAGTGGGCTCGCTAAGCTCTGGTCTACTAGTGGCTTCTCGGAGGTTAGGGGCGATAAGGACCGGAACTTAGACGACGTTCTTAATTAGAGGGAGTCTAGAAGTAATTGCTTGAATTGAAACCATTTCTAATTATATCCAAAGCTGAACCGAAGCAGGCGGGGCTTACTATCCTCTTCCTCCTTCTCTATCCTCACTATTGCTAGCTCTGCCTAGCACCCACTAACTTCGCCATCCCTCCGCACTACATCGTATCTTAGTTCTCACCCTACTCCGACCCACACGAAGATCCTCTGGCTAACCAGGCCGAGGGATCTATCACGCGCGCTTAGGTAGCGCTCGCTTAAAGGGTCGGGGGAGGCCGGCCTAGCGTCGACCTTCACCCCACCGCTAAGGTCAGAACCAACACTCTTTGAAAGATCGAGGAGTCTCTAAATAAACATGCCTTGTTTAAATAACCCTGCTTATGTACAAACAAGATTAATAGCATCGTCTAGAACGCCCGCTATCGTCCCTCTGTACTAATGCTTTCCATCATACTACTGCCGAGATCAAGCGCCTAGGTTAAGATAGCCTCCGACGGTACTCTCTATCTTCATTGATATTTGGACACCTTAACTAACGCGTTAGGAGGTGATATACTGCTGTTAGTCGAGTCTCTTGAGCAGCTGAAATTGTCCGACACCCCTCCACAAGCTTGGTGTGTGATCTATGAATCCAGCCAGCGCCTCGATCCAGATAACATCAAGCCGCTACAAACAGAAGCGCAGTGTTTGCCCAATCAGTTCAATAATAGATCTCCCAAGCACAAGAGGGTCGAGGAGCTATACGTTGCCGCATCTAACGATGCGTCGACTTTAAGCAAGGAAGATATCTGCCGGGCAGTAGGGTTGTAAGGCTGTCGTCCGCCCCGCTTATAGCCGATAGGACGGCTAGATAGATTGTACTGCGCGAGAGAGCAGTATTATTGCTTGCGGTGACCAATCAAATAACTGCCATTGGCCGAAGACAAAAATACGATGCCTGGTTCCAAACTTATAAGATAAACAATCGCCCTCCTTCTAAGCATTTCCTAAGACAGAACCTAGTCTAATTAGTTATCGCTATCATAATTCATACACCTGCCCCGCGCCTACCTATTGAAGACATAATCCCAAGCCCGTGGCACCAAATGTTATGTCCATCGGATACGATCAGAACCGTATCTTTCGCCGAATACCTTCTTCACATATACCCTTCGCTTAAAGAATTCCGAGAGCAAATTGTCCTTGTTTATTGCTATATTTGCAAGATTCTTGGACCATAGGACGAAGCTCTTTACTTCGACGTCTTCGTGAAAGCACGAGCGAGCCTCCAAGAGGACCTTTCTGCCGCGCAAATGGCTTTCTGTCTCCTTACTCTGTTGTGCTACAAACGAACCCATATGCAGACACAGGGGATAGGACCATGCTATGGTAGCTTTATTAATGACTTTGACGTATTCCTTATACACGAGGTTATCGCTATACACCCTAATACTTTCGAAAAAATGCTGGCATCATTTCATCGAGTACTTAGCGCCGAAGATTTCCGAGACAATGACCCCTTGCTGGTCAAGGTCATCGAGATGTTTGGGTGTCTAAAATAACTCCTGGTACTCACTGACACGCACTCCGATACTTACTAGGGGAATAGGATCTCCGATCCTGTTAGCCACAACCAGGCGTTCCTTAGTCTTTGTTATATTGTGGGATGGCCTTTGTATAAGTGCTGCGCCCCGTAGGCCAGATAGTCTGGCTTCGATGCTTCTTCGGGATCATAAGAATATGGAGAGGTTCATCAAGTTCCGGTGGCAAGTACCGATGCTGATAATGATAGTGGTAGCATTAGCCCGCTTTAAATCTA